CTGAAATGCAGTAAAAAAAAAGAAGAGTATTTATACATCTGCAACTAGCTTGTAGGATTAGTGATGATAGAAAGCAATAGGTGCTGCTATTGCGATATCTGGCAAATGTTGTTGATGTTTAATTTAAAGTGGTAATCAATACAAGAGCACTGGCCATAAGAATCGATTTGAGTAGTCTTAATGGGCTTGGAAGAGCTATCGTCATATCATGATTTAATGTAAGCTTGACAGTCTAAGGTGTGATGTCTGTTATTGAAGCGTAGAACACTTCATCCGGACTATCGTGCAACTATGGCATTAGGCTATAGTTATCATGTTTGAATATGCTTGTTATTGATTTGATTTTATTTGGATAAAGATACCATCACTTATTACGACCATCATGGGTGTGATTGAATACGCTATGATCAGAAGTGATTCATTCGCATGATATGCGATATAAGCGTGCATTTTTACTTTGGTATGTTTAAATGGTATTTTGACGCACATTCGAGCGCTTTATTGGTAGATTCAAATAGCACGAATTTAAATGGGTGGTATTTAATGAATTCCGGTTTTCAGACAAGTTGAGTTTGGGTGGCTATTTCATTACACATAGTGCGAACTTGAATGTAAGTTATCACATTTTTTATTATTAAATTTTTCAATTACTTCTCATTGTAAGCCCTGTAAGCTCAGCTAGTAAGTAAGAAAAGAGGGCAATGAAAAAGAGAAAAGAGGGAAGAAAAGAAAGATTCATAGGCGATGCTCCACTGGACTTAATATCCGAAGACGCCAAATAAAAAATCTCGAGCAAGTAGCAGGGTGGTTTAGAGATAGTGAGTTCAACCTTGGCGATCAACCTAAGGCAAATGTATCATTGGGAGCCGCAAGGCATTCTTTATAGTTTCTTATTGGCAAGGCGTGAACGGATGAAGAAAAAAGAGAGAAATTGGCAGTTTTGAGCCTTTATATATACTTCTCTAAGAATCCAAACCTGAAACTTTGCTTCTTGATATATAGATTCGATAAGAGAGCCGCAGTTTCATGCGTAAATTTGTGATTCAATATGCATATACTCAAATAAATGGAATACATGTCATATATAAATACATAAAATACGTTTATTTTAATTACATTGTATCAGCAAAAATGTAGCTTGCATACTTTCATGCTGATCTGTAACACATTTGTATCACAGCTTGATTAGAAGCTAGTTTTGACGTGGAATTGATCAAACATTTCAGCGTAAAGAATTCGTTTGGCGAGTTCATTAGCAAAGAGCTTGTATCAACCTATCTTTTATTATCGATGACAGTAATACATATCTCTTCGGTTTGCATCCACAGCAGACTGATCGCGTGAAGCGCCACATTTTGTAAGATTTGGCACTCTACACGACCTCATCACCATTATCCAAGGCTAAATTAGACGCGAGTTGCAAATTTATATACATCGTAAAGCTCGATCGCATTGTTGGCGTGAAATGCTAATTACTGCAGGCTCTTGTTGATAGTATTATCTAATGTTTGTTTGTAAATAGAATGTAGATACAGAAGAAATGCAATTACTGCCCTGAGATTACATAAAACAGCACTTGAATAGGGAAAAAAAAAACATGGATCCGGGCATGATTCAGGGCGTTGTCATTTATCTAAGTACCTAAAATTATAGCGCTATCTAATGCAATACTTGGATAGCAAGATCAAAGCAATCCAAAGTATTCATAAACACAATAATGGCAAAATATTAGATTATTAGAAGCCAAAGTTTTTGCTTATTTGCTCTACAAATGTCGTGAATCTAGTTAAATAAACTACACAATTTGGAGAATAGTAGAAATGACAGAGTATGGCAGGGATGGGAGTACTATACTCACATCACAGTGGATCCAATAAGTTTTTTTTTTTAAATATATAATAAGTTCAATGTATACCCTCCGTGATATACTTTCATCAAATAGATAAACGAGTAAGTGAGAGACATCATCCGCTATCCCTGAATGCAGTTCTTGAGACCTGTTAAAGTCGCATACAATGGCGTTACTTATGTCAGGCTGTTCCATATAAATTCTGGCTCAAAATGATCCGTTTTACTGTTATAAGAATTCCTAAAGCCTGATCCAATACATCAATTTAGCTGGATTTGCTCTTTTTGCCGAAAATAACCCCTTCACTGGATGTCGCTCGGCTATATTGAATTTGCTAGTACATGCGTGCCATATGCTTTGGGTGGGGTAAGCATTCACAACAAACAAACAAACAAACTAGCTGTAAGCATATACTTTCATGCGCACAAATTTATTAACTGTAGAATGATAGGCTAAATATATATAAAATATGCCACTCGATCCAAGAATTGCATGTGAAAGTCTTTCATACTTCAATTGTGAGCACACAAAAGTTATAGCCTGCCAAGCATTTCTTTCAAAACGACCGTGTCACCGCCATGCAAGGCTGAGGGTTGATAATTGACCTGTAGCGTATGTCAATCACAAAATTTATATATAGGAGTTGTCAATGTCGATAAAGGTATGCAAGTCAAGCACAGTTGAACTTTTAAATGCAATAAAATCACTCAAAGCATCTCATCTAAGCAATTGGCGCAGAGTCTAATAGTGTTGAATGGTCTGTCAAGTGTTTTTTACGAGCTCGTAGCTGGATATTCATAACAACTTCTGGATTTCGGAATGATCCAACCGAAATTGGATGCTTTGGATGGCTGGCATCATCATTTATAGCCGAGAAAACACTTCAAGGAGTAGAGACGGTGCCTGAATACACATTTTAACTACCATATGTTTGTTTATCCAACAAAAAAGGATTAGCTATTGTTTGTTTTATTGTAAAGGTAGAGTGTTAAATACATGTGAAAAATCGATTGGTATCGTGAAGCATGTGAGAAGTGGATCATGAGGAGGAGAGAATATACATATAGTTATGAGTGGGGATAGGGAGAGGCTCTTGATAATGTCCCTGGAGAGGAATGGAAGAATTGATCGAAAGGTCCACCTTCAATCACTGTTGTATATTGAAGCACTATGCAAACCAAGGCGGCTAGTAAACTGATGATGATGCTCAGTCGAATGAATCCATACACCAATCTAAATAAGCCACGGATTGTAACTACAATGATTGCAAACAAGGCATATAGGATCAGCATGGCTAGCGCTACTGGGATGATATCTGTTTGTACGGGAATTGAGTTTAATATAGTGTAATAAGTTCGAACGATGGGAGGACTATGCTCGTATAAGACAGCCGCAATTTGAGTTACGATTTGGAATAGCTGATCTGGCGTTGGCGCATGAATCTGAGGCCCAATTTGCTCGTAAAGATAAATGTACCATTTCGAAAATACTTCGGCCGCAATGACATCCATGATATAAATATATGTTTATACAGGAAAGAAGAGAGAAAGAAAGGAAGTATTTTTGAGCCATTTGAAAATTTTGTGTCCTATAGGAGAGGGACGAAGAAATTATTGTGTTACAGGCTGGTGTGGATGATTGTGATCATCTCGCTGAGTTGCAACAGCTAAGATGAAATATACACCAAATGTTGGGAAGGATCAAGCTGGATAAACTTGACATTCAGTCATACAGCGAAGGACAATAAGATTAGTAACAGACTTTGATATTTGCATGCTTAGTATTACGTCTTGTTTAGCTGCAACCTGCCAACTAGTATACATAAATTGGCTTCACACGTCGAGTATCATGATCACAATATTGCAGTTCACATTAAGGCTTGCATTTGCATGAGTAATTCGCAATGTTAAACTAATCAGATACAAAAATACAGCACCAAAGCAAGGCACAATATCCAGACTAATCCGTAGCTCTTTTTGACTTCCATTCGCCTGTCCATGAGCTCTTAACAGCATCAATCAGCATTGAGGTAAGCATGCCATTGAATTTGCCAGCCAAAATTGATTTAATCTCCGGTCATTTTTTTCCTGCTCGAAATGGGAATTTCTGATCCAATTTCGACTTCTTTGAATTATTTTGCAAGATTTGACTATATGAAATGTGATGATTCTTTCAAACTTCCTTAAGCTAGTGCCCGTGGTGGTAGGGCGAAGTGGTTAAGCATCCAACATGCCATTTGGATGATCCCGGTTCAAATCTCAGTGAATGCATTTTGGTGATTATTTTGACGTAGTACTGATGTCCTCGTTTGGTGTTTTGTGCTCTTATCCAGTATCCATATTTTGACGATTCGCATGATTGTATTGGCTCTAGATGTCGCACCTGATTAGTAGTAGATTTCTTTCCCAACTTAGTTCATTATATCTTATTCCTCATCATTGCAGACATTGGGTCCACCAACAGTCTTTTCTTTCCCTCAGTATGACATTTTAAGGGCTTTAAATAAAAAACCTTCTTAAGCTTTCTTGGAGTACTTTTCAAGACGCATCGAATAGTGTTAATTAAACCAAGTGTTTTGATGAAGCTTATTGAGCAATCCATGAACATATGAAATAGCTATTTTGGCCAAAATATTGAGATTTTCTATATAAAAGTCTCACAAGTAAGGTTCCAGGGGTTGTATAGGATTCATAGCATCATTTTGATTTAATAGATGCTATAGTAGAAGTCTTCATTTTTGAGGTTAAAAACGCGATCGTTTGAATTTTCGATGAAAATCATGAGGTATCACTCATGATTTTTTGGTCGATTTTGACGATCCCAAAAAAGTTGAGCAAAGGTGTCAGGAAGTAAGTGATAGATAAAAGCAATTGTTTGGTGTTATTCTCGAGGTCCAAAACGGCTTCCAACACTAGAAATTAAGGCTCAAATGCATCCAAATTACGCTGTGCTTTACCTACTTTTAAATGATAAGAGGCATTGCAGGTATGCTGTCTTCCCGCATAGGAACTGATCTCATAAATAGAGACGTGAAAGCACCCTAGAGAAGTTAGATGCATAACAACAGATCATTGACAAAAGGTTCCCGCTCGATAACAAAGGTTGAAGCGTGAAATTTCAGTATACAGTATATGAGCAGGATTCCTGATTTTTATTCTTCTTTAATTTGAAACAACTTGACATGTGTACCATTCCAAGCGCCATGCTCTTTCATGGAAGAGACGTAGTTTTGACCCCACATCATGCTACGGAACCAAATCACCAAAGCCTCTCCCCACTGGAACTTGCGAATAAAGATGGATTTGCTTTCATCGGCGGGTAAGACATCCTCCAATTGAATAGACTTTAAGAATACCATGAGCTCTTCCAAGGTGGTATTATTATCCTCTGCACATTTCTCCTCTACTTTTGGCACCAAATATTTTAACATGGCCAATATAGTACCCAATGGAATGTTAGACTTCCAGTAAGACAACCATGCCTCTGTTGGGATAAATCCATTGCGACTGGGGCGAACCTGACCTACAGTACTGCTGTCGTTGCTCGTGCTATCCTGTCGAGTAGGTGTTACTTGAATAGGCTCTGGCTTCTTTTTCTTTGTCTCTTCTTCCTGATAGCTACTGGTAGATGCAGTAACAGAAGCATAGGTCGGCTTAGGCTCTTTCTTTTTGGAGTCATCTCCTTCTTGAGGTATCTCTGTAGTGTCGGATGGCCCCTTTTCAATGTGGTTCTCGGGTGGTTTAAGGCTAGTATCATCCTCTTTTGTGGGCGCTGCCTCTACTTCTGCTTCTGTCTTTGATTCTGCTGTTGGTGGCGATGTTGGTGAAGATGATGTTACTGCTACTGCTTCGGTAGAATGCTCGGTTTTTTCAATCTCTTTACTTTCTCTCAATTGTCTTAATCTTTCCACTTCAGCAACTGCACCCTCGAGTGTGAGTTGATCCAACTTTTCAAAGTAGTTGTGATGAAGGACAATGGAATACACCAAGTTGGGGTTCTCTGCATACTGGTAATTGATGATGTTGTTGAATGTTTCCAGCAAGTACGATGTCAGTTGGAAATTGTGTTCGTCAGCCATCAAAAATGAAGGGGATGACATGGAGTGGAATAAGGTCAATAGCTTGGATGCAGTTGTTACACCGATATTTGTCAGATATGGAGAAATATTGGATATAGTCAGTATCAATGCAGGGTACAATGAGGAGAGTTTGCCCTGAGTCGAGGCGATCAACGAGAAAATAGACTACAATAAACGCACAGCGGGATTAGTTGTGTGTCATTTGGCGCAAGCAGGCAAATTACCGTACAATGATCAAAAAGTCTGCATAAGTGCCGTTGAATGCATAGAGTCGGATGGACGATGGGAGTGACGAATGCGTTGAAAACTGCTTGTTTAACTTGGCACTAAAGTCCTTGTTGGATGATAATGTCTGCAGCATGAAAGCACACATACGGACAAGGCCCAGTTGAGCTACGAATTCATATTAATCACTGCTCACTTTCGCACACATTGCGGTACCCACTCATCTTATCTTTGTTATCGACAGCATGGAAAATTAACGCAACCATCAGATCAAGAACGCGATTAGTTTCAACCAGGTACTTTGTGAATCTCTACAAGCAACAAATCAATATGCAGGAAAAAGCAAAATGTACGCAAGCCTTTTTTTTTTTTTTTTTTTTTTTTTTTTTACCGAGTTAATTTCAAGAAGTCTCCAGCACATCATCATGACATTCACAAAACAGCCAACTCGTTTTGTTGAACCCGGTAAATACGTGCTGACTGCGGTCATTGGGTTGCTGAGCAAGCGGTGAATGCCATCCATCAAGAATTTGAAATCTTGATTTCTGTGTAATTTCGACATGTAGTGACGGAAAGCATTTTCTTCGTGTTTGTTGGCTAATTGATCAGCAGGCGTGAAGGCTTCCAATTCCACGCTTGTTTTGGGAATAGCATCGGGATTGTCCAGCGTCAACACTTCCAAGCTTGCAGGAAGATCAGTGGTTGCACTTGTGGGCGATGCAACTTGGTCGTGTTGGCGCATCAGATCCGCCTGCTGTGGTGAACGATAGTCCAACAAAATGAGTAGATTGGTAAGGCAAAAAGATACAAGTTGTTCTCGTGGTCCGCCTTGCACGACGTGATTGTATGGCACCCAGCCCGTTGGATCATAGTTGCAAATCGTGTTCATCAAGCTACACAGGATAACGAGCACAATCTTGCGCTCTAATTTGACAGCAACATAACGAAGCCATAGATCCTCTTTCGAGAGCAATTGAGCTGGAGGTACGTACATGGATTTGGATAATAGCACAGCGAGTAATCGCAGCACTTCGGTTCGATTGGCCTCGTTGTCCTTGTACGTGCTGACAGGAATGGTGGACCCCACACCGTTCTCCCAAATTGCATAATTGACTTTAGACTCCTTGGTGGCCAATGATATTGGGATCGTAAATCCTGCTAAAAATAACGCTTGAATTGTTACTACAATAGAAAGTGCGTCAGTTACCAATGCTTGGCAAAACACCATGATGCCTTACAGTCTAGCAACAATTCACCACGACAAGGCAAGGTGTCATATTCAGGCTTATCATCTGGGTTCTTTTTCTCCTTCTCTACCTGCCTTGGAGTCCAGAAAAATGCATCCTCCCATTCCAGACAATCCGTGCTTTCAAAGACAAACGGAACCAGTCGAGTGAGTATGCGACAGCAATTCAAAAGATGGTTGATCGAGTGCTGTTCAGATGGAAAGTTCTGCGCCTTGAGCAATAGCTGCATCTTGTTCAATACTTTGTCGATCAGAATCTCAAAGTTGCCTCGAGCTGTATCTCTTGTTCGTCTGATATCGTTGGCACCAATCAAGGAGAACACATCGTCTGCAGACTCGGGTAGAATCCAAAACTACAGAGAGTATGTGTCAACTAAATAGCTGCATACACAGAGCGCTTGAGAAGGCATATTACCTGTTCCCAGTATTCATTTTCGGTTACTGGAATGGTCTATGGTAGATAATGCGGGTTGATATCATTTGCATGTATTGATGTGAGTTACGTTTCACTTACTGTTTCTTCGTATAGTCTGAATACGCTTTTTCGAAAGGCAAGTTTGCTGTCTGCTGCTCCCATGTTCAAATGAAGTTGTAGTAGAGAAGACGAGAAAGAAGAATCAGAATGCATCATGATGCTTTTAGGGAAACTTATAGAAAGTTTTCGCGTGCTTTAAAAACATCAGCCACTTTTACGTTGTGCAAGTTTCATGTTGATGATCCCATCAAAGGTAAGCTGAACCATGATTTGCCTGATTAGTGCGGCAGAGCACTGTTATGATGTCGTATTATAAGAGCTGTGAATTTGCAGCTGTAGGTGGTTGGTAACTCTTGTGATTCATAGCAAAGACATTACTTGAGATGGGTGCATAATGGGAGCCTACTGGTTCCTTGTTGTCAAGCGGCTAGAATTAGCATGCCTTTGCATATACACTAGAGCTTGGAGCATAGAATAAAGCTCTAGTGTAATTTATGGGAGTGTACAAGGTACAGACTACTTGTCAGGCTGTCATTATGCAATTCACATCCATATTTCTTATAAATTACATACTATGAGAGCTTGTCATACGTTTTCTCGAGCGGATTGTTATGGCGCTTGTTTCTAGTGGAGCAGTGATACATTATCTTGAGTCCTCTTGTAATGGATCAATAAATCAACTATCAGTGATGGGTGTATAAAGCTGCTGCCAAAACCACCCATATTTTTTTTTTCTTTTCTTCTGTACTCTTGTCACTAATTCTACATAGTCATGGGTAGCGATACGAAAGAATTGTCTCAATCCATCAGCAATCTCTCTCTTAGCACCGTCGCAAAGCGTAGAATGCGCACATCCAAGGAGGAGATGGCTATTTTGGAGCATTATTTTAGTCAAAACAGAAACCCCAACACTGAAAAAAAGAAGGAGATAGCTAAAGCTGTTCAGATGACTGAAAAAAGTGTTCATTTTTGGTTTGTATACGCTTCAATTGTTGTTTGTATACGCTATTTGACATCCAATGCAGGTTTCAAAACCGACGAGCCAAAGAAAACAAAAAGAACAAGACGACGGGCCATCACCAAAAGAAGAAGAGCAATGGTAAGTCGAGAGCGTCCATCTTGTAGCTTGTATTCTTATGAGCTCTCAAAAGGTATCAAGTCGCCAGAGCAATCTCATCTTCCCAAGCAGGCTCAGTTACCCCAAGAGCCACCACAACAACAGCAACAAACTCAGCCATCATTGGTAAATGCTGTTGGCACCTCTGGCATGAGAAAGAAGGACAAGCAGCGCACTCAGTTGCCTCCCATTTCTTCTTTTGTTCGCTGCCATCGTCATCCAGTCGGTCTTGACATCTCTTACTATTTCTATCATAGCGCATTCGGCATTGAAGATAGCATGAGACAGTGGTCTGATTACCATCATGATCATCAAGCACATCACTAATTTGAATCGCAGTTCAGGGCAAAACACACAAAAAAAAAACAAGCTTTCCATTCCACACCTTTGTAATATTTTTCTCTAAAACCATTTGCTTTAATAATATAATAAAGATGGAGCTTTTGCCTACCTTCTCAAACAATAAAAGCACAATGCATCAACAGCAACAGCAGCAGCAGCAAACGAGATTTAAAAGATCATCTTCAATGCCATTGATATTAACGAGGCTTGTAAGATTCACGCAAATGGACTTTGAGGTGAAGAAGAAGCAAGCAAACGTGTAGAATGTAGACTTGGTCATACTAATGAAATAACATACAGTTTGCTTTATGGCAGATGGCCTATCTCCTGATTGCACCGAGGAGAGTGTAAGGTTGTGAATATTCAACAAGCAATTTGTATTCTAATGTGTTTATTTTCGTAGATATCGAAATATCTATTATCACAAACGTAAGTCATTGCAAGTAAACAACTGATCTATCAATAACATATACACTCAAAAGAGACAAAAAACCAATGGGCAAGAGATGATCCAGCATTTCTAGTCTTGCTAGCTTCATTACTATGTGGTAAGTATAGGCTCTACAGAGCGATATATAGACTCGGATCATTGAAAATGACCACTAGTTTCGGCTATTGCTTGGGGATTGGTATTTGGGCTCGGGTTTCTGGGTGTTGTAAAGGCCATGTTGCTCATGGTGCTTGTGGATTTTGTGCTTGTGGGATCCATTGTGGCTACATTTTTGTGGTTTTTTACAAATAGGTTTCTGAATCAAAGCAACGCAATCACGCAAACCAACGATCAGAAAGTAGAATGGGCCTACGCATTCGATGTCCATTGTAATTCCTTTTTCCCATTATTCTTGATCCTGTACATTATCCAGTTCTTCTTTTTGAATCTCTTGATTCGTCATAATTGGGCTTCTTTGGTGATTAGTAATGCCATCTATCTGATTTCCATTGTATGGTACTGTTATGGCACATTTTTAGGATTCAATGGTAAGCGTATGCTAGCAAACAAGTGTGCAAATAGCCTCAACAGATCAACTTGAATAGTGCTGCCCTTCTTGGTTCATACAGAGCTACTGTTGTATCCTATCTTTGGTTTCTTGGTGCTCTTTATCGTATTGTGTGTACTTGGAATCAACCTGAGTGAAAATGCAGTAGGATTTTACTTTGGTTGGAGCTGAATAGAATAAAGAGCACATTCAAGTACAATTACAGATGGACAAAGCAACAAAACAATACCCTTTCTTTTCCCTTCAGAAATCTGATCCATACATGCCATTGAATAATAAAGCAACCTCTTCCAGCGATTTTGTTCCGTATCAACAACCTCCTGTTAGTCGTGCCAGAGATTTACCTTTGCCTAAAAGAAGGAACAAGAACATCAAATGGGAGAAATCAACTGAATACAAGTCAATCAAACAGAAGAAGAGTAAAACAAAAGCCAAACCAATAGCCACCACAACACTTGATGCCACAGCACCGCCTTTATCTTTGTCCATAACCTCAGAAAGTGCCGCATGTAACACTGACTCTTGTCAAATGGATTCAATAGCAGTGGATTCATTGGACGAGGACCATGCAATGCTGGTGGCCGCGTTGGTAGCTTACGATCCATTGATTGCTTTAGTACTGAATGCCAATAGCCATTAATTTCAGCTGGAATCCATGCAATAAATTGTCATTACGCTATCTTCTCCATTCCCATTCGTTTCTTGTTATGAAACCTGCCTACATCCATCCCAGTTTTTTCAAAACATGCGATACATCAAGGTTGGTAGCATGATGAATCGATCTCTGCTCGGCAGTATTCTATATATATGGCTACCCGCTTATTTTTAATATAAGTGCTTGGCAATCTCGCTCGATCCATACTTAAGAAAAGTGGGATGACTGAAGTATTGTTCTGTTAGTTATCGTTTATTACCAAGCCTCCATTATAACAGTATTTCAGGAACAGGCTGAAAGAAGAAAATCTTGTAGTACTAAAATCACTAGATTTTTAATCGAGGATCTTGATATTTCATAGACTACATAATCTACATGCCTACTTATCAGTGTGATGTTTGAGTATCTAATATGTACGTCAGGTATACTGAAAATAGCACGCTAATGAATACCAGAGAAAGAAGACATGTGTGTATATTTAGTTTGCATATACAGATCTTAACCTAAAGAATAGATCAGTAGATACTAAAGAGCTCAAAACGCCACACGTGGAAAGACATAGTAAACACTTGGATCTACATGATCTAGGTATTGGGGTTTTTTTTTGTCGGATTTATACATATTCAGTGCTACTAGCAGTATAACCATCCAGTAATAAATGAATACACATTGCTCATACGGAACATCTCGTTCCACTGTAATTTTTCACCATGGTATTTCCCATTAAGTAAAATTTACAGCCCTGGTGCAGGAATATTTGATAAATGAGGATGCTGACAATTGGTAAACAGATACCGTATTGGGATGGCTAAAATCCTAGCTGTTTGATCAAGAAGATGATTCTCAAACAGAGTTTATAATGAAAACGTCAGGCTTTTACAAATAGAGATTAAAATTCAACACAAGGTTCACACTTGATAATTTACTGTAAACAGCGATAAGAATGACATTTTATATATTGGGATTGATATTTCACTATACTTACACTAATATAAACAACAGTCTGATAGGGTCTATATATCTTTTCCTCCTTGTAACGAAAAAGGAAATTCACTACGAAGGAGATAGCACACACACTAGAACATTCATTTTTTTTTATTATCTAATACTCCCACAGTAAACAATGCCTTTCTTCCTGCGATTATTTTCCGATGTGTCCTTGGCAGGTTAAGCTACTGAATTTTGACAGCTGACAATGAATTACAATTCTTGATCTGATGGGATCAGAAAAAATAAAGGGGTAACGGAAAAGGTCCATCGTCAGTGGTTCAATGGTAGCAAGTAAAAAGGGAATGGGAAAGCAGAGCAAAGAGAAGGTATTTTCTTGTAATTCAACCTTATCCATGTACTCGGGCCATGCTAATTTCTTTATTTACATGTAACCCGTGTGATCAAAACAACTTGATTTCAATTTCCTATTTAAAGATTGTTTCCTTACGATAATAATATGCTATACAGAAGCTTCTGGTATAGGTGAAAATATGCTGAATTTGGCTTCTTGTTTATGTTTATCTACACCGCAATAATGTACTCCTTTTTTGCCCTCATTTTCTTTTATCGTGTGTTCTTTGCATCTTTGTAGGAGTAATAAAAAAAAAAAAAGAGTTGGGTTCTGATTTATCACCATGAATAACCCGAGATTGGATTGCTTGCGTGGGATTTTGAGTGTAATTAGGATGTTGTATACAACAAGGAGTCTAGGAGATGTTTACAGATTGGTATCACTCTTTCATCATAATCAAAAATTTCGCATTATTGTAAACCGGGTATAGTCTCGGTTCATTCATGTACGATGATACATATTGACGGATAAAATATGAGCATGAGAAAGATGGATGATGCCAAAGATAATCAAATCACGATACAACCGAAGCAAGCTGGTTGCAGTTAAAATACGACACAACACATTTCTCGGTTCGACATGTTACAATTTTGTATGCGGTTTATCCGTTTTGATTGGGTGCATTGCCAATGGTAACGTATTATCGTATTCTAGGCTTTTTATTTGTGTTTATTGTAATTCACAATAAGTGTAGCAATCCGCTTTTAACATTCGACATGGAATAAGTGCAAAGAAATCATGTGTTTTAATTTCTTTTTGATATTATTGCAAGTGTTACACCTGCAAAAAGACCACTTGTATGCAGCCCAGGTATCATTAACTCTATTTTTCTCGATTTTACATGTCTGTGAATGTCTGATTCTACATCCTCAAATATCCATCTCCCTGATTTTGACCAGAAATAAAAATAGAGTTATAAAAAGAGACATGAGAGACATGACTTTCTCAAACTTCTCTCTCTCTCTCTTTCTCTTCTTTCTACGTTTAATTTCAAATCTTTCCTTATCTCTATTTTTTTTTCCAAATGACTACATTCAATTACATGTACAATCATCTACCCACCTCTTCTATAGAAGACTATTTCTTAAATGCTTCGGTTTTGCTGGGCAATCAGGGCCAACAAGATCAATCTCCAGCTGCGCATGCTTCTAGCTGTGGTAGCACGGCAGTTAGTAGTAACAGCAGTAGCAGCAATAGTTGCATTGATGACTTTGACTTTATGAATCCATTACTATCTACTGGCATGTTTACCCCGGCCTCCACTATTGTGTATGATGATGGTATGTCTTGCTCCTCCTCTTATCCAATGTCGAGCAATGAAGCGATGAGCTATTTCTTCTTGCCTACGCCTGCTCTTACTGTCTGCTCCGGGCTATACGATGAGCCTTCAGCCAAGATGGAATACGATGAAGTCAATTGCTTTTCCCCTCCTCAGCAGCAGCGATTGCAACCACAAGATATGTCATTCTACGAAGAAGATTACCTTCAACCACAGCAATATCCCAACTCACCAGCATCAATGTATTCTACTGATTCTCTTTATGTCACAACCAAACAGGAAGCATTTGTAGCAGCAGATCAAATACAGCAGACGGAAGCACAGACCCAAGAAGAGATGGCAAAAGAGCTTGCCGCATTCACAACATTATCATCATCATTATCATCATCATCATCATCATCATCATCATCATCATCGTCATCATCGTCATCATCATCATCCACTACCACAACATCCCGTCCAAAACTCTTTGCCTGCATACACTGCAATCGCACATTTGCTCGCAAGTATGATGCTGCAAGACATAAGCGAATTCATACAGGCGTCAAGCCCTACTTTTGTCCTTGCTGCAATAAGGGATTCGCTCGCTCTGATGCTCGGGTCCGTCATTTTCGCACAGAATACAAATGTCGGGATGGTGCCGATAAAATACAGCAAAATCGACAACGAAATCACAAGTAAAGATGCACAGCGCCCATTTCAAACACTTTGTGTCACTCTTGAATCTATGCACATGCAAAACAGCTCTCATTTCATCGTTTTCTTAGTCATTTTTACCATTATAATATGTCGTATGCTTTATGCTTTTTTTTTATATATATCATCTTTATTCATCCCATCATTTCCTTTTCTCTGAATCACAGCCCTCTCATTGTTAAGCATCCATTATTGTATACACGCACTTTTATCACACATGTTGTTTATACCATTTCGCGTCTGCTTAGGTTTTCAATTGAAACTGAATGTTATTATAATAAATCATTTTGTTTTGGCCATGTTGTAAATTTGTTTGTATATACACACATCCTAGATAATGAAGACCTCTCAAGCATCCTTCCATATATATATATAAACCCAAGGTACATGTAACAGACTCGCTTCAGAACGACTTTAGAACAAATGCATGTGAATTTATTCACTTCAAAAAGCGGTAGAATAACTACATGTAACAAGCGTCTTATCGTACCATTTCAGTCCATCTGAAATAGAAGCAACAGCCTTAAATTCATATATACGACATGGGCTCAAATTTCGTGACAATAAATGCAATTGAGATGTGTTTATTGTCTGCAGTATATACCCCTTTCTCTCTTATTAAACTTTTGGGGATGATAAGTGAAACCATATTAACTTCAATCGATCATCCAAGGTACTTCATTTGCCAATAAAAGGCTGGCGTATAAATCGAGTGCAAAGGTAATCAGAAGTTTTTTTTCGTAAGGGGCAGGCTACTAAATTACATTAAACAGAAAAAAAAAAGGCTTCTCTATCATCTGCTTTTGCTAATAGTATATCGGTTTTGTATATATATATATATATATATTTAATTACTCTTTTCAGTATTCCATTAGTTTGCTCTTTGTACACAAAAGACTATTTGTGTAATGATACTACCAATACACACCTGTAGTATCCAATGAAAGAGCACATTCCAGGCAATCTGATAGAGATATTTTGGAGAGAACACGGTCCAAATGAACAGATGCTCCCTGAGAACAGTGACCGAGATGGACAGCGTTGTCATGACAACGCTGAATAGTATAGCATGTGTCAGCATGTAAGAGAACCACTTGTTTTCATGCGATGAGATGAATGTCCAACCAGCGACTGACCACCAGATGCTTCCAGACCAATTTGAGCAAAACGTCAGTAGGCCGATAAGGATTGTATCATATTCTTCAACACCAACATAAGCATTGCTCAGGTCTACAGATGCAATGGAATTGCTGTGTCCTGTCAAAAAGAAGGAGGCATGACTCAAACACGCGACAAGTACGCCAATCAGCCATGTAGGCACAGAATGCTTGCAGCTATCCTGCAGATAGGCATAGGATCTTGTCAGTAGCTCAAATTGCACATGAAAGAGCACGAATAGGAAAGCATTTTCTGGTCTAGTCAGTAAGATCAAAAGCGGCGTAATCAGGCACAACAGCATTTGGAGTATCAGTGTTCGCTTATTATCTACGATACGAGGATCAATGGACGATTTCTGGGCTGAGAGTATCGATCTACTTGCCTACTAGGATCATGCTTCGCTCATGTGCTTGCTGGAGTGCTTGTGTTTGGAGTGCTTCTTGGTCGTCGTTGTTGTCATGTTGCTCGTCTTGTTCATCAATGTCTTGAACCAACTCCAATAAATGGGCTCTCTTTGTTACATAGAACAATCCGCCCAAAACAAACAAACCTGCTCCTCCATAATTGTAAATCAGCTTTCCAAGAGCAACTTGATCCAGAGGCTGAACTAGCTCCCAACTTAGTAAGCTTGCATACATTACAGGCACCTCATCGATGGTATCGGCTGTTGCTGTTTTCAGTTTATAAACAAAGACTAGCAATGACACAAGTACAACAATGATCAGCATAGCGGATCGAACAAGGTTTTGGATGATTTTGGATGTAGAATTGACGTCTATCACGCTGGACTGACTAGAAAGCTTGTACAAGGTGTTGATCCCGAATATCACCGTTGTGAATAAAGTAAGACCCATCAAATGCCACTGTACTCCAGTGTAGGATAGTATCAAATCAGAAAGCTGGTTGTGGTTCCAAGCGATTGCTGTGCGCACAAGGAGCATCTGCGCAAAACATAGACTAATTGGGTATAGCATTTGGTCAACTGTAAGGACCGGAATACGGAAGCTACTCAATAAATGGTGTTACGCATGTGGAAACATCACATTAAGAGTACACAAACCTGGATATAGCCGATAGTAATGTCAGCGTCTGTACTAGATAATACCACGTATAATGCTCTTCCTCGACAAAGCTGCTTGCAAACATGCTCGCCGCATACAAGATCAAGCCAAGCACGCTGAAATATTGACTGAAGCTCCAAATACCAACGGAATGTGTTTGTTGCTTAAACAAGAGCGATAAACAGATGAGCCCGATCGTGCTACAGCTTATCAACACAACACCTGCCACCATGAATTGAATGTTGTAATCACTGGCTGTATTGGATAGCTGTGCTTGTGTAGCTTCTATAAACTTGATAGGCAAATCTATCGATCAGAACACGCGCTTGCAAAGAGAAAAGCACATGAAAATGAGCTTACATGGTAATAGAGCTCTATCGCTTGTTTGGCCGCAGCTGCATCTTTGGAGATGAGATACTCTTGATGTAACGATAAGGCCCGGGCATATGATTGTCCAAACACTAGAGTTGCATCATTGACATGAGCAGATGGTGCGTCCAAATAGCCAGTGATCTCTGGTGCTATTTTTGATAACAACTGTCCTAACTGAGATGCATTCAGCAGCACGCTGTTGAGAATGCTTGTGAAATCTAGTGTATTTGGTGTGAGATTGTGCTTGTTGTTATCTCTTGTTAATTTCATTTACCTTGCTTGGAAGCATATAAATCTAAAATCACCTTTCCGAGATTGTTCTTTGGGATAGGAAATGAAAATAGCGTTGCTAATGTGGGCACAATGTCAATCTGATCAATCACTGGAAATTCGAGAACATGCTGTCGATGCGCTAACAGTGTTGAAAGCGGTTGCTGCTGCTGCTTCTTGGTGGGTCTCGATTCAAACCTTGGACTCATGAAAACAAGCCCTGCCGAGGTTTCCCCAACAGAGGATCCACCATGGTTGCCCTTTTCATTCATTCCGTGATCTCCACACACTACCATCAATGTTCCCTTTGCATTGCTCTGCTCTTGCATGCGTTTGGCATCTTGTTCTGCCACAATCGTGTAGATAGACTCAATTGCCTGATCCATCTCCATTTGCTTAGGCTTCATCAATGGACTTTGAGGCCCACCTAAATGACCAATGTGATCCAATCCCAGATAGTGAAATATCACAGCATCCCAATCTGGCTCCACAAGATCTGTCTTGATGTGTCGAGTGACATTGAGATCCACCTCGGTGGTATCAGACACAAAAAACGATGTGGTGCCATCTGTTTTGTCAAATATGCTAGGGAAGAGCCGCATCCATGTATCGTCGCCAAAAAAATGGATCGTCTTGTTTTGCTGCTTAAACTGGTAGACCCAATTATCATGATTCTCGAGCGAAGAAGTGGTATCTGATTCTGCAATGTTCAAGATGGCATCCAAGAAGCTGGGAATCGTGCCTGTGGTCAATGCTTTAATGCGAGGCAATGTGACAGTAGGTGCTGTTGCTTTGGCTGTAAATGGATATGCTGTGCCTTGCTCGATATGGCTATTCACAAACTGGAACCCAGAATCTTTTCCAATCAGGAAATCACTAGTACCAGCATTGTTAGCAATCTACAGCTAGGTGGTACTGTAGCCCAGCTTACTTTCTCAGGGCATCGATAAGCACAAATACAAGCCTGTCAAATTCTGGCTCTTGTGTTTGCTTATGCAAGCTGAATTGATCACCTTCAGCAGCGTATCCAGATAGATAAATCTTGTATGGAAAGAAGCCTTTGCAGAACAACGCAATGCCTGAAATTTGTATCAATGCCAATATACATGTGTATATTGTCTTTCGGCCAATGTTGAGCATGAATCGATTGTTTGCGCGTGTATAACTCCAAGAAGAACAAGGTTAAGAATATCCAGGTTTCCAGCGAATTCATTTATGCGGAGTTGCCCTATCTCGCTTCTCCCGATGCCTTGATCCCTTCGCCAACTTGCCTTGTACCTTTCCTGAAGCTTTCACTCGTGACTCTCAAGTGGCTTATGGTTGAAGGTCGACTTTTTTGATTTATGAGGAAAAAAATTATGGGCAATCAAAAAACTTCTTTTTATATTATCCTAGAAACAGTAATCAACATGAGCCAAAAATTAGATTTACAACAGGTAATATTGAGCCTCTATACACACACAGGCAGATGTTGGGATGGCGACTAACTAATTGATGAAATGTTAGGCCAAGAAAGCCATCGCTGCCTTGTACAAAAAGAACAAACAGAGTTCTGGAAATGACATGCTTCAAAGCGACGAGGACAGCTTCATTTATGTCGAAATTTACACCCACAAAATTATGAACAAGGCTCAAAGTAAACAAAAGCAAATGTGAGTTGTTGACATGGCAATACAGACAAGTAAGAGACTAATGCATGCTGCCTTTGATAGTAAACTGCCCAGCAGCCCTTATCCTGATAACTATGAAATCTGCTATTTCACCAAAGACGATGTGAAGAAGGTTGAAGAAAAGACCAAAAACACTGCCATCAAAAAGGTAGGTCGATAGTCAATTGCAGATGAAAAGTGTACCTCTGACATTTGTGCCCTTGAAACACTAGGTCATCGATCTCAACACTCTTAAAACCGTATACAAATCTTACGAATCCAAGAGAAAGCTTGCTGCCTCTTATAACTTATATGTTGTTGACGACAGAGTGGCTCCATTGATTCCCGGTCTTCTCGGCAAGTCCTTCCAAGCCAAAAACAGGTAAGCATTGGCAGCAAGATTTGATCATCGGGACAGAGTATTCATACAATTTTTCTTACAATTAGAATGCCCATGAAGATGAAGCATTCCGGACTGATGAAGACAAACGTCGAAAACATTTTGCACTCTACCAACGTCAAATTACACAACGGCCTCAAGACGTAAGTAGATGCTAGAATTTAGAAGGGAGAGGGGCATGTGGGATTATAAGAAAAAGTGTGTACTCACTATTGCATCTAGTCAAGTTCTCATTGGTAACTTTGGTATGTCTGAAAAGGATGTTTTGAAGAATTATGAAGCTGCTGTTCCTGAGATTGTAAAGATTGCTGCTCATGGATGGGATCAAGTTGAAATGCTCGGTGTCAAATGTGAAGGTCTTCCTTACCTCCCCACCTACACATCTTTCCCCAAGGCTGACAGCAAGACTACTGCTGAAAAGAAGCAATCTACCAAGGAGGAGAAGAAGAAGGAGGCTGCTCCTGCCAAGAAGACTGCCGCTGCTGAGAAGAAGACTGCCGCTGCTGAGAAGAAGACTGCCGCTGCTGAGAAGAAGGCTGCCGCTGCTGAGAAGAAGGCTGCTCCTGCTAAAAAGGCTACTGCTGCTGCTCCTAAGAAGGCTGCCACTACTACAACTACCAAGAAGGCCGCTGCCAACAAGAAGAATGCTGTTGCACCTGCCAAAAAGACCGAGACAAAGAAGGTTACAAAGAAGGTTGCTGCATCCAAGAGCAAGAAATAGAGTACTATCACAAACAGACCCAAAAATTCTACCATATTTGCATTTTCACAACTGATTTCTTCTTTTACTTAACCCCTTTTTCGTTATCCCCCTCCCACATCGTTATTGCTTAGTTGTTTATATTTAAGGGTAAAAAAAGAAGAATGATTATATATATAATATAAACCCGTAATAAAACAGTTTTTTTTATACAAAATCTCTAGCAATATATTTGCCATGAGCTTGCTTGGGGGGAGGGGGGGTTTGCATTAAACTTGATAATATGGGCGGATATCACATCAAAGACCAGATGCAATTGTTGGCATCTACACTTGAATTGGGCAGATTTTGATCTCGTTCAATATTCAATCACTAGTAGCTTGGATTGCACAGGTTTACGAAATGTAACGTGATCCACATGTACTTCTTTTGATAGCCATGCAAAGGGTATGATTGTATATTAACTTTTATTACACTTTCATGATAATGGATATGATATTAGAGAGCTCTTACAGCTCCTTCTTGGCAGTACTATTACGCGAGGCATTCTTGGGAGCCCAGGGCAAGAATTTGTTGACAGATTTGCGGTACTCTGTATAAGCAGGATACTTCTCGCTGGAAATTCTCTATAAGATGAAGAGAAATACGTCAACATCGATTTAACAATACAATACAAATGAATAACCTACCTCTGTGAGTGCTGTGCTACCTTGAAACAAGGCAGTCAAAACAATAGGAGCAGCGATTGTCCAGTTAAGGTATGTTCTCAGGTCAGTTGTGCCTGATGCTTCTTGTACGGCAGCAACCGAAAACAGATAGATGACCCACCACATTGCTTGTTCAGCAAAGAAATTAGGATGACGACTATATTGAAACAATCCAGAATGCCACAAGAAGCCCAACTTGTAGTCGCCTTTAAGCTGATCCTTGTTCAAGTGGCTCAGCAGTGCGTATTTCTCGGTTTGGAAAACATATTGCTGTTCATCAGCGACCACCTCAATAAACAAGAAAGCTAAATGGAGTGTCACCGTGATCCAATCCAAAGTGGACAACCCTGTGGTAGTATGTGTTGACGCATTCGAAAATAAAGTATGTGTGATATAAAGAGGTGCAACCATAAACAAGAGAAGAAGGTTTTGAAAAGGGGCAATGAACACAAGGTTCAACAGTGCCATACCAACAGGGCCAAGTTGTTCACGCAAGTAAGGGAAACGGTAATCATGACCAGTAAAGTAATAGCCGCCCTTTCTATATGTAGATCCGTATTTGAATCCACTTTGCACTTGTAGCATTATGATTTACTTACCTGGCAAAGTTGTATGTGAGACGAGCTCCCCAGATGGAGATTAGGATAGTGCCAACCAAGAGTCTGGGATGAAAGCTCCCATTCAAGAGATAGTCATGGATAGTATAGTGCCAAGCATAAAGGCCAGGCAGAATAGACCACGCTCTGTCTATTTGATACATTTTGTGAGCGAGTCATGTATTGCATGATTCCTGCTACATGCAATCTCTTACCGACTTGACTGTAATTTTTGGTAATTTCAGACATGATATAATGCACTGTAATCAATACACTTGAAAAGTAGAGGGAGGACTCGAGAGGATCGGTATCCTTGTAGAGTGTGAAGAGCTGCGAAGGATCCTTCAGGCTAGATGATACGAAAGAACTGATGGCAGACAAAGATGTGATGTTGTGGAAATACGTCTTTAGTACGTTGCAAGCATATTCCCAGGTTGCGCCCTGAGGGAAATTTGGTCCAGCATGCGTGAACCAGTGAATAACAGATGCTTGTCCCATGATTGTATGGATTCGGGCTGTAAGAAAGAGCAGAGGAAGAATCAAGCTTTTGGATCTCTTTGTAACCACCATTTCGTGACTCGATAAAACGTATGAATTGAAATTGCAATCGTATCGTGGATTCTCTGTTATGCCAAAGATGGTGATAGTTTTTTCACAGTGTCGTCATTGTAGTATCCAGTAAATTCGTTCTATTTCTTTCTGTCGTATAGTGCATGATTGTCAATTTTCTGATCTAGGATTTCAAGTTCAGTTATAGTGCCATCGACGATTCATCTGAAACCATAATTCTGTGCTAAAATGGTGTCAATGATGATTCGAGTAGCAGGAAATAAATACGGCAGTAGATCGTAATTGGCATTTCTCTAACTAAAATTCCAAATATCTGTTTATTATATATTATGAAGGGGAATCAATCAGTCGTCCAACTAGCAGTAATCTTCATCCTCCGTATCCGATGTATGGCCTAGCACATCAGCCCACCCGAACGATCTTTCAATAGCTTCCTTCCATCCATTGTACATTTTTTCACGCTTGCGATCCGAAATTTGGGATATATATGTAGTTCGACCATCTTCGTTTACATGCTGAAGATCATCAATGCTCTTCCAAATGCCCATTGCCAAGCCAGCAGCAATAGCTGCACCGAGAGCTGTTGTCTCTCTCATTTCAGGTCGATCTACCTCTATATTCAGCACATCCGCTTGAATTTGCATACACACATCTGAATTTGAGACACCGCCATCCACCTTGAGTGACCGTAAAGGCTGCTGAGCGTCTTTGTTCATGGCTTCCAGGATGGCTCGAGTTTGGTAACAGACAGCCTCCAGTGTGGCTCGAGCAATGTGCTCTCGTTTCGTAAACTGTGTCAACCCACAGATAGTGCCTCGAGCATCATTTCTCCAGTAAGGCGCAAACAAACCGCTGAATGCTGTGACAAAATAGACGCCTGCCGTACTTTTGACCTTGCTTGCTAATTCATTGATCTGTTGCGCATTGTCTATAATGCCCATGTTGTCTCGCAACCATTGTATAGACGAGCCAGCAACAGCGACCGATCCTTCCAAGGCATACACCGGAGATTGACCATCAAATTGATATGCGACCGTGCTGAGCAGGCCATTCTTGGAGAACACAGGCTTATCACCAACATTGAACAACATGAAGCAGCCAGTGCCATATGTGTTCTTGGCATCACCCGTGCGGAAGCACTTTTGGCCAACCAATGCACTTTGTTGATCGCCTAGACAGCCACTGATAGGCACATTTTGAAGTGAGCCACTGCTGATTTTGCCATAGATGGAGGAAGAGGGCATGATTTTAGCCAGTTTGAGACCACCGAAACCAAAGAAGCTGATATAAATAGTTAGCATGAGTAACAAACAATGTAAAAGTGGATACATACTTTATTGCTTTCTCACTCCACTGTAGTGTGTTGATGTCCATCAGCATCGTGCGGCTTGCGTTTGTCACATCTGTCACCAGGACACCGCCATGATCAACACCTCCCGTTAGGTTCTATGCAGACAAAACAAATAAATACATTGCACACCATGCATGAACATAAAACAAACATACGTAAATTAGCCATGTATCGATTGTGCCAAACTGTAAGCGGTTGTTTTCATGTGCCTCTTTCACTTCAGGCACATGGTCCAACATCCATTTCAATTTAACAGCTGAGAAGTAGGTTGTGATGGGCAAGCCACAAATATCACGAAGGGCTTCAATACCCTGTTGTTCCTTGGGCAAGTGAGATTGATTAGCTAATTCTTGCACAGTGTGGCAAGTACGGTTGTCGCTCCAAACAATAGCAGGGCACAGCGGGTGTCCAGTTTCACTATCCCATGCGACAGTTGTTTCGCGCTGATTTGTGATGCCTACACATTCAATATTGGAAGCATCGTAGCCCATCAGTCCAAGCTTGCGCACGGCATGTTCGATACATGTATCGACAGAAGCCAGAATATCGTAGGGATCATGCTCCACCCATCTGTACGGTTGTGTGAGTCCTATGAACTGGGACCCACATTTTTATGTGAAAGAACGTACCCTGGATGTGAGTAGTGCTGTTCAAATTCCATTTGATGCCATGTTATGAGTTTGCCGTCTTGATTAAAGATGACGAATCGTGTGGATGTGGTGCCCTGATCAATGGCACCTATAAATCGGTCTTGAGTCATTTTTTTTTTAGAGTTTTTAGGTAATATCTGAAAGAAGGAAGAAAAGAAAGAACGGGAGAAAACATGCATTTAAATATGCTTGTGAGAATGAATTTCATGTGTAACAATCCAAACAGACAATGCAGCTTATAATTCAAATTAGTGTAAATGCTGAATTTTGATCAAGTTTATGGAGAAATGATGTAATTTTTAGCACTACTTTTAAATCCAATAAAGCTGTCAAAAAAAAAGGGAGAGAGAGAGAGAGGAAATGATGACTTTATAATGTAATATTTTATATATATAATAATAAAATAAAATAAAAAATAAAAAAAAAAAGTAGAATGCAAGTATATATAAAAATCATAGATTTAGGCTCTGACAGCACACAATTCAGGGTTGCAATGGCTGGTAAATGAGCTTTGCTCAGATTCTATTTGGAGAGTGGAGTGATGAACACCATATACATCACAGACAATATGCTGACCCTTTGACAAAACTTCGTCATAATTGCTGGCATTATGGTCGATGGTAATATGAGCGGTTAAAGAGTATTTACCGGGAGATAAGGTCCACACATGCAAATCATGCACGGCAATGACACCAGGCACATCCAACAGGGACTTTTCAATCAAATCAGGGTGAATATTTCCAGGCACACCTTCCATCAAGACGGCTAATGAATCCTTGACAAGGTGGTAGGTTGTGTACAAGACCAAAATCGAAAAGAAAAAGGTACACAAAGGATCGACAAATGTCATTTCGGGCTTGAAGATCAGGATGATGGATGAAACAAGCACACCTGGATGGGATTTGAAATGCTTAGACTTTCGGTATCATAACACATACGCACATCATCACGTTTTATCTTACCGACAGAGGCCAATAAGTCGCCAAGTACATGGAGGGCAGCAGCTCTAAGATTGATGTTGGTCTCCTAATCGTAAGGTGGATAAGTATGATGTCGATCTTATTCGGGGAATTACTCGAACCTTGTGAGTGTGATTGCTTGTCTCGTTTTCAATGTGGGCATGTTCCTCTTCATCATGCGAATGGCCATGATGATGTCCGCCCAACACATAGGCCAATCTACTCTCCCATTAATAATCATCGCCAAACAGACACTTCATTGCTTCCAACACTTACACAACGTTAACGAGAACACCAATGGTTGCTGTAATGCACATCTATCTCTATCTGTGAGTATAAAAGTCGTACAAATCACACCACCCAGCTTGTTCTTACCAATTTAGCATTAATGACTTGAGGATTTCTAATACGTTGAATGGCTTCATGGACCAAGAAACCTGTAAGCACCCAGATTGTCAATACGGAAACAAGAGCAGCGATAACCTCAGCACGATGAAAGCCAAATGTGTGTCCTGTTTCAATGCAACATTGACTGGTTAACTGAAATCCAGTCTTACAAAGGTAAATCCTATACTTACTCTTGGTTGCTGGCTTCTCTGCCAAGTAAATTGCTGCTAATGCAACGATGAAACTGGCTACATCTGATAATAAGTGAAACGCGTCGGACATCAAAGCTATAGTCAATTAACCCAAATAATGAAAAATTTTAGTTGTGATCAAACAAGAGCAGCACAGTAATATACTTTACCCAAAGAATTAGCAAAGTAGCCTGCCACCAGCTCGGTAGCAAAGAAACAGCATGCTAGACAGACGGCAAACCACAACTTTCTCTTTGTAGATTGAGCAGCAGAGCGATCTTTGAGAGTGTTGTTTGAACAATTTTGTGGGCTGCTGACTGTGTAAGAGACGACGGAGCCTCCTGTTGTATGTGTGTTCAACAGTGGCTCTCTTTCCAAGTTTTTAGTTGAATTCGACATATTCTTCCGGAAACTAGTTTTTCACTGTTGTTGACAAAAGAGAAAGAAAGGAGAGAGAGAGAGGGAGAGAAGGAGTAAAAGGATGAACTGAGGGAATTATATCTCATTTTTCAGCTGCACGTTGCGATTCAATATCAGCTGTGTATGTCTCTGTCCTTGCCTTCGCTCTCTTCCTCGCTCGCTCCCTCTCTTCCTCTTATGGTTATAAGCAGTAGCAACAGGCTTCGACATCATACAGCCTATTTTTTCCGATATCCAGTCATACTATCCAATCTGCTTGTTTTAGTCAAATCTAAAAATTAGGTCCCCAATAAGATCAAGGTGAAATGAAATTATCATGTCCAATCAATCGCATTGACATGCTGCTTGAAACTGGTTAGCAAGCAGGCATCATTTGATTGCTCATCATGTTTCAATGTCGCTTTGAATGGCAAGTGCTATTGACAGTGTAATGCTGCCTGTTCATTCATTCAAATGTCGAGATTCATTCGTTTCATTGTGCCCTGAATGAGACTCATCGAGTAATTTAACAGTGCATGGGACGTATTCGGTGTGAACGAGCTTTCTCCATGCTTGTACTACTGAGGCTTGTCACTAAGAGCTGCCAGATCAAGATCCATCAAATCATTTCACATGCCACTTCACCTGGCGCTGAGTGTCAGCTCATACACTGCCACCCGATAACACAGACTCTAGCATGGCCCATTGTTCCTAATATACTCCTTTGCGACATCTTTTGCTAGGATTGAAGAATCGTACTGATTCCAACGGTTTTTTTGATGCATGATGTAAAAATTTATTAGAAATTTATTAAAGAATGCCGCTTGAATTGATGCATCAATACTAAAAGATCACTCTTTTTTTTTAATTTAGGACAACAGGATACAAGAGCACTGCCTTGTCATCGATGACTCAAGATTACATACCATTCTTAATACGGTCATCCAAATAAAATCACCCAAAGCTTGATTTGTGGCATGTATATCCCCAAGCTTCGCATTTGGATTCGATATTTGCAGCAATTAAATCAAACAAATAGGAAACCCCCACAAAAAAGCGTAATACCGTAGCTAGATTGACCTATAGAATATCTAAATTTGCAATTCCCTTCTTATGAGCTTCACAAACATCGACAAACTTCATATTTGGATAAACAATACTGATATTGCCAGCCAACTGAACATTTAAACACTGGTCTCCACTTTTTGACCAGATTGGCCAAATGTTGATCAAAATCGACCTGTTTGATCTATTTTGTCACATTGGACTATGAGTTCTGTGATAATCCCCCCTATACTTCCTAATGCATTCTAAAAAGTACTCTTCAAGGCGCATCCAATGGTGCTAATTACTATACATGTTTCGAATAAACTTATTGAGCAAATCTGGAATACATGAAATGAGGTTTTTGGCAAAAATGTCGAGAGTTTACATATGAAAATCTCAAAAACCAAGTTTCAGCGGTTGCTTTGGATCAAGAGAAGCATTTTGATGTAATATACACCATAACAAAAGTCTTTGTTTTCAAGGTCAAAAACGCGATCGTTTGATTTTCGATAAAAATCATGAGGTATATCATTCATGGTTTTTGGTCGATTTTTTGACGATCCCAAAAAAAAAGTTGAGCAAAGATGTCAGAAAGTAGCTGCTAGACAAGAGCAATTGTTTGCCGCTATTCCGGCGGTCTAAAACGGCTTCTAGTGCGAGGAATTAGAGCTCAAGGTTTTCCAGATTTAGCTGTAATTCGTATGTTTTGGAGTAGTAGGAGGTATTGTAAGTATGCTGAGTACCCATATGTGATTTGATACCATTGATACCGATGTAGAGCATCCCAGAAGAGCTAAATCCACAGCTATATGTCAATTACATGAGAATCTCAAGTACTAGTGAAGGCTTAAAAAGTGAATTTTAATATGTATCCGCAAGATAGCAGGTCCAGGGACAACCGTTTGCTGTTAACATGTCTTGATTAGGTACAGTACATTTCTGAAAATATAAATAAGGTTTATTGTACAAGATTATCTAACGATTCTCATCTAGCGATTAAATTTTAGCCGCACTAGCATGATCGAAAGAAGCCTTAAACTCATCGACATGACACATTCTACAATCAGCGTTATTATCTTCGCACAAGATCAATCTTTGAAGCAAAGCGTCCGCACGCAAACCGTCTAATTTGGTATCTTGAGTTTGCATGTTACGCCATGCCCATGCACGGCTGTATTCGGTATCAATGCCTTCTACAATATCTCTAATTTTGAATCCAATAACTGGAATGAATCTGTACCCCATGTGTGAGTGAGTACTCTGGATTTAGTCGCCCAATTGATATACTTACTTGAGTCCATGACCCGAATCACCACAAGCTACTAGGAGATTCTTGTAGTCTGGATGAGGACCAATGACAAAATCGCCATCAATTGAATCAGAGTACCTTTTTTGCATTTTGGTGAGCACCTGCAAACACATTCACAATCTACATATTCACTCACCAACACACTCTTCCAAAGGAGATGTCTAGATTTGAAGTCTCAGGAAGAAATTTACCCATAAACTGACGGAACTCACGCAGAGCACCAATAGGAATAGTGTCTCCAGTATGTGTCACTTGCGTTCTAGGTACGGATACCTCGTCAGTGGCACGAGGATTAAGATAGCTAGCAAGATAAAAGGTTAAACACGCACTCTTTCAGACACCTAGAAGCGATAACTCACCCGCTGTGATGCTTGCCTATCTTCATCTTGCCATCTGCGTTGCAAGGGAAGCCATAGTAGCCTGTATTAGATAGATCACCACACCAGACAGGCAATTTTTCCCACTCTCTTCTCAAATGCTGTGGAGGCTGAAAGTGGATGACCTGTTGACCTGTTGCCACGACTTGTTTGTGCATGTCCACCACACCACTCGTCCATGATCCCGTAGTCAACAATACTCTATCACCGTAGTGGATCTTGCCATCTGCTGTCTTGATGCCTACCACTGTATTTGGTGATTTGGGATCGCAGTAGAGACTGTCCAAGCAGCCAGTGTCCATTCCAGTAACAAAATGGACATCCAGGTCAAGGCATTTGTTGTAAATGTGTTTCACAGCTTCAGACGAGTTGCACCAACCTATGTGTGTACAAACAAATAGTCAATCACTGTAGCACACATCATATCTCAAGACGATTACCTCCTTCCTTGTTCAAATAAGCTGTATTGAACCCATTCTCAACTGCCTTTTGGAATTGTGGGAATTTCTCAATGATTTGTTCTGGACTAATGAACTCTTCAATGAAATGGCCATAGCCTGCCTCACGAATGTTCTTCATACAATCTCTCTCAAAGTCTGAAAACTTGTCCTTGCCTGAGAACAGCAAGACGCCGCTTTGATGGAAAACAGGCTCCAGATTCTTTTCGGCTCTTTCCTTGTTCCATTGGCGCCACATACCAAATGCCTCGACCATCAAGTGCATGTACAGAGTGTCATTGGCATAATCCATGCGGACAATCTTGTTGATGTCTGTCGCATGGACACAGTCAGGCCAAACTGCTTCAAGTGTATGTTAGAGCACTTACCACAAGATGCTGCATCGTTAGCAGGAATTGCCTGTCTGTCAAAGACCCAAATGTCGTATTGATGCTTCAATGCCAAAGCATAAGCGGTGGATAAACCAAAGCAACCGCCGCCGACAATGATGATCTTGGACCCAGGTGCAGGAGGAGTATACTCAGTTGCCATATTAATTCAATGGTAGATGTGAAGAGAAAGCAGAAGAAATGTGTTCGATTCATTTCTCGGTAGAACTTTTTATACTCTGAATGATAGACCACCATCTATAGATTATCTGATCTGCCAACGGATGTTCAATTCAGCTACTGCTTATATAGTCACGAGAGGTTCTCGTTTGGTAAGACTGAATGAGGTTTCCATTCATGCAAGAAAAGCAGGAAACCCAATAAGAAGGTTTTCATTTTTCATAATCTCTCTGTCTCTCTCTCTCTCTCTCTCTCTCTCTCTCTTTCTTTCTTTCTCTCTTTTCTACTACTTGATATAATGGCTTTTGCTCAGCAACAAAGAAGACCCACTCACAGATTCACATCTAGCGCATTTTCATCTGAAGAATATTCCGACAGCAATGATCCAGCACAGCAGCCACAACAATACCATCATAATGGCTATCAATCCATGTCAGACTCTGACACAGACTGGCATGTAATTAGTTCAGCACTACAATCAACCTCGTCGCCTATATTCACATCAGAGACTGAATCCTATGCTTCATCTACCCGCATTATATCAGACACTGATTCAGATTTTGAGCATCAAAATTCCATCGCATTTCTACCCTCTCATGATGGCACTGGCACGTTTCTATTAGAGGACTCCTCAGACCAAAACACAACGACCAGTGCAAGCAATGCACCATCATCCGTGGAAGACGATGACTCTGATTCAGATGAATTTAAAAAGGCCATACATAGACTCATGGAGAATGGCTCCAATGAGGTCGACATAACGTTACCTCACGGCGGTATTACACCACCTTCATTCGCCATGAGCAACGATAATGATGTCCAGCCTCCCTCTTTTGTACCAACTGCAGCAGGCTTGAATTCTCAGAAATTAACAAATGGGGTGTCGTCAGCTGACGAAGTGAACAGCACATTATTGTCAGATGAAGCAGATAACGGTGCTACAAGGAGATATCATAATGATAATATCAAATTCACATCAAAAAGGCAAGTAAATCTTGATAGGTAACCGCTAGTAATATGCTATTTTGCAACCAAACATGCTAATCTCTTGTTTTGATTTGATAGAATACCAATTCACCATCCTGGTATCCCAGGCTCCTCAACATCTGCTGCCATTTTATCCATCGTTTGGAACAGCTTGAGAAGATTAAGAAACCACATTTTAGAGAATGATACAAACACTGTAGAAACGCTGAGTACGCTCATGTCTGAGGCCATGTTTGAAGGTTGCATGCCTTTCAGTTCACATCTACACATGGAATTCGATAACGGCATTCGACCCTCCTCTTCATTCTTTGAAGGAAATATTGCAATTTAAGCATATATACTCATTTCTCATATTACAAGCATATCATATCACATGAACCTTCTTTCTCTTTGCATAGCCTCATCATTACATTATATAGTGCAATAAATCTTGTCTTGCCCCACTCCTCGTTTTCCTGTACGCTTATTGTGCTGTAGTGTTTGTTGAGTTCCATGCAGATCAAAAAAGCTTAAACAAATAAATGGGACCGTTGCTAAAGATGGTCATATTTCATAATGTCATGGCAACGTCTTGCATGTGCGTGTGTGTGTCTGCGTGTGAAGCACAATGTCAAGGGGGTGGTGTATTTGAGACATCGATGGTTCTGTTGTACGCCAAATAGTGCATCGGATTGGCCAATTTAGATTTAAAGCCTAATTTAAACGGGGTACTAGGCAAGTCTAGCGCTAAATTACAACATGGCCAGTTAGATTGCAGATGAAGATTTTTCGGCAAATACGACGACACTCGAGCCTTATGAAAAGGCCTTTCTGGACATTAAACGACAACCCATGTGCTTGCAAAGAGGAACCATCGACCTTTTAGGGATCCAGATCGCCAAAGATCTACACTATGGGTGAGATGTCCAGCGAAAAGATTGCTCTGTCTTGGCTACATCCTGCAAGGCTCGACGTTTGAGTTGCTTTGTCTCGGGACCGACGTTACTCACTTCGGTAAAACATTCTGAAGCAGCCTCACGTTACTATTCTTGTTGGCTCAATCGCTGAGCGTAGCTATAATTATATTTTCCACAGAAAAAAACGTGAGATGTTCAAGTTTAAGGACTCAATTCAACATTTAATGTTTATTTACAACCTAAATTAAGGAGATATCAAACGCCCGGCTTTAAAATCACATTGGAAGAGGGGCTCTAAACCAAGAGTGCGTTCCCTTTGTGCAATAGTAACAATGAGCCTCACATCTATTAAATAAGACAAGATCCCCATCTCTCAAATGGCGCACGATACACAGGAGTCATTCCAGAGCATATTCTGTCTTTGATCTCGTTGTCAGAGTTGATTTGTGATGATGTGTAGGACCCAGTTTCAGGATTGTAGTGAGATAAAGTCATTCCTAGAGGTGGCGTTGAAGGACGCATTGGTAAATCTGATTGTGCTGTTTGTGGTGATGGAGCAGGTACTGCTGTTGGCGCTGTGCATGTTGTATGTGTAGGTTGGACTAGAATCTCTTCCATATGGTGATCTTCTGCCGGTGAAGGCAAGTAATCTTGTGTTAATGGATAAGAGGAAGTGGAAGGCAATGCATGCATCATACGCTTCACTGTGTCCTAACGTTTGACAGATGTGTCAATTCAAGTCTATGAAGGCCATGCACATCAATCATTACCTCTTTGTTCATATCGTAGTCATCAATTGTCTTTCTCTTCACTTGTTGATTTTGATTCATGTTGTTCAATTAGTCTTGTTTTAATTAAGAGAAAACAGAAGAGAAGAGAAACAGAGGAAAGTTTTTTAGGCCACATTTTTATATGTGTGGTTGATTCAGGTGCCATTGGTGCGCATTTCAAATATTTGATTCTTTGAATTAGTACATTTGCTCCTTGAATTAGGAGGTTTAGTGTGCGTAATACCTTTGGCACAACGTTTACACATGTGTAGAGCTCACAACAACCGATTAATTATCTCCTATTCGGGGAGTGCTCTTGCAGATAAGTATCCGTGGCTTCCATGAATATCAGAAAGTGTCACCATACCAAGATGTAATAAGGTCACCATACTGCAATCTGCCATACATGAACCTCTTGCTAGCACGGATTTTTGCTTTTCAAAGGTACAAGTCTAGCGACAACACACAATGATATACGTGCTCTAGTATGGCTCTAGTTTACGCACGTTTTCTTTTATAATTAGCTGTTCCTACTAATACACGCCCAAAACTGCAGTTTTTTGCTGCTTGCCATCATGCGAGGGCTCTATGAAGGGTCTACAACTGCGGACCTGCCTCTTTTGAGACGTTCCACATCGTTACCAATGGTATCAAATCACATATGGGTACTCAGCATACTTACAATACCTCCCTACTACTCCAAAACATACGAATTACAGCTAAATCTGGAAAACCTTGAGCTCTAATTCCTCGCGCTAGAAGCCGTTTTAGACCGCCGGAATAGCGGCAAACAATTGCTCTTGTCTAGCAGCTACTTTCTGACATCTTTGCTCAACTTTTTTTTTGGGATCGTCAAAAATCGACCAAAAACCATGAATGATATACCTCATGATTTTTATCGAAAATCAAACGATCGTGTTTTTGCCCTTGAAAACGAAGACTTTTGTTATGGTGTATATTACATCAAAATGCTTCTCTTGATCCAAAGCAACCGCTGAAACTTGGTTTTTGAGATTTTCATATGTAAACTCTCGACATTTTTGCCAAAAACCTCATTTCATGTATTCCAGATTTGCTCAATAAGTTTATTCAAAACATGTATAGTAATTAGCACCATTGGATGCGCCTTGAAGAGTACTTTTAGAATGCATTAGGAAGTATAGGGGGGATTATCACAGAACTCATAGTCCAATGTGACAAAATAGATCAAACAGGTCGATTTTGATCAACATTTGGCCAATCTGGTCAAAAAGTGGAGACCGATGTTTAAATGTTCAGTTGGCTGGCAATATCAGTATCTGTCCTAAACTGGAGACAATTGGCGCTTCTGAAGCTAGTAAGTGGCGAATGCGGATTAGAAACCCCCCCCCCCCCACAGTTTAGCGTAGATTATTTATCTTGCTTTTGTAACGAAAGCATGTTTCTGGGAGGCTTGATTTTTGGAAATCAACCCCATTTACTATTAAAGCTGTGCAGTAACAGTCAGTATTATTGTAAATAGCGGATGTTGTTTCAGTAAAAATAAATGTTTATTGATTAAATATGTATAAATGATTATTAATTATGGTTTGGTATCAACTTTGACTTTTTCATCGTTGCTACTATCACCTGTAGAGCCATTGTCGAAAGAGTCGTCTCTCTGAATCTTCTCTGTTTGGTAATGACCACCAGCGGCAGCACCTACTTCAGCACGGATTCTCTCAACATCATCATGATGTGCTTTGATGTATTCTTCGTAGTTCAAGTTTGTCACAATGAGAGGGCCGTGGAACACAACTTCAATTTCTTCTAAAGAAAGACCCTTGGGTTCTGGCGCAAACAAGAACATCCAGACAAGCATAACGAGACCGATAACGCCATATAAGACATAGGTACCCCAAGTAATCTTGTCCATGAGGATAGGAGTGACCTGTCCAACCAAGATATTACCAACCCAAAGGATTGCTGATGCCAATGCAAAACCTTTACTTCTGATTCTCAAGGGAAAAATTTCTAGCATTGAAAATAAGTACACGGTGTCATTCAAAGTATGATGATATGGATTCACGTACCAGCAATATAGATCCAAGCCACGGGAGCCCAAGTAGTAGCATAAAATGCAACAAAGATAAAAATGAATGCAATGACAGCATGCTCAGCAGAAGGGTTTGAACTCATGTTTATGACATGACTCAGCTGTTCTTCATTCCATTCAGTGTAACCAACACCACCATAGAGACCAGCCATGAGGAAGAAGCACGCACACATACCAATAGAACCAATGACCATCAATTTGATACGACCTACTCTATCGACTAGAATCATACCAGGCACGCAAAAGATAACCATGACAGCGTAGTCAATACCGTTAGCTAGTAATGACAATGAACCTTGAAGACCAGCTTGTTGGAACATGAATGCAGCGTAGTACATGATGACATTGGCACCTGTCAGTTGTTGGAAGATGGCAACAGAGCAGCCAACCCAAAGCACACGACGGTTTCTGGGATCTTTGATCATGCTTATATAAGAATCGACGGCGACGTTGTTCTCTAATTGAACGTTGTCCTTGATTTCGTTGAATTCTTGCAAAACGTAAGGGTGATTGACATCGCCTCTACCATGCACATAGGCTAGTGTTTTAATGGCTTCTTCGTGTCTGCCTTTCTCAACTAGCCACCTAGGACTACGAGGCAAGAGGAAGGGACATGAAGCCAAAAGGATAGCAGGTGCAACTTGAACCAAGTAAGGAATACGCCATGACCAGTCATTTTGAACGTAAATCGTGCCATAATCCAGCCATGCTGATATCAACATACCCGTATCTATTAGCACGGACGTGTTAATGCTTGCTAAATCGTTTTATATTGCGTAAAACTATGCATGCCTATCATCAATTGCTGAAAACCGATCAATCTGCCGCGAATCTCTTTAGGAGCAAGCTCTGCATTGTACATTGGTGCTATGAAAATCATTCTTCATTGTTAGATGTCATATCAAAAAAAGTTCACGGGCTGTCAAAGACCTACACAAGACTGAACAAGCGCCTACAGAGATACCAGAGATGAATCTGCCAACTAATTGCATTTCAATGTTGTGAGAAGCAGCTTGGAGAACGCCACCTACAATAAAAACTAATGCGAAACCACCAATACTGTCACGACGGCCAAAACGATCAGAGAGTACGCCTGCGAGCAAACAGCCAAAGACAGCCCCACAACCCATCAAAGAGTTTAGGGCGCCCTTAATTTCAGGTGTTAATGGATTAAAGTACTCCTGGAACTGAGGCATGGCCATCACACCACTCGTGACCCCAAAATCATAACCAAACAAGAAACCACCGATGGCAGAGAAGGCTGTTATGCTGCAGAGATGTTTAGTGTCTTGCACAGCCAATGTTTGGTGGCATCTACTTACAGGTATAATGTCAGACCGTAATCTGATTTGGCTGATCCTTGTGAGTTTTTATTCGAAGAAGGCGGTATAATCGGTGACATATGAATATAATGTAGATTTTTGATGTGCCAATTAAACAAACGAAGATGATGGCAAATGTTTAATTGTATTTATAGTTTTTTTTTTTTTTTTTTTGATTCTCTTTGATCGAGACCAAATGGAGAAATGTATATACGCCTTTTGGTTATACATATGGTCAGATGATGGCATTGGTATGAGCCAGTAAGTTTCTTTCAGGCGTGAAAATTAAGTTACAAGTACGGATCGTTTGGCTTCTTGGATTAACGATATTGTGTTCATTTCAGTGCGCCTCGAGGGAATACAAAGCATCTCTGCTTCATTTTATTGTTATTTAGCAACCTAAATCTATTCTCTATGCTTTCAAAGGCCATGTTGAGTAAAAAAGAATTCCATATATTGCATGACATAATGTAGCGACACCTTCATTTCGTAGATGAACTTAGAGTACGACACAAGGAAAGGTACCACAAACCCTAAGGCAACTAATTTATATGGGGAAATATACAATTACAGAATCAGTCAATCAAATATTCTCCTCAAAAGTTAAATCGCATTGTGAGAAAACAGAAATGTACTCACTATGGTATTACATAAGCTACTTGTAATCATAATGCATTCTAGTAACTAATTTTCATGTGTACATAGCTGTAGTCAAATAGCCCTTCTGAGAGAGGCTTTGTGATTTGTACCGATGCAATGCACTCTTTTAATTTTGTGATTTCAGATTATTGACTTTCCTCAAGTCTAAGCATAGGGTTTAGTAAATAGCGTGCAACTTGTTTAGTAACAGAAAAATACTTCGATATACCACTCCATTCTAAACGAGCTTGCATCAGTTATATTTAAATTAATTTTGACTAGAAGAATAAAAGCACGGTGTCTTTCTGCTCGCCTTCTTTTCGTTCAACTGTTTTCAGAACAAGTCAGTACATTAGAGAGGTATCTATCAAAGTTTGCTTCAATTGTTCATAGGCTTTATATTTAGCAAATGATGAAACCGTATATCTGAATACTACAAATAGTATTGCGCTTTTTAGAGACAAGGCTGGTTGCTTCTTTGCATCTGTAACAACAGCGGCTACCATAAGGAGGAATGGAATAAAGAGCTTTGCTGGAGCAAGTTTCACCCGACGTCCCTGTTCACAGCTGTGCTCTCTATGAGAACGCGTCTGTCAAGACCACAACCTCGTCTTTGCGTACATCTGAGATTTCCATCGTATTCTAACTGGGTCCTGTTGCGATTACCGATTTAATAAATCTGATTTCGAGGAGAGTGTCTTGGCCTTGATCCTTCCTGGAAGTTATATCCTCATTCTAGCTTCAGACCGAAATGTTGGACAAGCAGTGGGAGAAGCACAATCAGAATATACATTCAGTGGTCAGCAATTACGTTTGGTTTCCATTCATATTGATCCTTTTGACATCTTCGAATTAGCATTGATCAATATGCCTAAGTGTATCTTTAGAGTGGAAGATAGAAGAAGCAACGAGATCCAACTTAAGGCAATCCATCTTCAAATACAACAGGAAGGCACGTCTTTTGGCGATCATGGCACTGACGTAGGCTCAAAATCAAAGGTCATGGGCGGTACGGCTATAAATGATAACCCACTCATCAGTGCACCTCCGTTGCCATCACAAATGGGCACAACGCTGATCAGCTCAACACATTTGCCGCCACTTTCACCAGAAACTTCCCGGTGCCCATTATTAATGATTCTATTGTAGTATCTTGCCTTTTGCTGTGTGGTAAGTGTCTAACGTATTTATAAGGATTTTCAGCGCACTGATTCTATCATCCTTATCAGATTTTAAATATATATTGGTTATTTTGAAGAGCATTTGGGCCTTGTGTTTGGCTTCAAGAGTATCAAAACTTTGATAGATCCTCTCTATGAACAGCTGATGAGGACTAAAAAGAGATTAAATGCCAAAAAAAAAAGCAAATCATCCTGGGTAAATGCCTTTTTTTTGGGTATTTCTCCTTTCAGAAAGTTCTTTTCTTGTATATATATTCAAGTCTTCATATTTGTCTGCAATTATGACACTTGATGTTGGGAAATCGAGTGGTAAAGTGGGGTAAATCGACCGCCGTTTGGGTTTTGATATCAATAGAAGGCAAGATCCATGAAGAGGGATGTACATAACAACTCAGTAGAAGAAACTTCTTCAGCATGTCATGCCGTAGAAATGAAAATCCTCCATTTGATCATTCAACGGCTTAGGTAATATGATAATGTCCTCATCATTCTGTATTTCACAAACCTTATACTTGCCTTTGTTTACAGGGAAATTTTTTGATTGACTGATTCTTTAATTGTATATTTCTCCATACCATCTAGCTGGTTTAGAGCTTGTGATACCTTTTCTCATTTAGTACTCGCAAGTCGGGTATCCCCGAGGCAATATATACGAATGTTTGTGAGAAAATCATGTAGAAAAGTAAATAATCATGCTGATTATATTCCTTTTGTATCTCTACAACTTACACAAATGATCCTATACAGCGTTTGTAAGAGTATTTACTGGTGAAATAGGGGGGGGTATCTTGACGTCATGCATCATGGATGGCAACCAACAAACAATAGCAGTGCGTTTTCAGTGGATCGTACCAGAGGATAGTGTAAAGCACCATGATGCCGCGGGGGGGGGGGGAAGTGGTAGAAGGTCAATCGCAAGATACAGTTCAAGCTCAAGCCTTCATGTTACACTGAATTTAGTCAATGAATATAACTTTAACAGACGAAGATCTAGTATTGGAAGTAGTGTTGGTTGATTATCAGATGCGATATGCGCAAGTCTCGACCAGACTTGTATGCAATGTCGAGTAATACAAACAAGAAACATTATGACATTTGTATGACAAACATGAGCAGCAACCACATTAAACAACAAAACATGCATCTGTACCATATATCATCTTCTGTTACGTTTGACACAGTTTAATTGATATACTGCAATGATGGCATGATGGAGATGGCGATGGTGCTGGGTATGGGTTACACATTTCACCATTGGGCCACATCCACAACGACAAGGTTCAAGGAGTAGAAAGCAACTTCACAATGTGTAACTATGAGCGAGTATGCCTCGTTGCTATGGTGTGTCAATTCAAGGGCATGTTGTATATGGGTGTACTCGCATTGCATAGATGTGTCCATTTGGTAGTATTTATGCCATGATACGTGCCAAATTTGCTTGATTTTCGAAATCATGCAAGAAAAAGAGGGTTTCAACACTGGGAAAGTCTAGAAAAGAGGCTTTTGTTTTCATGTAAAAGTTTGCAAACAAAGCAACAACAAACAAGAAAGTAAACAAATAAACAACAATGGAAAATGTTAAATTTGATGGCAAATGATGAGCATTTAGGGAATCGAGTGCAAAATGTGGAGACATGTGTCATGATCCCAACCAAAGGGATGGTTGTCCCGAGCAAGAGCAGGGCAGCATGGTAGAGAAACGCACGCAGGCAGACCCGACTCACACTTACTAAAGCATCGAAAGTGTGGTTCCTCATACGAATACGCCCTCCCGGATTTTTGTTGTTGTTTGGGTTGCATGATGAAACACGGTTTTAATGAAAATGTTGATTTATTTTTATTTTGTTGAAAGAAACAGCATTGAATGAACATTTGTATATGAGAGAGAGAGAAAATAGACACATAAACTTGATATATGATAAAACTGATGATAGGATAGTTGTTGGAAGAATATATATATATATATATATATATAAAACGATACAGCAAGAAAGAAAGATATGAAAAAAAAGGCATGAACTATATGTATAAATGTGGGAGAGATTATATTGTTCCAGACCAATCGTACTCATTGCCGGATAAAGAGCAATTAGATGCCTTCATCTTCATATTTCTAGTGGGAGCATCGACGGACGGTTGAGGTGGAGAAGGAGAGCTGTACTTTTCTCCATTTGTATTACCTGAAGGAGAACCAACTCTTTTGTAGTGGGGCTGAGGCGTAGAAAAAGAATGCGTCGTACTATTCTCATCGTCATTGTTATTGCTTGTTGGAACGGCATCTTCCATAGTAGTATTGTCAGCATTGGTAGCAGAAGAAACAGCGGCAGCAGTGGATGCTGTAACATTGCCATTGGGAAGAGGCATACCAGTCATGGAGGCTTCCGTTTTGATCTGTTGTTGTTGTTGTTGTTGTTGTTGTTGTTGTTGTAACATGCTACCTGGTATAGTAGGCGAATTATTACCATTTGCGTTATGATTATGGTATCCAGAGAATCCGGAAGAGACACCAGCGGCAGCAGCGGCCACAGCAGAAGGAGAATACATGGATCCATAGGGCGAATGGGCTGGGCCATTGTGGTGGTCGTACATGGAGTTCATGGTTGCGTGGTTTTGTTGTGGAGGTATTCTATTATGCTGGTGAGGATGATGATTATGCTGTTGTGATGGATGGCTACTACTATGATTACTGTTGTGATGATGATTTTGGTATTGATGATGAACGTCTGCACCGCCTGCAGCCGTGTAAATATCATAATTTCCAGCCAAGTAAGGGCTACCACGAGGAAATTCTGCGCTGTGTCTATTACTATTTACATGTCTTATTCCTGCGTTGGCTGCTGTGGCTGCTGTACCGTTTCCATAAGCATAATTATGATTGTAATAACCAGCATTGCTATAATTGTGGCCCATAGAAGATGTGGAGGATGAGCTCGCAGTAGCAGATAATTGTTGGTGAGGGAATACTTTAGCATTCATATTGGAGTCCATTGATAATGAGCGAGAATCACGATGGAAGCGTTTGCTGTTTCCATTGCTGTTTCCAAACGTACTACTGTTATTGCCACCAAAAGGGCCCCAAGCACCGTCGGGACGATAAGGATTGTTAGCTGGGTCACTTCCAGATCGATTGGCGCGGCCGCGAACAGCCATAGTAGACTTGGATCTTGCCTCAGCCTCAGCAGCGCGGTAATCTACCTGCCAGTAAGAGCCCTTGCCAGGCTCATTGATAGGGCGAGGTACACGAACAAAGCTCTTGTTCAAGGAGAGGTTATGACGAATTGAGTTCTATAGAGAAAGAGAGAAATAAAGTTAAAAATCAAATGACATTTGAAACACTTGAAGCGAAAACGTACTTTCCAACCTGTGCCAGCAGAACCATAATAAGGGTAATGATCAATGACCCATTGATAAATTTCACTGAGAGTAAGCTTCTTTCGTTCGCTATTCTCAATGGCGTACTTGATCAATGTAGCGTAAGAATAAGGGGGCTTTCCTTCTGTGTTTCGTTCTACGTGAATGTCTTTGGTAGATAATGTTCTGTGTTTATTTGATCTACTGCGTTCAGTTGATGCAGATGGCGATGGTGTTGGCTGACCGTGATTGTGATGATATTCATCGTCTTCGTTATAGGACAAATCACAGGAGTCTTTTGGAGAGTAGCCGCTCGAGTTAGTGGGATGTGGGTTGTTGGTATTGATCCAGGAAGACGACGCGTTTGGAGTCGTATCGGCATATGACATCGTTGATCTACGACTAGAAGAAGTATCATCCATTGGATACGCAATGCCAGCTTCTGAATTCATAATATGATTAAAGTTGATTGGTGGAAGTTGAGCAGTAGTTACAGTAGTGTTTGTTGATGCTGAAGCAGGCAGATTGGAATAGTTATTGTTATTGCTGTTGTTATTGTGAATACTGCGATCAAACCAATCGTAACTTGAATTATATGCGTTGTTTGTTATATTTTGAAGCTCTGTCATTTACACAAGTCAATGTAAATGTGATTGATATGAGTGAGAAAAAGTATGTGGGAGAGAGAGAGAAAAAGAGAGAGAGAGAAAAAGAGAAAAAGAGAGAGAGAGAGAGAGAGAGAGAGAGAGAGAAAGAAGAAAGAAAAGCGTCTTGAAAGGAAAAGGATTAGAGCCAAAATATAACAAGAAAAAAACGGGTTTAAATACATTATATAAATACGGCCATCATGTGGCTTACTGTAAAAATGAAAAAAGTGAGTTTGAGCCCTCTCACTCTTGTCCCCTTTCTGTTTGAAAATCTGTTTCCTTTCTCACTTGATATAACCATTTTAAAAAGGCATCATCGGCTGACAATCTCATCTTTCAAGGTACCTAGATTATGCCCGTTTCATTTTATTTTCCTCTTACAATGCAATGCTTTCATTCAGTATGATAGGAACCGATTGTATTTGACAAGATGCTTCTTGATTTCATCATCTTGGACCATGCTTTTTCTTGATACACGCACAACAACAGCAGCTAGTGTCCCAACCGGAATGAGACTCCCGGTAACTACTCATTTGGTAAATCCTAAAAATAATAACTATCCTCATTAAATTTTAATACACTTATCCTCCAAAAGAATAAGCTTGTGAAATATTAATGTATACTTTTATGTGTTTACATGAAACTTCACAGGAAAAAACAAAAAAAAAAAAGGATCAGCATTATATAATAAATAACAGATCTTGTATCTAAAGTGTTTTTTATTGTTTGGATAACAAATCCAAAATATATCAAGCTTGTATATAGTAAAATGGTACATTTACTTTTTTTCAAGAAACCCCAATAAATCAGATGATGATCTACTTCTTTTGAGTGATAGTCATTTTTCTTGATTGAAATAGAATTGTCTAACATATGGAAAATAAGAAAAGTGTTTCATATAGATCTAACAATATACACAAAATGAAGTTGCACTACCCAGGCTATATAAAACCCACTCGATAAGATTTTATTACTTGCCTTTCCTTTATATGCAAACCACAAGAAGGAAAAAATTCGCTTCGGAAGACCACCCGATGGGTAAAAATAACATACAAACAATAACAATAACAACATTTCATGTGTAACTCTTGATGATGCTGATAGTGATTCCAGTGTAACCATTTCTTCTATTTGTTGGCTAAAATAAACAACATGGATTCATCTCGCCCGCCAGCCCCCCCTCTTTCTTTGACTCTCTCATCATATGAAGTATGACAAATATTAGAAAAACAATAACAATAGTTGTGTGGTCAATGCTTTTCATGTGCAATCAATATGGTAAACTATTTCATCAAAGTGAAGAAATTTCTTTCTGGGAACTGCAAATTGTCAAATTCAAAATAGAACCCTAATGATCAAAGGCTTATCCAAACATTTGCGCATTTTGGTCTATTCATGCGTTGGCAGATCAGGTACCTGGTTGCTAGGGAAGAATTCAAGTTCCGTCATTCGGATGCATGCCAAACCTGATCTCGGTTCCTGGTTGCTATGGGATCAAAATTTCAGTGGCATTTACTACTCATCTCTTAAAACCGAAAAAAAGCTGTCAATGGGAAGCGCTTGTATATTTCGCTTGTATCCTGAGAAACGTAGTGTTACAGGAATCAAACACAATTATCTTGCTATTAAGCTCTGAAGCGCATGATCCTGCCACGGCTGCCATTAAAAATAAGACTGATGATATGCTTAAGCTAATTCGTTGTTTTTCTCACACTGATTCAATTACCTATCACCTAAGCTACCTTTTTTTTTTACTCTTTTCTTTACCGCAACCCTCTTTTAAGTCAAGGTGTCATGGCAGTATTAACAAAAGAGCAATTGTCCCAAGTAAGTGGTATTTCTTGGCCGGATGCCATAAAGCATACACACTCACATCCCCTGTAGTTTGAGAGAGATGGGTACATGGCTACAATTCCAAAGTGATGCACTTATGCTAACAACTTTCGCATGTTTGAATGATACATACCACATAGATGTTTAGTCATTCCCAACTTCTTTTCAGACGACAAGGCACACGAATTGAAACAGAAGGCAGAGAAGCTTTTGGCAGAATTTTCATTGGAAGGACATCCAATGACCAAGTTTAGCACTGGCACCAACGAGAAGAAGCATGTTGGTGATAATTACTTCTTAGATTCCGGAGACAAGATCCATTTCTTTTTCGAGGAGGGAGCATTCGATGATCAGGGCAACCTGAAGATACCCAAAGAGAGAGCCATCAATAAAATTGGACATGGATTGCACATTTTGGATCCAACATTTAAAGATTTCTCCATCAATGACAAGATTTCCACTATGACTCGAGAGCTTGGATTCAAATCACCTCAAGTGCTCCAATCAATGTTGATTTTCAAAGTTTGTTTTGTGTATACATGTATTGAAGTATGATCATGATACTGACCTACTATAAATAGCAACCTTATATTGGAGGTTTAGTACCCTCACACCAAGACTCATCATTTCTATATACAGAGCCAGTATCTGCAACTGGATTTTGGTTTGCATTAGAAGACTGCACAGAAGAAAACGGTTGTTTGTGGTTTGTTCCTGGATCGCAACAAGGTAAATCATGCACACAAACAAATAAATCATGCAAACAATAACATGTACATCATCAGACACACCCATTAGCAAGAGATTCGTACGTAATCCTCATGGACCAGGTACCGTGTTTGTAGGCGAGGATAGCCCAGCGATTGATGAATCAAAGTATGTCAAATGCGAAGTGAAAGCTGGATCTTTGGTCTTGATCCATGGCAGCGTTGTGCACAAATCGGCTCCAAATTTCTCTGACAAGTCAAGATACATCTATACCTTCCACTGCATTGAGGGCGATGCTTTTTATCCAAAGGACAATTGGTTACAACCTACTGACAGCAAGCCTTTCACATTTGTCTAAGCATATAATAAACTTTGGCAGATTCTTACAGGAAAAATATTACTTAATCTCAATTGGTGGGACTATGGAGTTATAGAGGCAGTCATCGTATGCAAAATGTTAGCCTACCACCAAATTATCACAGATCCATTGCGCTTTAAGCTGCCTAGCCTCAACATGTGGCTACTATCGCTTATATGGATTCAAATGTTTTGATGAATTTTCAGTATAGATCGACTAGCCAATCTATCTTGCTACGCTCAATGTCGGCAATTCAAGCTAATCGATTGTCATTTCAAATTCATGATCCCTATTTAATCAGCATCGCAATCATCATTGTCATCATCAGAAAGGTATTTGGGCCACCCGCTAAAATCAATACAAACCCAGCTTACTTTTTTCTGTTCAAGATTGGACAGATTTTGTCTTTTCTCGACTTCTATAATCTATTTTATGAGATTCGACTATGCAAATTGCGATGATCACCTTACACTTTCTAATACACCCTTGAAGTACTTTTCAATGCGCTTCCAATGGTGCTGATTGTAGTAGGTGTTTTGAATGAAACTATTGAGTAATTTGGTACAATATGAAATGAAGTTTTTAGCGAAAATAGCCATATTTTGCATATGAAAGTCTCATAAAAGTAGTTTCAGAGGTTACTTTGGATCGAGAGAAACATTTTGATTCTATACATATCATAGTAAAAGTCTTCATTTTCAAGTTGAAAAATGCGATCGTTTCATTTTTGTCAAAAACCATGAGGTACCCCTCATGCTTTTTAGTCGATTTTTGACCATGTTTTTTCTTGGCTCAAAAAAGTTGAGCAAAGGTGTCAGGAAGTTACTGCTACTCGAGTACAATTGTTTGGCGTCATTCCGGTGGCTCAGAAAGGTATACATGTTCAAGATACAAAGGCCTAAAATCTGTCCAATTTGGTTGTATCTTTGCTGTATAGCTTTTATTTACACGGCATGAATCACATTTTTGGTAGCTGCAATTTACTGGAAAGACAGTTATGTAGTTTGAGCAATTTTTAATTCGAATAGGAGGCACATTGATTTTGGTAAAGCTGATTTATGCAAATTTTGATGCGTTATGTTGCTGGTAAGCTTATTAACAATGGAAATGAAAAGCCGAATTTGCTGCTTGAATACTATGGTTTTGCACCTTTGTTTCGCTACGGTAAAACCGCCATTAAAACCAATGCTATCAAGTATTGGATTCAATACCCGATTACCATGGCTTTGCACTTTTGCTTCGATGCGGTAAACCCTCTCTATAAACTAATGCTATCAAGTGTTGAGGTCGCCTTCTTCTTAGCTCTGAAATGAAAGTGGCAGGTGCTCTCGATGGTTTTGTTGCTCTAGATGGTCTCAATGCAGTTCTTTGTTTGGCGTAGTTTTGGGCACGTTTCTGAAACAAAAAGTACATAAGGTTCGTTCAAATGTTCGTTTTCCAATTTTTTTTTTGCTTTATTTATCAAATCTCTCTATTTACTCGACAGAAATCACATTTTCGAAAATTGAAATCTTGAGGTAGAGCAACTCTACAGGTTGTACAGCTTTTAGCTTGAGCATGAGGCATGACAATTTGATTTGATTTTAAGAAAAGGTATTTCATATACTTTATGCAAATTGTGGTGCTTGATGTTCTTGTATATATACTAAATTGCTGATCATTGAAACTCAATTCATCATCCCCTGAGTGAAGGGTGTAGTGCATTAGGTCAAGATGCGAATTTTTTTTCGTTGTCTCCCTTTTTTTTTCACATTATTCCTGCGTCAAGATGGAACAACGTATCCAGCAGTTTCACGATGATACAAAAACTATACCAAAACCACCTACAGCAAAGACTGTAAAGCAAATGAACACACTGAAAAAGTTCATCTTCAAGAACCAGGTGAGCTCGTGCATCTCATCCTAAATAGTGAAATCATTAAAACCAGACAACATGAAAGGACTATAGATTTTCGGACAAAGAGAAGAACAAACTGTTTGCATGCATTGAGGCTTACTTTACAGTCTTTGATAGAAGGTATATTGGTCTAGATTGCTTCCGTATTCCATTGATTTAGCGTCTAATGTGCCTTTCAGTGGCTTGACAGATAAAGTAAGCTCTTTCCCGCTGATCGAAGACAGCTTAAAAGTGCCATGTTTCACAACCAAGCAAAAGAGTCAGCTTTTAAAGTGGTATGATGAAATTCTCGCTAAAGAAGGAGGAGAGAGTCAAGATGCTACGAAAGCGGCAGATAAAGACCATGACGATGATGAGCCAAATTATGATGATTTCGATTGGGATGCCTTTGAAAAGGAGCAAGATGTTTAATAAAGGAATTAGATGTAAAATATTACAATTACAAGAGAATGGTTCTGAAAATTAGAAAAATTAAGAGTAAAAGAGTGATGATGATATAAATGTATATATAGAAAAGGTATGCAAAAGCAGTGGAACAGGAAGAGGAGGAAGAAGCTATAGAAAAATTTAAACAATGGGTTGGATAGTTGAATGCTTTTTTTCGGTCATACTTGCAGGTTTGTTTTTTTGTTGCCAAACACCATGCTCATCAAATACACGCATTGCCCGGAGACGAATGTCGAGGCCATCGACATACATAAAGAACCACATCATCCATTTTTTGCCTAGCGGATGAGGCTGCCAGTTCAGATATTCGTATATGCGAGCGGCATCTGCTGTATGGATTTGTGTATTAAAGAGGTCAAATGTTGAGTGATTCGTGAAGCCAAACATGTACCGCATAGATGCCTCTTGAATGTAGCGTAAATAAGTATCCCATGCAGTGTATGTAATGTCTACAAAAGTGCACATAAAAACGAGTTAGTGTAACTAGCATCTAAATGAGGTAAATTTATATTTAAACTTTACAAATGGCAAGTACGACATCAATAGAGTAATGGAATCTTGTGAACAGAATCATCAGGATGCCAGCAGTAGCTACAGAGTAGAGCAACCAGCTAAATGGTCTACGAAGTCTTGAGTGGACTCTCCAAATCATACAGCAGGACATCATCATGGAGGTGTGGCCCGAGAAAATGTTGTCTGTACATGTTAAAGCGGTTCCGCCGATAACCTCCATAATGAACCCAAATCGTTGAGCCACAGTGCCAGTTAATTCAATCTCTGGAGGGCGGCACTCATCAATGAGAGAGGAAGGAAGTGTGGTAACGAGTAATGTAATGCCTCTGAAAACGTAGATGAAACCCATGATGAAGGCCCATCTTCTAAGGATCATGAAACGAGTGGTCCAATCTGGTGATTGAATGGCGAAACCAGCAACCGTGTAGACAATAGTGGCCGTTAGCAAGTAGTTTACTATTTGTGTATCTGCAACGAGAGGAAATGCATCGTGCAAGAGATCACGCAAGGGGTGCTAAATAGTGTAAAACGGACATTTGTTAGTACACATCCTCTTTTCCTCTCTTTCTCTTTCCTTTTGAAACATACCTTGCTAATAGCAGGGCCAGCATGGTATCTGATGTCGCTCAATTGAGCCATAAATGTCTCTATGAAGCCGCAAAGAACAAGCCATGCGGCAAGCATTAAAAGTCGAAGAAATTCATGATTCAAGAAAATGTCTCGAACATCTTGAAGCCGTCTGATCTTCACTGGTGGTGCTAGTCGTAATGTAATGAATCCAATGGTCTGTTTCTCGGGAGCTGATATCGCTACATAGGCTGGTGATTTTTTTGCTCCAATGTCATGTAAGTTGTCGGCAAGGAATAGTTTGAGAAGACGTTTGGGATGCATCATCATCATCGAAAGCAAGCGAAGGAGGGAAAAAGAGTATTGGGGATCAGGAAATATGTCTTTTAAATATGAAATGTCGCACAAGAGTGTCTTTTCAGGATCCACAAAGGGGTTGCTACTGTGATCTTGACCTGATTTCATCTGAATTTTGGATGTGTGTGTGTGTGTGTGTGTGTATTTGTGTGATTAATTGACCAAGGAGTGAGTGCTTGTTTCTTTTTTTTTCTTCCTGTTGAGAAGTGTGTATCTATACGTTGTAGAAATCTCGTTAGACTAAAAGTGCCACAAGTGTCTCTGTGAGTGGAAGAAAAACGGCAACCTCTCCCATCTCTGGATGGAGGGCTTTTATACAGACATAGATATGATATACATCTTCTCTGAAACTACTACCTAGTTTGCGGGCATGCCGCTACTTGCATGGTACGGATTTCGGATACTTTGGCAGCCATTGCAGTCAACAGCATCCATTAGTAAATAATGTACATGTTCATAATATGATTTACCAATGGCGAAAATTAATGAAAAGCTGCTGCTTTTAATAGCAGGCACCAATCAAATATCTTGGTACAACGGTAACCCAAACACTACTTTTTCGATCCAAATGTTTGAAACTCTCGTTCTATTTTTGTGATCCCACCACTCGCCAAACAAGACACCAGGTGGATCGACCTTTTTATATACAGAAAATACACAACATCTGATCTCGAGTCTAGTTTGTGCTTATAAAAGAAAGAGGAGAGGGTAGGAGATGGAAGGTAAAAAGACAAAGAAATTAGAAGATAAGGGGGGGGGGGGACAGCTCACGCTGAAAATCTGCAAGCAAGACCGAGTGTGCATGAGATAAATATATAGCATATATTGCTGCTGGTGTCAAGTAACCCCGAACAGGTATTACTGCGCTGGTAATCCAATGTGAATGAAGGCTATATATATATATATATATATATCGATGCCAACGGGAGACGGGGCGGGGAACGATCCATTTGATGATACCTCTTCTGGACACTTTTGATCCAGGTATAGTATATAATTAGATATACAGAAACACATACCACACTGAGCCAAGATTTACCTCAATATGGTATATTACATATAAATATACAACGTATTTAAGCAAAAAGAGCTGCATAATTAATTGAATCGAATTTGAAGACTTGATCTTAATTAATAACAAACGTATATTTAGATTTAAAGTGGTGCAAATGCTGCGCCGTAATAAGCCGCACATGGAGAAACGTGTAGATCAAGGAATGATTTAGTTCACACACACACACACACACACACACACAAGAGTCGAATCTACAGATGCAATTAAGAAACGTAGATTTATTTAATCAACTACGACAAATGCCAGAGAGGATGCAAACTTGGCGTTTACTGTTAATGATGCGCGAATCTTTAAAAATCACTGCGCAGTATCACTCATGCATCATGTCGAGATCCCAAAGTTTTACAATGAGGCGAGTACAAGCAGAAATATAGCATCAGGTTATGCGTTTTACCTGGTATTTGCATATCCTGCAGTTTCCTCGCAGTTCATAAACGCGGCCTTAAATATATACTTGGAGACGCCATGGCAGTATTTGAAAAGCGAAAACGAGAATATAATAATGGCTAATCAGTGAATACATGTAGTATTAGGTACAAGAACACGTCGATACCAGAGGATAGAGTGATTGCAGCAACCATTAATGTATGAAAAGCGCAAGTACTAAACAGTATTCAATAACTAGCAGGCAGTTAGTAAATACCTTGTCCAAATGCACTATAATTTTTACTGTCAAACGCATGAAAACACCTTCACAAAGTACCTGTAGCTCTGGATCTGTTTGTTCTAGGATGCTCCGCGTCTATATCCATGGTAATAACGCATACACGAGCACACAGCACACTCGTATTACCTCTAACTGCTCTAAAATACGCAAAACACAGCGAAATTTGGGCGCATTTGAGCACTAATTTCTCGAGTTAGAAGCCGTTTTAGACCGCCGGAATAGCGGCAAACAATTGCGCTTGTCTAGCAGCTACTTTCTGACACCTTTGCTCAACTTTTTTTGGGATCGTCAAAAATCGACCAAAAACCATGAATGATACCTCATGATTTTTATCGAAAATCAAACGATCGCGTTTTTGACCTTGAAAACAAAGGCTTTTGTTATGGTGTATATTACATCAAAATGCTTCTCTTGATCCAAAGCAACCGCTGAAACTTGGTTTTTGAGATTTTCATATGTAAACTCTCGACATTTTTGCCAAAAACCTCATTTCATGTATTCCAGATTTGCTCAATAAGTTTATTCAAAACATGTATAGTAATTAGCATCATTGGATGCGCCTTGAAAAGTACTTTTAGAATGCATTAGGAAGTATAGGGGGATTATCACAGAACTCATAGTCCAATGTGACAAAATAGATCAAACAGGTCGATTTTGATCAACATTTGGCCAATCTGGTCAAAAAGTGGAGACCGGTGCTTAAATGTTCAACTGGCTGGCAATATCAGTATTGTTTGTCCAAATATGAAGTTTGTCGATGTTTGTGAAGCTAGTGGGAAGGACATTGCAGATTTAGATATACTATAGGACAAGGTATCTACTAGACTATGCCTTTTTGTGGGGGTTTCCTATTTGTTTGATTTAATTGTTGCAAATATCGAATCCAAATGCAAAGCCTCATGCCAGATGCAGATTGTTACCTAATCATGCACCTTTTGCAGAATTACAGCCATTGCCAATTCAGGGCAGTGAAGTATGTCAGCGAACTGATGCATGCAACATCAAGTAGAACCAGCTGAGCTTTATGCTTTGAGAGCGTATTTGATTTTACCTTGGTCAATGTTATAACATCTGTTTGCCTTGTCTCTGGTCGTTTCCATCTTCGGTAGGGTTCAACAGCATTGTGCCTGATTCCATGTGCCATCAGCCATCTGGTTTCAATTTTCAGTCGCTGTAAATCCATGACTACTGTTTGAAACTGAGGGATAGCAGAACGATAAGATTTATGTAGATAAAAAAAAATGTGGTACAATACCGCCTAATGTATACCCTAATGTATGCTTGATATTCTTCTAGTCGCACACATACATTCTTTGTGCCTAGAAGGCATACGCTTGACCACTCTGTGTGGATGTGTCTACTACATGTCGCTCAACCTCGGTTTATAAAAGGCTGCACGCGATTCAATTCAGGGGGCATGTCTTGGATTGATATAGCCTCAAGTACAGAATATCAAATGCGTCTGTTAAATGCTTACTTTTGAATTGCGGGTTATACAAAACGATGGGCATAAAACACCAGCTAGGATGTAAATATGACGATCAAATGAACTCAACAAGTGGGCATATCATCTAGATAGTCTTGTCCAATAAAGCAAATAAGCGTACAGGTAATCTCACACTGACCCTTTGACTCCGTCCCAAATGCATGTTTGCCTAATATAAACATTTCTGCTTGTTTTAGAACGCTCCCTTTTCTCTTGACCTCTTTCTCTTCTTCTTCTTTTTTTTACAGTAATGACCAAAGTACAAGAATTGGACCAGAAACGCATTGTTGGTGTTGTTTTCAAGGCACTGTTGATTGACTTGTTTTCATTCACCATCATTCTCCCATTGTTTCCTCGACTCTTGAACTACTATCAAAGTGCAGAGGTCGGTCATCAAGTAAGTACCGTTTTTTCTTGGTGTGGTTTGACGCTGGCATGGAATTGCTCACGAAGCAACCAAAAGGAAACCATCCTAGGCTACGCGCTTGCAGTTTTGGAGCAATTTAAGCATTTGATTATGACCAACCCACATGCCTCTGTCAAGACGGGCTATGCAGATAAATGGGATACAGTGTTACTGGGTGGATTGATTGGATCTTTATTCTCATTGCTGCAGTTCTTTGTATCTCCAAAGATTGGACGCGCTAGCGATAGATTGGGACGCAGAACAGTGCTGTTGTATACTATGGTACGTGAAGGGAATCCATAGTTCAGGGATATTGAGTTCTGACAGAAAATGTAAGGTGGGCAATATTTTATCCACACTGGTTTGGCTGTTTGCTCGCTCATTCAGCTTGTTTTTGGTGGCTCGTATCATTGCTGGCTTGAGTGAGGGCAACGTGCAATTGAGTATTGCCATCATTTCTGATGTTACTACACCTGAAAAGAGATCGCGAAGTCTGGTAATAACGATCACTAGAGAAGACATGAGCACATCTAACATGACGCACTATAGGCGCTTGTTGGCATTGCATTTGCCATTGCATTCACAGTTGGCCCTGCTATCGGTGCTTGGTTTGCTTCTATTGACTTGAGTGAATTGTGTCCTTCACTTGTAAAGTTTGGCATTTATCCCTATTCCATGGCCGCATTTGTTGGTCTGGTCTTATTGGTGGTTGAAACTGCCTATTTGTATGTAGCTCTACCTGAAACCATTCATTTCCGTCATCAAGTTGAACAAGCAGCAGCAGCAGCAGCAACCAGCAAAGATGCCTCCACATCAACAGCAGCAACTCCAGCAGGAGAACCTGTTACATTGCAAATAATTCAGACTCGCTTATTGAACTTGCAATATCTCAAGCAAATCATGTGTGCATTTTCATTCTTGTTCTCTGGCATGGAGTTCACATTGGTCTTTTTGACATTTGATGTCTTGGATTACACTCATATGCAACAAGGCAAACTCTTGGGTTTCATGGGTATCGTATCAGCTTTGATCCAAGGCGGCTATGTTAGACGTCGTGTACAGAAAATGGGTGAAAAGATGTTGGTATTGCAAGGCATGGTGAGCTGTGTTATTGGTCTTTACAGTTTGGCTCGCTGCGTCAAGGCGGAGAACCCTGTAGCATGGTTGTATGCGGGTGTCACATGTTTAGCCTTTACCTCGGGTACTGTAGTCAATTGTCTCACCAGTCTGGCTAGTCTGCAATGCCATGACAGAGCCAGCGATGACGCCTTGAGCAAAGGTCGTGCATTGGGTGAGTTCCGTAGCTTTGGTCAATTAGGCCGTGCTTTAGGTCCTATCAGTGCTTGTGGACTGTATTGGATCTTTGGTCCTGGTGCATGCTATGCTCTTGGTGCTCTCATGATGGTTGGATTGACATGGATTACTGTCATGAACGCGCCCGCTGGCAAGAAGGTTGATGCTAAAAAGCCAACTGTGGTTAAAAAATCCAAGAAAGCCGAATAGATCCTTCTATGCATCATTGCTATGATCATTCTATGCAGAAAAAAAAAAAAAAAAAAAAAAGAAAAGTTATACATTACCTCATCATAATACGAAATAAATCTTGTACATAAATACAATGAAGAAAAAAAAAAAAGCATTTTTATTTGATTAAATTTAACGTAATAAATATTAAGAGATGAATACAGTGGCGAGCATTTACAATTAGAACTGTCAGATGAGATTAGTTTTGGATCGATGTGTGTCATAGTAATCCCAACTTACATAGTTACTGGGAACAATACCAGTAGAACCGTCGGCTTTACGCGCTTGCCACCAATTACCACGTTTATCCAAGATGTCGATGGTTTCACCCTTTTCAAATGAAAGTTCATTGGGGTCATCGGGACTTCCTTGGTCTATAAGCACATTAGCTAGATTTCACAATCTTCATTTCATTGCTGTCGAAACTTACAATCATGCAAAGCAGTCGCTTGTTCAAAGGTGTCAGCACCATCTACGATATCATCACCAGCTTCCTCATCGAAACGACGAGGCAAGGGCTTCTTCTCATGGGTGCCAGTGCTGGGACGGACAGCATTGGAGAATCTGTGGCTAAAGTGAGCAGTCTTTTCATTGACTCCCTTGAAGCTGCCACCGCTCATAAAAGTACCACCACCAGGAGCAGTTAATTCAATAGCCCAGATGAACTAAGAAGGGCAAATTCATGCATCCGAACCAGCATTAATATCCGAGACATTTTCTTTTGATCGTTTGTCTTACCTCAACAATGATCAAAATGACAGCACCGGCAGTTGCAGCTCTGGCGCCACCGATCCAGTTGTTGTCCAATGTCCATTGACAGAGCCAAGTTAAATAGACAAGACTGACAGCCATAAAGAGATAGATCTACAGATGCTTAGTCTCGACATGTACACGCGCTCATCTGCATAACATATGTGTCTTACCATATCTCTGTAACGGTTGAATAAGCCGATGCCGAGCAAGATGATAACACCAACCACAAAGACGAGCTCATAGATGATGATGAACCAAGCGACACCATGGAAAGCGGCTACACAAGCGCCAATAAAGAGGATAAGCCAGGCAGCCTAATGGGAGAGAGACGTCAGATCACACAACAAACAAACAAACAAACAAACAAACAAACACATCTAAATCAGACTTACAGCAGCCAAGCCAGAAGTGATTGCGATCAATGGGCTAGTTAAACTGTGATTATATTCCTCCATTGCACTGATAAATATGTTTGAATTGAATAAAGAACAACAAGTAGTAATGGCATTGGATGCATCGAACTTTATATAACAATCAGACAGAAAAAAAAAAAGAAACTTGAATGCCTGGGGGGTTCACTCGATGAGAAACAACTTTACATCACATTTTGGTAACCTGCAGCAGCAAGTAAACTCCATCCAAGAACTGGATGTCTCAAACGTAGGCTCTTTTTTTTTTTTTTTTTTGGGTGGCAATAAAGTGCCCAAAGCTTTTTTTATTTTTTGTAATTGGTTTTAATTTTGAGTCAAAATGAAAAAGCAAAAACGAGGTGCAATTTAACGGTACTGCAGAGATGGGATTAGATGTCTGACTATACACTCTAGACTTTCAATCAAGCTTACCTTGTGGAAACCAATATCGTTGGCATATTCACGGAAACATTGACGACAGACGTTCAAGTTGTACTTGCGGATCAAACCAGCACGGTGAGCACAGACACGACTAGAGAAAACGGACCTCGTTAGTAACACTATGCCTTTTTTTTTTTTTCAACTCAAATGGGATTTTGTTTTTTTCTTTAGTTGACATCCCCATCTCTCAAAAAAAAAAAAAAAAAAATAGATCGAGTACAGGCACATTGTTGGTATGATTTCCAATCGTCGTTATTGCTGCCATCGTGTACATCTCTTATCGTACTTGAATTCTCGACATGCTCCTGGATTGTATCCGATCCCAACATTTGGTTCCTCTCTCGCTCTCACACAAACACATTTTGACCAGATGGGAAAATCAACCAAACACAAAAACAGATCCAATGTTGTTACATACCATTGACGAGAGCCCTTACCGAAGCTCTTGGGGTGGGAGTTCCAAACGTTAGCGTGAGCCATATTGTATAATTAAAAAAGAAAGAGAGAGAAAAAAAGAAGAGATTGGAAGAGGGAAGGCACCACTATACAATAACAATCACAGGACAAAAATTTTTTCGTTACAGTGGTCACTTACATTCTATCATTTCATGTCGCTAAGCCACGGCAATGCGTTCAAATGATTTGCAACACAAGAAACCAACCCCTCATGTGATTTGAAAGAAATTCTCGATTTCCCGAGTTGATATGTGTGAGTGGGGGTATTAGCGAATTGTTTTTGGCTAAAGAGCAAGACAGAAAAGTCGATAAGGAAGCGTCTTTTCTGCTCTCATATTTTATTAAATCACTCATAAATAAAATTCATGTCGATTCCCTTTGTAAACAGGTAATACTTGTTGTGCTTTGCAATTGGAAATATTCGAACCAACGTGGTATTTCTTGGCCATTTTTAGCATTATTGCCTCTATCTCTTGAACTCTTTGTTATTGTAATGGTCTATATAAAATCAGCTGACGGTACTGAAAAGAAATTTGCTTGTATCAAATGTATCAAGGTACAGCTTTTAGTATGGATCATATCAAGAGCAAAGGCTAACTAGTGTTGCAGGGTCATCGATCCTCCAAATGTACGCATGATAAAAGAGAACTGATTGAGATTAAGAGAAAAGGACGGCCAGTATCACAGTGCGAAACTTGCCGTTTACTTCGAAAGACAAAGCAAGTGCATGTGAAATGTGTTTGCGAACCCAAGAGCAAAGGTACAGTTTACAATATAAAAAAAAAAAAAAGCTGCATAGTTTAGTTGGCTCATACAGGTGTTAGGAACGGTGAATAATGCATCCAAGGATAATGCCGTTTTAGATCAAGAGCAGATTAGCAAAAGCACTGATTCGTCACCTGCAAATGGTAAATACATACCGATCCTGTCTCATGTAACAATGCCAACTAAACATGATTACAGTAAATAACATCAACACAAACTTTAGTAATTTCGACAGTATGCTGGCTTCTACATCTTGCCTCGAGTGCAATCGGCCAAAATTGTATTGCAACTGTAGAAAACCAAAGGCTCCATCGTCCATCACCACCTCCTCAACCAACAGTTTAGAAGGCTCAGTGACACCACCCAGTGCATCCTCGCCCTACATGCCTGGATCAGTATCTCATATATCACTGCCTTATTCAGCAGCAGACATATTCTCTACAACATCTCCCACCATGTCAGCAGGACTGACGAACAACAATGCAAGTACGCCTAATAGTAATAACAACTCTCTACCTTCTTCGCCCATGCGCCATCTGACAATACCTATCCACGATCCATCTGATGACATTGACAGCGATACTCCCATATACAAATCAGTGGAAGAGACGCCTCATCTGGGTGAATTCGCCAACAAGAGCTCAGACGAACTCATGAGCCAAATCTACAGTGGATTTCCGTCGTCCAACTCTTCAATACCCTCTGCTTCTTCTTCGCTGATGAGAGAAGGCGTTGATGATGAATTAGTGGAATTATCAAGGGAGCCCTAGAATGCCATTTCAATAAAGCACTTTATCGGAATCATCTGTTTAAAAGAACATCCCGTTGTGAAGGGCTTGTAGAGCGCTGCCTATCGTTTGACCAACTAAACAAATGTCCGTTTATTCGATTTTGGGGTACAGATCCGTTCTGCGATGGTTCATCACAGGCATTTCAGCTCTGATTCGTGTGAGATAATCCAGATCAATATCTGCAATCGCGATGGATGGTTTGTTTGCAGTATCAGGACAGCGAGCAAGCACTGTTCCCCATGGATCGACAATCTACATGGCATTGAGTCAAAATCAGTGGGCAGATGATAGATCAATACTTAGAACCAATTACCATAGCATTGCCATAACTAGCCCTCTTTTCATTATGCTGGCCAATTTGAGCAGCGGCAACAACATAGGTTTGCGTTTCAATTGCTCTGGATCTTAGCAAAACCTCTACATCATAGCAACAATTCAAAGTAAGTTTTACCGTAACAGGGCCTCTTATTCACACACACACACACAATACATACCCCAATGTGCCATGCCTGTCTTGATAGTGAACGCACTGGGATAAGCCAGCAGCTCTGCTCCCCTCGCTCTTAAAGCAATGGAGGCTTCTGCAAAGCGCATATCATAGCACGTTTGCAAGCCTAGTTTCCCTAATGGTGTCGCTTCAGGACAACCCACAGTGTCTCCCTTTTCTGTCGTGTCGCTTTCCATCAGTCTTGGTCCACCCGCTATATCGACATCAAATAAATGTATCTTGCGATAAGCACTTTTGATGATGCCTGAACTATCAATCAACACATGCGTATTGTAGATCTTGTCACTCTCGGCAGCTGTGGTTGTTTCATGGACACCAACAGACACCCAGATACCTGATGCGGCTGCTTCGCTCTGCACGCCTTGGATGAATTCAGATGTGTCTAGTGCTGTAGTAAGCTCTTTTGCTTCCTGTGCATTTCTAGAGATAAAGTCGGAAGCCTCAGGAAGGAATATCATCTACAATTTAAATGCATTTGTTGAGAGTTGGGCCATCCTTACTGCGTGCCTTGCCACTTACAGATGCACCTTGTCGAGCTGCTTTCTTGATGAGATCAACGCATATGGACTTATTGGCTACAATGGACGCTGTGGCGCAAAATTGCCCTACTGCTGCAAGAGGCATATTAACTGTGAAAGCGAGATGAAAACTCAATTAAATGCATAGAGGGATGTTTTGAAGCGGCTTTCAGATGGCGACATGTTTGTGTGTGTGTGCTACAAGTAGGATATCTCTAGCCTGGGTTATTGCAGCAATCAAGTCTTCAATGATCGCGTTGCTTGGAAAGCCATAATGCAATCCTTAGAGATTCATTGAGCATTGAATTGGCTATTAACCACTCTTTAGCCAGGCACGCTCGAGAGCCGAGAAGCGTAACCCGTATGAATGGATCCCGTTGATCCAACGGCCCCATTCTGGCTTGATTTGCATGTTAAGTATCCCAGGGCCAAGATTATCTTGACTGTGCGAGATGCCGATAGTTGGTACATATTGGCCAAGAACACCATTGCTTCCTACCAACAGCATAGCGACAACCAGGCGGATCCAAATCATCCTTGTTTTAAAATGGCTCCTATGGCTCAGGTAACATGTCTGGATGGCCGTCTAAAGGATGCAGAAGTGTTTTCAAGACAGCAAGAGATGAAGCAGGTTTTCTTGAATTACAACGAACAAGTCAAGCGTGTAGTTCCTGCAGATCAGTTGTTCGTGATGGAACTAGGTGAAGGCTAGGATAGATTATGTGCTTTTCTCGGCAAGGCTGTCCCCAATGTGCCTTACCCCAACGTCAATTCAACATTGGAGCATCAGAGATCCAGGGCCGAGCGAGAGTCGAAGAGTGCCCTGCAATCATGAAAGCCAAAGGTGATGCTGGAGTTACTTGATCTGCATTTGCTGACGAATTACATAGGATCTGATCTGTTCATGCCATCAGATGTTCGGAGTTATCATGAATAAAGCCAGTTGTAGCATGAATGTCAGAGCAATGCTCGTCTCTCTATCAACATTTGCTATTAAAAAAAGCCTATTTTAGCTTTTTCTCCATGGAGGGTATACATCTAATATGAGACATGACGTCAGGGATGCCATTTGCATTAAGCATTGTGTTCTGAGAAGTGATATAAACAAGATCCAGACTTTACATGCGGCTTTTCGGTTGCACCACATTCATTTGAAGCAGACATGCGTCTGATGAACGCGTTACAAAGAAATAGCATCCTTTTTTTTTTCGTGATAAACTGAAAGGGGGTTTCAGTTTATGGTAAAATGTGACGAAAAAGTGTAATGTTGATTGGGTCAAAGTAATTCAAAAAACTTTCCTTTGAACAACGGGGCGGGGACAAAACTAAATGAAAATAGTATATTATTTCCCTCGTTTTTTTCATTCTTGCCTCTTTTCTTTTTTTTTTTTCTCTCTTTTCTTCTTCTAGTTCAAGTTATTTCTCTCTTATTTCTCGTATAGCAAAGAAAACATGCAAGCAGATACAATATCTAGGTTACAACACACGTCTGCCTCATCATCATCGTCTGTTAAAACTCCTTCCCCATTGAAGGGTGTGCAATTACCGACATCTGGCACCACGCAACCTCAAAAGCAGAGTACAACAAACAATTTGGGACAGCTAGATAACATTTTCCAGTCTGTTAGGAAGCAGGTAATTATGAAAATAGCAGTGGCAAACCAAATCCTGAGCATGTACATGTTGTAGATTGATCAATGGGGCGAAAATGCCAAGTGGAAAATTGATTTGGTCTTATTGGATAGCCCGCAATCACAATCACAAGCAGCACCAGCAGCACCAGCAGCACAGCAGCCAGCACAGCAACAACCATCATCATCGAGCCTACATCCTTTGTTGTCTCCGCAGCATCTGCATCCTAATGCGATCACAACTCCGTTGGATAATGAATCGACATCTTATGCATTGCCTGTGACATCTACCATTCAGTATCCTGTAAGTTTTTTTTTTTTTTTTTTTTTTTTTTTTTTTTTTTTTGATTTCAAGTTTGACAGAAACTTTTTTTTTTTCTAAACACTGGGCCATTTGCAGTGGGATTTTGTTGCTCCAAATGCAGGCAAAGATGAGTGGAAACAAGATGTCGACAATCTAGAACTCAAGGTATATATATAAAAATAACAGAGCTATCCCCTTAAAAAAAAAAAAACCGGAATTAATGTGCAATTTTGGACCACAGCTTCGTGAATTGATTGAACGTCAACACTATCTTGAGAGCATCATTTGGTCGCAATCAGAGCAGATCAAGCACAGCTCTAGGATACCAGACAAGGACAATGCAATCAACACGATGAAAAACATATTCTTGATGTCTCAAAATGAACAAAAAGTGCATCACATGATGGAAGCCAACATGCTACACAAAGACATTGAAACACTGTCCAAAAAGCTAAAGAAAATCACTCATATTCTGGAGAAGATTGAACAGATGGAGCCCGCTGCAGAGGAGCAAGCACTAAGCAAGGAAGAATTGCTGCAAGACCGTGCGCTGCTGAAGCGAAAGCTGTATCTATCCGATTTGAGGCTATCAGCGCGAGATGCAGAGATTGACTATTTACATGAACTCATCGAGACAATAAAGTCGAATCAACAGCAACAGCGCGAGCAACATCACAGCCACCATACACACAAGAAGCTACGCAAAGGGCCACCTTACCTGTTCCAACAGCAGTACTCTCCTCGCAGCGATATACGTTCCAACGAGCCACATCCTCTGAGCGGCTTGGACAGTTTAGGCATTGTTGCTGATCAAATGCTGAGTGATCCTGAATTTGAAGGCTCTACCCATTCGTCACACTACACCAACGAAAAGCGATTGAGATCAAGATTGGATGATCGCAGATCACAACGGTCCATTGATTCAGCAGCGACACTATTAGCCATGCCACAGCTGATGGTGCCACAGCATCGTATGACAAGAGGTAACTATTACTATGCGGTGTCGTTCATGTGTATATTAAATTGTGCCCTATTGTCGCTTGATTAGATGATTCAAACTCTATTTCCTCCTCTCCTCCTTTATCTCCAGAGAGACCATTGCACCCACAACCACCACAAAAGCCAAACTACGATCATATTCCCAAGAAGCCTCGATCGACATACACGCGATGGACAGAGGCAGAAGACAGATTACTGCGAGCAGCGGTCAAAAAGTACGGACATAGTAATTGGGAGGCATGTTCAAAAGACGTACTAGGCAGAAGCAACATTCAGTGTCGTAATCGATGGATACGTCATTTGGAACATAAGCCTGTGCCCATAGAGGAAGTAAAGGAGGAACAGCATGTCAGTACGAGCACGCCACCAAAGAATGCTCGTCAGTCACCCTCCATTGCTGCGTTGCTGAACAATGACAATGAAGATGGCGGCTACCATTACTCACCAAGAGCCTCCACCTCAACATCTTCGTCCAACTATCACCTTCATCCCGTGTATCGGCCTCCCTCTCCCATGGCAACCCCCAAAAATGGTAAAAGAAGGTCTCCAGAAGAGCCCTTTCACAAGTGGTAGACATCTGATTCTTTTATATTTATTGTACATATCACGTATGGCTCAAAACACACGCACACGTAAACCCCCCCTCATTTTAGTCTTATTTTATTGTATAGCGTTTCTTTTTTATCATTAAATTTGTTTGTTATCTATGGAAAAAAAGTCCCCCTGGCATCGGATCTGAAGCACGTGTGTATAAGCAAGCATGAGCACTTGTTTATGACGTTTTTGATGTGTGCACTTGTTGCAATACATGCAAGCATTGTAGAAAGTTGGTTGCTTGTACCACATTTTATGTTGCATTACTCTAGTTGAAAGAGCGCATCTTCAGTCTTATTCCCCTCTTTCTCGCTATAATGAATCCCAAGATTTATATCCATCTCGGACTATTGACTTTTAGCGTATCTGTACTAAATGTTATATTGTATCGTGTCCCGTTTTCCTTGTTTACGTACCATCCATTGCTCACCCTAATAGCATTGATTGCCTGTACCGAGGGCACAGCGTTGATTCAGACGGCATCTGCTGTTTCGAGCGAGAAACGCACGCTCCACATGGTACTTCAAAGTATTGCATTTACAGCAATGGTATTTGGATTTTCCGTCATTTACGAGAACAAAATCAGGAACAACAAGCCACATTTCACAGCGTGCGTGGCTTCCCAAACAACGAAACCACGGATGCTGGCTTGATTAGGCCAGGATACATGCACAACTAGGAGCAATCATCGGTATCTTTATGAGCCTTCAGTTGTTGATAGGATGTTTGATGGTGTATGTCCCTAAGCTATTTGGTGGAGTAGCACGCGCTAAAATCATGTACAAATAGCATCGCATCTTGGGCTACATGCTGCTTGTTTTAGTGTGGATTGCTGCTCTTTGTGGATCAATGACTCCATTTCTTATTCCATCTACTGTTCAACCCGTCCTGAACTGGTTCTCAATTGCAAGTATAGCCTTTGGTATATTTCAATTGATTCAACCAAACAAACTACAACTGAGAAAGACTACATTGCAAAGCTTAATTTGAGTTTTAATAAACCGCAATATATAATGGACTAGACAACACAACTCCTTTAGACTTGTTCCTTTTTTTTTTTCCACCTTGAACAACACAAAAACCATGGACTCGATAGCCAATTTTTTCGGTTTGAACAAGAAGCCTACATCGTCGTCGTCCTCTTCCACCAAAACAAACAGCAGCAGTAGATCACATCATAGACAGATGCGCGATAGCTTTGTTCTTGCGTACGACAACAGATACTATGATATCCACTTTCGAGATGTGCGGGGCGGTATGCGACAAGCAACAGTTGCCGAGCTAAAGGAACGATGTAAAACAATGACAGGTGTCACTATAGCCACTATGAAGTTGAAAGTGTCGGGAGGTTTGTTGTATGGACGAAAATAACAGCATAATGGATGTGCTGACCTATTGTGTCCTACTACCCAGCATTCATTAAAGATGATACGGCAACCTTGACGAGCAGCGGCATTCATGATGGGTGCATTGTGTACGTAATGGGAGATAGAGCAAATGTAAGGTTATCTGTACTCGATGACTAAGCTGTGTTTTACTCACCCTTATATATAGAGTGAGCAACTAAGTCAAACCGCATCAGGCAACCCAGAGGAAGTAGGCTACATGATACGTATTTCCAAAGTGATGGACAAGATAGAAGGATCCAAGGACAAAATAGAAGAGCTTGATATCAGAGTAGTGTCTCTGTTGGATAGCGACCAGACTGATACGATGAGGAAGGAAACAGAGGATCTGGGGATCTACTTGTCTGAATTACTGATGCAGTCCCTGATTGCATTGGATGGTGTGGATTGCCCATCTGAATTTGTTACTGCTAGAGCCAATAGAAGACAAGGCGTTAAGCAATGCCAGGAATTGATGGATCGTGTGGATCAAGCAAGAGCAGCACTAAAGCAGAATAAACAGAAGCTTTAAATCAAACATTTTTTTATTGAGGACAAGAATAACAGCTTGGCGACACATATTACTATATTGAAGCTATGAGTAAGCTTGATCAATGGTACATGGCGAGATTGCGTGAGATGAATGACAAGTCGGTCCATCCATGAAATGACTCTCTTGGTTGTTTGCGATTTGCTCGCTAGTAGCAATAAGAAGATGCTGGATTTGACATGTTGGCCTTTATAGTAGGGCTGTATGGAATAACTAATGACTATGAGCAGCATGCCCATGATCCATAACCTACTGCGATCAAGCGAGGGTGCGAGCGGCTGTGATGAGGATGGTGCTGATGCTAATGACGAGGGATGTGTTGTTGCTGCATAATAGTGATGATGATGATGAGTTGTGGTATAATAGTTTTTTATGGATTGTTGTTGCATAGATGCTGTATAAACAATGCTGTGGATACTTTGCTCTAATTTCTCTATAGCAAGTGCTAGTTTCTCTTGGCTTTGAAGATATCCGTGTTGAACATAGCGGTATGAGTAGTCCACTATAGCGGTGTCTGTTTCTTGTTGCTGTACTTGCTGTGTGCTAGTAGTCAAAAGGCTTGCTTGAGCCTCTTCAATCAATAGCTGGAGTGATGTGCCTATTCTCTCTAAGCTATCGTTCATTGTACTGCTCTCACTTGTACTTTTATTTTGTTCTATAAAAGGAGAAGAAGATGGTGCATTGGGCTCATGGAAGCTTGGTTTTGTATTCTCGGTATAACTGTCGGTAGTGGTTGCGATATTTCTATAATTTTTACATTCGAGTTAGTCCCGAATCCAATGGCATAAATAAACGTTTGATGGATATTACTACCTTTCACGCATTGCTGCTGAGATTCTTGATCTCTTCTTGAAAGTGTATATAGGGGAGATGCTTTTCAGCCTAAAAAGTGTCATGGTCAGTATTTGTGCTGTTTGGCTTTTCTTGATAAACATGTCTAGCCATTGTACGTACCTAACAAGATAGTCCTTGACGTTTGAAACATTCAGTGATGTTGCATTAGTAGTTTCAATTGCTTGTTTTGGCTGCGTGCATGCAGACACAGTGGCAAGAAATAAGTATTTTCACTTTTTGTTATGTGTACCTGACTGCATCCGTACCTTGATAAGCATAGCATCATCATTGCTAGATGTTGATTTAGAGTATGGCGGTGGCGGCATAGATATATAATCGTAAATCGTGTTCTCGTCATTTGTTATATTCTCATGCGGGATGAAGATATCCATAATTTCTCAAACAATTGAGGTTTTTTTTTTTGTTTTGGAGAGAACAGAAATAAAAGAAATATCGTGCATTGCATACAAAGTAAAAGGGTTATTATCATGGCAAAAAAAACAGGGTGTGTGACATTGATCTACTCCACTTTAAGGGCTTTGCGTCGTTCAAGCATTTTGCATGTGAATCGCTGTAACCGATATATTAATTGTATATTTTTTCTCTACTATTTTTACCCCACTCCACGTGGTAGCTGTGCACTTTGTAGGTATTTGGTTCCAGCCCAATTTGGCGTCGAGATTAATTTCGCAATGAGCATTTATGTCAAGTCATCGCAAATTACGTGATTCTGTATCCTCCACACTTAGAATTGACAAAGCATCTCTTGGTATTGTTACATAACCTTGAGACAATCATATACCTTTATAGTCATCTTGAATGATCTTCTGTAGTCTGAGTAAGGCAAATTCACTGAGTAGTCCTAAATGCTGCATAGCGCTTTTTACTGTGAATAATCTTCCCTCATTTAGTGTTTTCTACCTTTTGTGCCTTCAATGTAATAAGAGTACAATGGTCTTGTAAATGGAAGACAGATGTACTAGGAATGTGTAGGTTTGTATTACTAATTGTAAGTCATTAACCTTGAGCCATCCAAAGCATAAACACTCGTACATGACACTAATGTTTCAATCATGCGGATTCAAACATACGTAATGCAAATCATTACATTCAGCACAAGAATAATTATGTAGAAAACACTCCTGGTAGATATAACCTGATGCAATTTGTGTTCTATTTGCAACTGCTGCTTGTCGCCTCAAAGCATAAATGAGTGGACTTGGTATAGCAACGCCCTCTTCCATCAATGAAGCTGCTTTTACAATTACATTTCATAGCATAATTGATCTTTTACATGCATTACATTAGAGAATTAAACCAAATGGGTATGCCCTGATTGTCAACCCTTAATTAAAACAGACTATTTTACACATGAAACCTACATTCGTTCCTAACATGAACTGTTCATTACGAGTAAGCACACGTAATAGATTGATGAACCAGATGTTGGAAAGTGTTGTATTCAGAACCACTTGATGATAACTTGCTTTGTTATGGTGTAGCAGAAGTTTATAGTTTTGCTGCGCATTTTACGAAAAAGGGGCAACAGCTATTCTAAGCTTTATGTTGATGGTAGAGCCTTTATATCAGGGCCAGCATATACCCAGGTTGAGCACTTGCTAAACAATGAACGGATTTTCAGTCGCTACATTGGTTGTCAAATAATTAAGCGAGGAAAGTGCAAAGTAACCAGTATTATATAAAAGAAGAATGTTTGGATGCTATTTTCTATTCAACTGTCAACCCAGCTTGGCTTCTATATTAATTGAATATTGTTCTCCTTTATTTGCTCTACAAAATGAGACCTCGCTTTGGCACCTACGATGCTTCTTTGTAAAAATCATTTTTTCAATCCTCAAGTTGGAGTTTACAGTGACAAAAACATGTTTTTTTTTAATAACACCACAAAAACATCTATGTGGTGCTAAAGTCTATAAAATAAATTTAGGGCGTGGTATGGCTAATAGCAATGTGCTAAAAGAATTTTATATGCGCCATTACAGCACAAATTAGCCTTGAGCGAGCGTTTTTCGACAATTGGGCTGGGGATGACCTTTTCGGCAGCGTAGGCCCCTGAAACCATTTAAACCCGATCTCACTACAATCAATTGGTGTTGAATCTTGTATTATAGAATTTGTAGGTGTCATTGATCCCTGTCGCTCGACTTTGATACAAAATATCGCTGTTTGCTCTCCCCTCTGCAGTGAAATCAGGTTTAAATAGATTTCACAAAAAAAATAAAGCAATAGTAAAATACAATAGAAATCAACTGTATTTTATTTGTGTATAAAATGAACTGAAGATCCTGGAATTGAGTAAAAAAAGAAGAGTATTTACACATTTGCATCTGGCTTGTAGGATTAGTGATGATAGAGAGCAATAGGTGCTGCTACTGCGATATCTGGCAAATGTTGTTGATGTTTGATTTAAAGTGGTAATCAATGCAGGAGCACTGGCCATAAGGGTCGATTTGAGTAACCTTGATGGGCTTGGGTGAGCTATCGTCATAGCATGATTTAATGTAACCTTGATGGTTTAAAGTGTGATGTTTGTTATTGAAGTATGGAACCCTTTATCTGGGATATTGTGCAACTATGGCAGCAGGGCATATAATAGTTGTCATATTTGAATATGCTTGTTATTGATTTGATTTTATTTGGATAAAGATACCATCACTTATTACGACCATCATGGGTGTGATTGAATACACTGTGATCAGGAGTGATTCATTCACACGATGTGCGATATAAGCGTGTATCTTTACTTTAGTATTTTTAAATGGGTTTTTGATGTACATTTGAGCGCTTTCATTAATAGATCCAAATAGCATGAATTTGAATGAGTGCTATTTGATGAACTTTGGTTTTCAATTAAGTTGCGTTTGGGTGGCTATCTCATTACAATAATGAACATTTTTTTATATTTATTTTTTAAATAATAAAATCATTCGATTTTAGTTTTTGATAAAGTTATAATTATGTATAGATACCACTACTTTCTCTCATTCAAACGATATATATCTCGACTTTGTATACAAAGAAATGACTAAAAACTAATGCGAAAAGACAATTTTTTAAACGAACGGGACAGTTTTTCCCCCTACTTTAATAATCCTTTTATTCTTTGTGCTTAATATCTTCCATATATAATATGCTTAAAGAAAGCATTCCTCTCATAAAACTGTTTAATGGATGATGAATTCAATCATTGTACCTTATCTTACTCTTGAATAATGAAGGATTTAAATTGTATCAATATTTGAATACATTTTTATCACGAACACAAAAGTATTATACATGACAGATCAATAGGAAATCAACTAGTTGTAACCCTTCGTTGTTCCAACCTCTTAGCCAATCAGATTGCTTGAAAACTCCGCTGATCTAAAAAAAAATTTGCGAGGGTTTCCCCCTGTTTTGATGTGAGGCAAAATTTTAAGCGCCGCTATAATAGCAATATAGCCGTTGCTATCATCAAACTTCCCTCAGGTGCTAGAGCATGCCTTACTTACACCACCTAGCTTTAAATTCAGGCATTGAGACCCCCAATCATCACTAAAGTAAGTAGCGATAACCAAGTGGAGGCGGCCTATCTACCTCCTAGCCTCGGATAAAGTCTTGTTGAGCTTCAGGGATAGGCACATTCACACAACGTAAAAAAAGGTATGCTTCAAAGAAACATAATAATAATAAAAAAAAAGAACATAATACTATAAGAGTATAGTAGTATGTAGGCAAAAAAGAGACACTCACACAAAGTGGGTCAAAGAAAAGCATAACAAACACAACATCAAAGATGTTCAAAAAAGCTCGTTGCTGTTGCAAGAAAAATGCATACATGAGCAACGCGCATGGTAGTAATAGCCGGATGTAAAGCAACATGATAACACAAATACGCACAACTGCAAAAGCAACAGTGGCATTATAAGTTTGCGATACAACATAATGACTAATATTGTTTCATGTAAAGCTACAGAGGAAACACTACCAACAAAAGAAAAAGAAGAAGAAAAAAGCGCGACAAGACAAACATCATGAATGCATTATCACGAGAAAGGAAGCAAAAATATAAGCGTTCAAAGAAGTTTTATATTATTGCGACCAGAAGAAAGAAGATACTTACCACTTACCACAGCCACAGATAGACCAGAAGAGTATAGGCAATTACCGGAGACAGACCAGAGAACGAGCATGCAGCAAATACAGTAGAACAGGAAAGATCAAATTAGCAGTAGCAGCAGCAGCAGCAGCAACACCAGCACCATAGAAAAACTAAAAAACGAGCACCATCAGCAAAGACTAAACAAAGACCAAAGAAGTTACTTATCACTTGTCACCACCACAAATAGACCATAAGAGTAGAGGCAATCACCAGAGATAGACCAGAGAACAAGCATACAACAATTACAGTACACCAGGATAAACCATATTAGTAGCAGCAGCAGCAGTAATACCAGCACTATAGAAAAAGTAAAGAACGAACGCCATCAGCAGAGAGCAGACAAAGACCAAAGAAGTTGCTTACCACTTATTTCCACCAAAGATAGGCCATAAGAGTATAGGCAATCACCAGAGATAGACTAGAGAACAAGCATGCACCAAATACAGCAGACTAGGAAAGACCAGATTAGCGGCAGCAACACCAGCACCATAGAAAAACCAAAGAATGAACGACACCAGAGACCAGACAAAGACCAAAGAATCAATCACCAGACATGATAAACCAAAGAAGCAGACAGCAGAGATAGCAGACAAGTAATGGCAGCAGCACCACCCACGTCAAACAGACAAAAAGAATCATCAAAACCTAACAAACAAATTCAATTAGTGTTAATTCTACGCCTTCCAGTGCTCGTTATCGAATGGTATCTAATATATTTCACTTTAAAGAAGCAGTATAAAATACTTCTAACAGTGCATGACAGTGTTATCAGAAGATAGAGTGTTATTATCAATCAAACGGTTTTCAAAACAGCCATGGTTTGGTACTAAACGCGTTTGGCAAAAAAGGGAAAAAAAACGAGGGTATGGAAGAATGAGAGGACGCCCCATCCGACGTCACGGCCAGTAGATTTGGTCTCAGTCTTCTGTCGCGGTAGCCCTAATTGCGGCAATTTAATATGAATTTATGTAGTGGATATTTTCGTGTTCAAACTTGACTTGATCTCACATCTTTTAAACGTTTTTGCCATATCCGACTATGAAAACTGTCGTTATCATACCCAACTTTCTAATATACCTTTAAAGAACTAAAGAAGCCGCATCGAACGGCGTTGATTACATTTAGCTTTCAGACCGAAAATAATGAGCAATTTGCAAAAATATGAAAACATGTTTTTTGCCAAAATGTTGAGATTTCACAAAGAAAAACCACATAGAAAGAGTTTCCAGTGCTGCATCCCGTCTTTACGATCAATTTGATCTTATATGTACCATAGGAAAAGTCTTCATTTTTGGGGTGAAAAATGCGATCGTTTGATTTTCAAGAATTTTCCCTTGCTAATACTCATGAAAAAAAATGAGAATTTTCAGGGATTTGCAATGACCCAAAAAAATTTGAGATAAAGTATCAGTAAGTAAAACGCAACCAAGGGGAGACGTTTGGCCCTATTCCAAGCGTCCACAACGCTTTGTAGCATGAGTTATTCGTGCTTCAAAATGGCTAAATTTAGACATAATTTGGCTTAAATAAAAGGCCTAGTTGGCTGTGTTGCCTTGGAGGTAAATAAATCACACCTGTACTTGATGATCCAAATATACTGTTAAGCACAAAGTGTGGAATACATCCACTATGATCTGCATTCCGACAGTTCATCCAGTTACCAGATTTAGATATAAACTGTATGTACACTGGATTAGATGTACGATATCGATTTATACTACAAGAAGATATGGACTTCAGATACGCTAGTACTATAAGATTTATACTATATAAGATATAGGCTATAGATGGCACCACGGACATAGATGGCGCTATAGACTTATACTTGTATTTCGACATTGACTACGGATGTTTACCATATCTGGATAGGCACCAAGATTAATGCAATATGAGCTTGTTGCTTCAGATGTGCACTTCATGATCCACGCTATAAGACACATGCTTATATCCGTGATACTAGCTACAGATACTTTATGTACTACAGACTTGTACTATATATGAGACATGCTATAGACATGCATACGATATGCTATAGACATGCCATATCTCCAGATACATGCTAAAGATGTATGCTTAGCGATATACACTCAGATATGTACTATTAATATAGACTAAGAAGACTGTACCTATCGGATAATGCAACTACTAGATCGATATTAATTATCCTTATGGAAAGGATAGATCAGGGCACTTTGGATGAGAGTCTAATTATTCATCCAGGCAAAAGCTAAATCATGATTAGCTTGCTGGAGTTGTCTTTTAGCATGATTAGATATTAGTTGATCAAAGCTGACTTATTTGTCAATCTAATTAATAGAACTTTTATCCATTGTTATAGTATATAAGAAGGATCATCTACCTGGCCAGTAGAGAGACTTCAGTTTACTTTACACCTGTCAGTTTGATAATAAAACATACCTTTATCAACTTGACTTCACTGTTTTTTTTTCTATTCTTTGTTTTCGTGAATTTTAGTCTATCAAGCCTCAAATTCCACACTATCGAGCATGTCAGCGACTCAAACAAGCCAATTGCAATTAGGGATATCATTAAACATCTCCAAACATTCATTGCCAATGCATATGATGGCTCCAAAGTATCGAAATACAAGAGCATTTGGAACCGCAGAATTATAGGCGTTCTACGAATGTTACATCTGCCTTACGACAATAAGAAAAAACAGGACTGGAAATCTATCTTGACAATGATAATCGACAACTCTGTTGAACAAAAGACAACAAATGAGAGCATTGAGCATCATTCCTCTAATGAAGAAGCAAGCGAAGAAGCCTCCACATACACTTCCAGTTCCTCTCCCAGCTCTTCGACAAGTATCAAACAACAGCCATTGACAACAGCGGATTACGAGAAAATTGAGTCCATGTATAACAACCTTCAAGACGAGAAGAAATGGGTGTTATCATCTGGCATTATAGTGGAGGACGAAATGAAGCAGTTTGCTATCAGTTGTTCTGTGGAGCAGTAAGCATTCGTATTGAACTTTATATACAAAGAGTATCGAATGAGCATTATATACTAATTCAATTTACTTTTATACTTGTTGGTCATGAAGTCCCTCTCATTCTTTAATAATAGACACAAAGGACAAATGTTGGGAGAAAGTGTTTAGGGATTATGATCTTGCAGAGATTAAGACATATAGACTCGACTCTTTGCCATCACTGCCCACTGATATCGAAAACTTCATGAACACAATCAAGGATATTGATAATTTAAACGCTCTCAAGGATACTATCTCAAATCATCCACAGACAAACCCTGACTTGGAATGGGTGCGTTCGTCCATGGAAAGTTGCATAAAGCTTTTCAAACATCGCTATCTGCCATTAGCAGACCATAGCGAAGCCGATCTACTGCGACGAGTTTGGATGTTCATAGATACCTGCTTTGACACTTCAAAAATACATTGCAAAGGGTAAGTAAATGGCGATAACGTGACGCAAATTGGAGAAGTCTATCTATCTAATGTACTGTCTCTATGTAGAGGCGAAAAGAGCAGCTTGTCTTCGTCTGCTGGAAGGAATATTGGTCGTAACATAGGCTCAAGACAGCCCATCTCAAAAAAGCTTTGTGGACGGAAAGTAGACTTGGAATTTAAAAGTGCTGACACTGAGTATGGCCTTGCTGAGTGTAGTCGCTACCACTCTTTGAATGACACAAAACAGCTGATGGATGGCGGATTCAAGATGCCAAAGATCATGAAGGAGATGATATACCAGCTGGTAAAAAAACGTTCTCCACAATCATTCAGAGATGTCTCGGTCATTGGGTTTCTTCCCTCAGAACTGAATTTGTCCCTGCTCCTACTGGATATCCCTGATGGCTATGTATGCCGCATTAGTCATCGACACCCTTTGAAGTATCCTGACGATGAAGATTCTATTGCTAAAGAATTTCCCCAGATCCTCAAAGTTGTATATCAGTCTCGTCTACTCATGGAGAACGCCAGATTGATGTCTCGAAACCAGATTGAAGGGTTTGATGTTGGAGAACGAGCCCCCATCCCTCCATGCTTTTACATGTCAGTACCAGAAAGCTCATCACCATCCAGACGAAAGAAGAGAAAAACTTCCCCATAAATACCACTGTTGTATGCCGCTATATCCTTAAATATCATGATCCCACTTCCCTGTATAATTTGTGAATAATATGTAAATACAGTAAATTTGATAAATGTAGCAAATATCAATAAAAATTAAGAACAGTGTATAGTTTATACGCAATTATTTTTGAGTGAGAAGTATCAGCTTTCGCTGATTTCACTGCACTTGCTTCTAATGATAAGCTTGTCTAAAATATATATACTGGAAAACTATGAAAAAAAATAGACAAGCCAATCATATCCTTTTAAAATTTAATAGTATTGAAAGCCAGAACAAACGTGGGCATAACAACCGGCGAAGCCGGCAATGGGGAGGGGGTTTGGGGGAGGGGGCTTAGCCCCTCCACCAAGAACATAACAATGCATCTAATTCAACACTTGATGACATTGATTTATAGGGGAGGTTTACCTTAGCGAAGCAAAGGTGTAAAGAATCTAACCCAATATTAAGTAGCATTGAAATATAGGGGGGGGGGTTTACCGTAGTAAATCAAAAATGTAAGGCCATGGTAGTCAGGCGTCTAATCCAACACTTGGTAAACATTGATCTATATGAGGGCTTGATTATAGCGAAGAGAATATGCAAAACCATAGTATATAGTAAGCAGCAATTTCAAGTTTTTATTTCAATTGTTGATAAGCTTATTACCAGCAACATAACACATCAAAATTTGCATGAATTAGCTTTGACAAAATCAATATGACTCCTATTCGAATTAAAAATTGAACAGGCTGCGCAACTACCCTTCCAGAAAATTTCAGCAACCCAAGGTGTAATTCATGAAGTGTAAATAAAAGCTATAAAGCAAAAATACAGCTAAATTTAACAACTTTCATGCCTTTATATCTTGACATGTAGACCTTTTCGAGCCACTGGAATAACGCCAAACAATTGCACTTGAGTAGTAGTAACTTTCTGACACCTTTGCTCGACTTTTTGGGGACCAAAAAAACATGGTCAAAAATTGACCAAAAAGCATGAGGGGTACCTCATGATTTTCTTTGAAAATCAAACAATCGCATTTTTCACCTTGAAAATGAAGACTTCTACTATGGTATGTATTGAATCAGAATGTTTCTCTCGATCTAAAGCAACCTCTGAAACCGCTTTTACGAGGTTTTCATATGCAAAATATGGTTATTTTCGCTAAACACCTTATTTCATATTTTACCAAATCTCTCAACAATTTCATTCAAAACACCTATTACAATTAGTACCATTGGAAGCGCCTTAAAAAGTAATTCAAGAATGCATTAGGAAGCATAGGGGTATCATCACAGTTTATATAGTCGAATCTTACAAAATAGATCAATCAAGTTGAATTTTTTTTATTTGTATGAAGATTTATTGGTTAAGATAAACTCATAAAAGATATTTGGATAAAATATAAAAGAGGAGCAGGTGTAATGTAAAGTGGCCTGTCCTGAAAGGCAAAGAAAACAAAATTAGCTTAACAAGTTAAGAGAGGATATTCGACGCAAGTTGGCCATGGCACGGTCCATTACGAACTGATTGTCAAAACCAACGCTATCATAATGATCACACCATTTGGCGCGCCAAATAGCTGTGATAACACAGGTTACGGCTTCAAACGTGGATACCTTGAAGGATGAATCCAAGAGGCAGTACGAGGAGAGGTCCAGGGAGAGGACATCCGTAGCAACTTGGCTCATATCAAGTGGCCCAAGAGGCACAAAAAGCAGGGCAAAGTAATTTGTCCAAATGTCCCAATTGGCAGGGCAAGTAAAGAGCATGTGAATGGTAGTCTCACGGTAGCCACAATACACGCAAAGATCATCTGGTAGCTTGAAGATCTTGTACACATTGACTTTGGAAGAGACCTTATTATGAATCAACCGGAACCAAAGATTTCGAGCTGCACTGGGCATTTTCGTTTGAAGAAAAGAGGCCACGGTGAGTCGGTTTGCATCTACCCGAGTGATGTATCATTTTCTAAACCGGATCTCCAAATGCGTAGAAACAAGCAGTTCAAGCACCGGTCACATCAGATCATAAACTTTGACATGAAACAGGATTCAGTTACGATCCGAATAATGGCATGTTCAGGATAATAGATTGGATCTATTATCCTATCACCCAAATCAACCCATCTAATACCTTATCCTCACATCAAATCCCTCAATTCGAATAGTATATAAACCCTCTTATTTCCAATGTAATAAACGACATTCTTTACCTGATTAATTTCATACTCTTTTTATAAATAATTTATTTCTGATAAATCACCGAGGGTTGGCTATTGGAGGGTGATTGCGCATGTACATTGCACGAAGCTCGGTATTAGACATGGACAGAATCGTAATACCTTGGTAGGAGAGCTTGTGACAATAGTAGGGCGACAGATCAACACCTCCACCGGTGACAAGTAATGGCTCAGGACCAGCAGGATTGGCAAGAAGAATGGGGCAAAGGGAAGACACAAAGTGGATGGTGTTGGAGCGTACGGCCGCGACCATTCTAGAGAGAAGGCCGGGGCTGGAGCAGGCACTACGGCCCAACTGATGTTCTCATTTGAGAAGGTGTAGTTTTCCACATGAATAAAATGGTTTGAATAGCTAAACTATAATACTGTAGGCAACAGAGAGACTTTTATTATCTGTAAGATTCATAAAATTACTAAACGTATTATAAATTGCACGAGAAAATGGCAATTTAAAATTACCTAATAACTACTTATTAAAGTAAAAGAATATATTTCAATAAGATATTCGGGTAGTTTAGTGGGAAGAACGTCAGACCCACAACCTGTCGGTTGTGGGTTCGACCCCGATAGGAGCATTCTTTTTTTTCAAATTTCTGAAAATCGATGTGCTCATATAAGAATATGAATGTGCTCATATAAGAATATGAATGTGCTAACATGAGAACATTTCGGATGTTCTCATAAGAACATCGGCGGACTTATAATAGATCTTTAGGAACGCCGATGTTCCCATATGAGAGCATTTTTCACCTTTCGGGAACACCAAATAGATTCTCATATGAGCACATCGATGTTCTCATGAGAACATCAGTTGGGCCGTAGTGTATAAAGCATGGTCAGTCCACACCGAAGAGACGTGCTCAACGTTATTGTCAAAGTAGAGTTCCTTCAGCTGGCGGCCCACCATGATGTAGTCAAGCGTTTTAATGACCTTGCCCCGTCGAAAGGTTGGAAGAGTTTCAAAGAGGGAGTCACTGTAGTTGTTGTTACAATCATGAAGGAAGGTATCCGTAAACAAGACAAATGCTGCTGGTCGTTTGGTGGGTGCATTGTTGGGCAAACGAAGGTCGTATTGAAAGTTGAAATCGCCCGCCAAAATCAAACGCTCCAATATGTCACCGTATGAATCAAGAGACTTGATGTAGTTCATAAGGCTGTTGTAGAAAATGGCTCTGTTCTGAGATGAATCCGCAGTCGCATAGATGTTGAGCACATAGATGGGCAACAGGTCTGGTTCCGCGGGTATCGTCAATTTTGCAAATATAATTCTATCATCATCAGAAATGTGTATCTTCTCCATGTGAATATTTCTATTGAAGTTGAAGATGCCGCATTTCGATGTCCAAATACTTTGAACGGATTGAAATTTCAGGTCGAGCATTGCAATCCTGTCGTCAAAGTTGAGAGAGGGTATGTTGGTTTCCTGGCAAGCAAAAACATCTAAATCTTGCCCCCTTAAGTATCGAATGAAGGAATCTTAGGATTGAGGATTGTTGACTTTGAGTAGATATCGACAATTCAGAGATCCAAATTTGATATTTAAGGATTTCCTATTATAATTATTATGATTACTCATAATAATTATTGACGTGATGAGGGGTTGGTAGAAGCCTTCTTCTTCGAAGCCATTCCACCGTGACGAGGGCGCGATGCTTTGTCCTTGTTGTCCTTGTGCAATTGCTTGGCCTTGCGACGTTGAAGCCTGAGCTGGCGCCTCATCTTCTGGAGAACCTCATCCAGAGGTATAGAGCTGCTTGCCGCCTCCTTGGCCGCTTCCTCCATGTTGATATCGCTATCATCGACGTCGTCGTCACCATCCATCTCATCATTAAGATCATCTTCCGGAGCGTCGCCCTGTTGCTCCTGAATAACCGTTGAACTCTCTTGTTCAGAATCACCCGCTTCAACCGCCTTGGTGAGCTCCTCCCCAGTGTCAGCGACGTCCTTTCCATCCTCATCACTAGATGGAATGGGTGCTGTCTCTTCAACAGTAGAAGAGGATTCCGTGGTATTGGAATTGGTGATGATGGTTGATTCTTGAGAAGATGTTGGGATGATATCTGTAATGAAGAGTTTAGTAACCTTCGACTTGTCAGAAGTACTCACATCTGCCTTAGCAGGTGTAAGTACTGCAGGCGCTGCCTCCTTGTCAGTAGCCTTCGACTGATGTGGTGATGTGTGTGTTGTGTTCAACTTGGCAGCCTTCTTGCGTTGATTCCACCATGCGCCCGGACATGTGGCTTGTAAGTGATTAGGACTACTGCAGATATGACAGTGCTTCACTCGTTGACTCATGACAGGACAGTTGCCAAAGACATGATCAGTGACATGACAACGACTACAGGTAGGCTTCATACCAGTGTAGGTAATCTTGAGAGTTTCACCAGATTCCCAAGAGTTAATTTGAGGTACCAGAGGTGCATACTCTTTACCAGGAATGAGATTCAAAGTGACGAAACCTCTACCAGTAAAGAAGTGCCCATGCACAGTATGGAGCAGACCCATCTCCAAGATTTCTCCATATTTACCAAAAATTGTTGACATTGCATCCTTCAGCGTCTCCTCGTCTTCATAAGGTAGATTGCTTACACTAACCCGAACAATGGTAGCGTCCTTAGAATAGGTACGGCTGACAATGACTTGCTTTCCTTCATAGGTAAACTCTTTCTTCAGGGCGGCCTCCCTGGCTTCAGCAGTGCGAAAATTGATTTCAAAGTACTTGGTGGTTTGACTGACGTTACGGATGCAAAGACCCAAGGCATCCGTGAACTGACTACGAAGTACTATGGCAAGATCCTTGAAATAAACCTGCAATGCAAGGAATTGCTCGGTCGAGATGATCACAGAGTTCTTGTCCCTGGCGTGAAGGAATAGTTGTCCCCCCTCGGTGAGCTGGCCCAGCTCGTCAGAGTTGCGAGATGTCAGATCAAATGTGTCCCTGGTTTGATCCGACTTCAGGATTTGTGCATATGACCGCATAGGATCCTTTTGTTTGGTGGCGTTGTGGTGAGAATCCGTGACTTTTCCTCCTTTAGGATCTCGTCCTTTAGGCAATGTTTGTTTATCGGGAAGAGCCATGTCAAGTTGAAAAAGACAAGGTTTGTCCAATATTAGAACAGAAAAAGCAATCTGGGTTTGAATCAATTTTGGCTCTGCTGTTGGCTGACCCACCAAATGCCTTTCTGATGATGTCAGTGATGGCTGCGATGCTGTTTAAATGGAGATCATGTAATTGAAAGGACAATTGATTAGCACAAATCCTTTTTTTTTGGAAGTTTTACCACATAAAGATGTCTTTTGCAATGGCTATATCTCAAAAAAGTTCCTGTATATCTTACATAAGGCCTGTATTTGCTTTTGACCAACTTTATGCTGCCATCTGAAGAGCAACATCAGCGAATGAATAACTCGCTCTCCTGACTCTGATATAACCATTTTTTTTTACTGTCTATTGGTTGTTTAAAATCTGCTTGATATGCCAGATTTTTTTTTATCTTTAATTTGAGATGTCTACGGCTACAGCCCGCAGGGCGACACCATCGCCGAGCGTAGCGAAATTGCAACTAACTCAGCATTTGGTAGCATTAGTATTAAAGGGTTTTACCTTAGCCAAACAAAGGTGCAAAACAATAGTGTTTAAGCAGTAAATTTGGTTACTCATTTCCATTGTTAATAAGCTTACCAGCAACATAATGTATCAAAATTTGCATGAATTAGTCTTACCAAAATCAATATGCCTCCTGTTCAAATTAGAAGTTGTACCAGCTGCAGAATTGCCCTTCCAGAAGACTTCAGCTACCAGAAATGTGATTCATGAAGTGTAAATAAAAGCCATAAAGCAAAAATACAGCCAAATTTGACAACTTTCTAGCCTTCGTATCTCGACATGTAGACTTTTTTGAGCCATCGGAATAATGCCAAACAATTGTGCTTGAGTAGTAGTAATTTCCTGGCACCTTTGCTCAATTTTTTAAAGACCCAAAAAACATGGTCAAAAATCGATCAAAAAGCATGAGGTACCCCTCATGGTTTTCATCGAAAATCAAACGATCACATCTTTCACCTTGAAAATGAAGACTTTTACTATGGTACATAATAAATCAAAATGTTTCTCTCAACCCAAAGCAACTTTTGAAACCATTTTTATGAGGTCTTTATATGCAAAATTTCGACATTTTGGCCAAAAACCTTATTTCAGATTTTTTGGAATTGCTCATTAAATTCATTCAAAACATCTATTTTACTTGGCATCGTTGGAAGCGCCTTGAAAAGTACTCCAAGAGTGTATTAGGAAGCGTAGGATGATCATTACAGATTATATAGTCGAATTTCATAAAATAGATGAAAGAAGTCGAAAAACGCCAAAATCTGTCCAATCTTGAACAGAAAAAAAATAATCTGAGTGTGAATCAATTTTGGCGGCGGCATTGCTGCTGGCTGACCAAAATGCCTTTCTGTTGATGACAATGATGATTGCGATGCTGATTAATTGGGGATCATGAATTTGAAAGAACAATCGATTAGCTTGAATCCTTTTTTATTTGGTTGTTTTGCGAGTTTTTCCCTATATAGGTGTCTTTTGCAATGATAACCTCTCAAAAAAATCGCTGTAGATCTCATAAAAGTCCTGTGTTTACGCATGGCCAGCTCTGTGTCGCCATCTCAAGAGCAGCATCCGCGAATGGTATCACAGTTCTGCCGCCAGAAAATGCAACTCGGATGGAGGATGTAGTAAACCAGAAGTCTTATCATAATATAACGTAAATGCTTCATAAAAAATATTGATTTGTACCTCCAAATTTCTGACGTTTAAATCAGGCTTCATGCCTAATATAGTCATTGTTTAAAATGTACTTTTATAGCAGAGTTTTACTATCTCTTCTGATTTGAAATGTCTTCGGTGAGAGCCCGCAGGGCGACGCCGTCATCGAGCGTAGCGAGATAGATCGGCTAGTACCAGTATACGCAGATACAAGAACTTTTTGAATGACAGCATAGATGTCCTGATCAAATCAACAATACATCAGCTCTAAATATAACATTGCATGTTGCCAATTCATTTTTCTTTTTCTTTTACACCAAACATTGTCTTTGTCAATATGGCAAAGAGAGTGCATTCTGATGGTAATCTCTTGAATAGTGCTTGAACAATATCAAAGAAACTAACATGCACCTCTTTCATAACACATCAGACACAGAGTTAAAGACAAAGAAACTCTCAAACAGTCCGTAATAAGTTTGAATCGTGTGAAATGCAAAACTATGGATAACTCACATGTCAATTGAAAGATACAAAGGCAATATTTGACATTGCATGCACATCACCTGCTAAGTTGGAAGCAAACACCGATCTAGCCTTCTATGATACTATGATATCGACTATTACCAACTAGAGTGTTTGTGGATTCAAAGAAAGTCTGCAATATACCATCAAGTTTTTATGGAAAAGTGGTATTTGCGTAAATGAGAACGGCTCAGACTTGTGTAGCATCATGGACGGTGTCCTTGAACATGATGGGCGCATTGGAACCAAACAACACTCGCACCAGGTATCTCCAAAAGGATTATTGCTGCTGTATTGCTTTGCCGAGTACTTCAATTGTACTGTGTTTCCGTTCTCGGCAAGAAAGAAACCAACAATCATCAAGCCTGTGGAAAGGGACGGTGCCACTAGAAAATTCGCAGCACTGTTATCTCATCAAGATTCTTACATGCAAAAAACAATCTGATTCTCCCTGACACGCAAAGATGGGTTCACTCCTAATCCTTCTGCCTTCAAAGCTCCTTCCTCTCATGCAAACGTCAGTAATGACATTGTAGCGACAAAGTTCATAGAAGGCTCCAAGAAAACAATACACAAGAGAACCTTTTCAGATGACGAGCTAGACAAGAAAGTCATGGTGCTGCTCAAGATTCAAGTTTATCAAGCATACCAGCGCAAATGAGAAGAGTTCCTGAAAAAGCCAGGGTCGTCCAATACCGTTGAAGACCTTAAGAAGTCTCTTTCCACTAAGTTATTACCCAACAAGGTGGTAGATCAAGTACTGGTGGATCAAGTACTGGTGAATCAAGTGGTGGTGAATCTAAGAACGATGAACCTGAAGTTGATGATGATAAACCCACTGGGTCAGAAGCAGGTGGTGCTGGAGCTGATGGTGCTGGAGCCGGTGAGACAACTGGTGGAGCGATGGTTGATCCAACCATAGAGCTTCGAAGTGTACCTCGTTCTCTGGAAGCCATAATTTATCCTCGTTTTGATTAAGGAGTCTTTCTTGGAGTGATTACGGATTTCCAAGCTAATTGCCACTCATGCGTTCGCGGCTTGTCGAAGGCTGTTGGCATGCTGGTCGATTTGGTCTTGGCTGGTCAACATGCGACACAGAAAAAGATGTCTTTCTTTGACATCAAAGCTGTTGATTTATTTGATTATGGTTTGAGCAAGAGTGTCAAGCCCATTGCAATTATTGACGACATCAGTGCTAGTGTTCAGGAATTATTCGTTTATAGTGGCTTCTGGAAAATCTTGTCATTTTGTATTGGACCAAAAAACGAGGACAAAACAAAAATCCCGTATGTATATACAAGGACATTTGACGGTAATGCATTAGGCTCTAACTCTTCAATCCATGTAGCCTTCTCACAAGAAATCAAGAATACTTGGAACGCACTGACTACGTCGACTTTACAACACGACCTGCCCTGCAAGAGGCATGTAGAATATATCACACAAACTTCTCAAACATTTACTGCAAAAGGAACTGCCAAGCGGTGCTGAAGACAGTGATCAACTTGGTGCTCAAGGCCAACCTGTGTCGACAGCGCATTTTTGGAGAGAAGAAGAAGAAAAAAAACATATAAACGCAAGCAGAGAAAAAGACCAAAGCCGCAGTCAGAACAAGCAAAGAAGAAGCAAGCAATGGAAAAGCTTTTTTGGCTTTTGGACTGTGGTCATCGGGTGGATCAATGCATTGACAAGAGCAATTAAGCATCATCTTTTCAAACAAAAAGAAGAAGCCAGAATCAAAGGAACCTGCTGCTGCCACAACTACTGGTGCACCATCTCCAGTTTCCTGTAAAGGCAAATTGCGCATGTCCGCAACATCTTCATCGCAACCATTGTCTACTACGGATGCTGAGCAAGATATTGAGTTGCTTGATAGTGACGACAGTGATTTGGAAAGTGTCATGGATGATGAACTACAAGAGGAAGAGGAAAATCGTGATTTGACAGCCAAGGAGATCAATGCTTTGACGTCTGTATCCGTGATGCTTTGCCAATCCCCCTCCATCAAATGTGATATTTCCTCTAAATACATCAAGAAGCAGTTGTACCCCAATAAGAGAGACTCTATTCCAGCTAGTGCCCTTGATTGCTGCTGCAAGATCATCAATGCCATCAAATCTCTTGTTCCTAAGGAAGATTTCCCCCCCTCCATACAAGTGGTTTGGTTTGTTTCAGTTGCGCAATATTCTTGTTACTTTCCACCCTGGCCTTACAAGGAAGAACGCGAGAAGTCTAGTGTAAACAGGTCAAGTGCCTCCAAGTCTGATGTGGACAAGGTGAAAAAACTCTCCAGTGATATCAAAGAAACAAAGAAGCAGTTGTCATCACTGTCAAGGCAGCTTTCAAAACTGCAACGGCATCGCATGGACTGTGGCAATGAATTGCGCTCCTGGGAGAAGAAGCACAACAGCATGAACTTCGAGTTATATAAAAAGTTGAAGGATGCTAGAAGTGATTACGATAAATTGTACATGAAAGTGTTAAGCTTGAAATCATCGATAAAGCAAATGTCCAGTGAGATGTACATTTTGAACAAAAGGATCCACGGTCAACAAGTACATCAAGCTGCTGCTGATGCCATGCCAAAGCCATTGGCTGTTGACAGTAATACTATCGTTCAAGGCACTGACCCTGGTGTGGTGACTACCGCCAGTAGTGTATGGTGCTCTTCTCTCACTCTTTTTGAGTCGACCGATCGGTTTCAAATGCTGCAAGATTATTCTGACACTGCGGCCTCTCTTGGAAACGGAGAAACATTTGTCAAGTATGAAATGACAGCCAACATAGTCGATAATGCTGTCCTCTCCAATAGGCGAAAGAAGAGGAAGAAGTCATCAGTCAAGAAGCTACAGAAAGGAAGGGCAACTGGACGAATCCGCTTGAAGAAACTTCACCAACATTTGGTAGCCAGTGAAGTCAGATCTTCTGCAACCATGTCCACCTTCAACAAGCCAAAGATGGTTTCCTTCATAGGAAACTGGCATCGCAATACTCAGTACCTCCGTGGCCACAGCACTCGAAGTATGAAGCCGTACATGTCAACGCTGTCCACAAGAAGCACAGTCAGATTGGTGGACGAATACAATTCTACAAAAATTTGCTGCCCCTGTTTCAAGGAGACACAGAAACAGCTGGTGCGTGATGAGGATAATAGAATGAAGAAAAACATCGGTGCCATCATATGCTTTAACCCTGCGTGTCCAAAAAGACTGGCTAAACAAACTAATATGAATCGTGATGAGCAAGGAGCGAGTAACATTGCCCTCATTGGTTTTTCGGCACTGGTCTCGTTTGTCAACAAGGTGTTGCCTCCTTTCAGTCGAGTTCAAAATCCTGATAAGTAAGTTAGCCTTTTCGCTGGGATCTATCAGCAGATTTTTTGACCTCTTACTTTTTATAGGTACGTCTTATCCCCCACCTATTCACATGTCTTTGCACGCCAGACTGACAATGTGAGGACACCCGCTTAGTCGGTGAATTATTGCAATAAAACCAATTGTTGACTATGGATAGTACCATTCAGATGCTTGGCGTTATAGGCCTTTTGCTTGATTCAAATATAGAAGAGTTGCGAACGTCTTTTACATGTACTACGGCATATGTCACCACAACGAGTTTGTGTAATGGTATAATAAGCTTTATGTTTTAACTGAATACTTGAAACTTGTTCCTACTCTAAAGCATATACTTTTATTCTTAATACTAGCTACAGATACATTGTATAGTACAAATTTCTCTATGAATACGAGCGTTTATGCTTCGATGAGAACCAGTCTACGCTGCGGCAGCTCGTGCTAACGATTGCTCTTGAGTACCTTATACCGCTACTTTCATTTCGACCTTCCATTTGCACATGAAAACCATTCATATTATCTGTGGACCTGATTCTTATGTGATGTTCTACATCCATATACATGTAGCTACTTCATATACGGGCAAGCAGCATACTGGCATTTCCTCTTTTTAGTCCTTAGTGTCCCTGATACAGCAAAATCTGACTACATTTAAGCCGAGTTTTCTCGCGTTAAAGCCCGTTTTAGATTGTCAGAATAGCATCAAACAATTGCTCTCATCTGGCAGTTACTTTCTGACACCTTTGCTCAACTTTTTGGGGATCCAAAAAAAATGGATGAAATTCGACCAAAAAGCATGAGGTACCCCCCTCATGGTTTTCATTGAAAATCAATCGATTGCATCTTTCACCTTGATAACAAAGACTTTTACTATGGTACATATTAAATCAAAATGTTTCTATCGATCTAACGTAACCTCTAAAATCATCTTTGAGGGACATTAATATGCATAATCTCGACTTTTTGGCCAGAAACCTCTTTTCATATTTTCGTATACTACTCAATAAGTTTATTCAAAACATCTATCTTACTTGGTACCATTGGATGCGCCTTGAAAAGCACTCCAAAAAAGCTTAAAGAAGTATAGGATGGTTCATATTTTACTTAGTCGGATCTGCTAAAATAGTTCAACCGAGTCCAAAATCATCAAGATTTGGCCAATCTGGAACGAACTATGAGCCTAGGCTGAAATTAATTTTGGCGGCGGTGGGGCTGGCTGGTAAACTCGATGCCCTTTTCATCACGAAGGCAATACAGTAATAGATGCTTTTGAAGCGTATGGAAAGTAGGAGGCAAACTACATAGCACTATTGTTAGTCATGATATTCTCCTTGCATTCTATATTTAATAACGCCAGCCAACCAAAATACTTGTCAGATTAACTTCTTTCCTTTTTGAGGCTTTGAAAGTGTCTAGGGACCATCAATATATTATATTATGGTATAATATGCTCGAGACATGCCGTATATTACCTAAAGATGAGTAACTCTTGATATTACAGGGAGATAATCGCTAGTATTGCTTATGGATTGTATGACGACTGACTTTTATCTTTGATAGATGGACACCTGAAACATTTGTATCCAGCCATACAATTGCTGCAGTAACCGAATTTTGCATTGGGTTGCAAAATGCACAGGGATGTCTATCAAGATGGGAACGTACACTGCAGCCCGACTTGCCGGATTTATAAATTGCCAAATGAATCAGAAACTCGTCTCATTTCTAAATGACAATAAGCGTTTAAAACAATCTCCTGTTTGCAAAGCGGTATTATTTTTTTGGGGGGGGGGAACGAAGGGGATGATTTTGCTGATGATGAAAGACAGCAGCTGTCAAATAATTTAAGACATTTGGTTCTTGAAATAAGTAATTGACAAGGATAGCAGAATAAATCGTTCGATATTGGCTCAAGATGCAGGAGTAAATTGTGAATCTCGAAAGCAAACATCAATTGCGCTTGTACGCTGTTAGTTAGGTACACAAAAGTATTACCTCCTCCAACACTTTTATAGAATTCTGGATTCTACGATGGAATGCGACGATTTTCATATGATTGCTGTGATAAAATGAAAATCAAATACCAAAAACGAATATGAAACTTGGAGCTAATACTTTCGAGATGCAAGCTTTGATACCTTTTGCATCCGTTGAAAGCAACATACAACATATATTCAAGTAACACTAGGATAATATGGCTAATAGTTCCACCGCCCAATGAGTCAAGGCCCATTTTCCGTTCGTACCTAGATTTCTGTCGAGAACTAGCTCGTTTTATGAGAGTTCTGCAAGAGAATGAGCTTGGCGTACCCTCTCGTCACTGACTCGGATGCAATTTTTTTGACATTAAAATGGCCGCGAAAGAATGGTATTATAATGATGGCAATTACGGGAAAAAGTTTCAAATGGCTTGGATGAAGAATCAGGCTGGTGTATCGTAGAGATGGCTCGAGTAAATTGATCCCGTACGGCTGTCAGAATCATTAGCATCTCTCATCAAGCAAAGCGCTTATTTGTTTGTTTGGTCTATGAGTTGGCCGTTTGCATCCGCTGCAGAGCAATTGAGATAATGTTTCATCAGAGCATTCTATCAAAAAAAAAAGCTTAATCTGGGCTCCTTTTAATGTGAGATTTTGATGAACACCAAATACTGGCACGTTCATAAATGTTATTTTAATTGAACACACATACCCAAGTGGTGTACTTCTTTTTGGGTTTTGTGTAATACAGCGAATATTATCATAAAATAGCACAATAAAAAGTGGTGCCAATATAGGATTCCACAAGTAATTGGCAGGGAAGAAGGGGGGGGGAGGAAGATTTATATAGAACCTGGGTTCAAAAAGGCATTTCAATAGTATGGTTTTGCGCGAGAGCTGTATCCCCTTTTAAACATATTATTATACCAGTGTTGTTATCTCTTTTGTTTTCTCTCTTTTCTTTTCCACTCTTTTATTTCCTTCTTTTGCTCTCTCTCTCTCTCTCTCTCTCTCTCTCTCTCTCTCTCTCTCTCTCTCCCTTCTCAACATTTGAATCCTACAATAGCATGTCTGAAATAAAGACACCTGATGAGAAAGAAAAGCAAGCCAATCTGGGCGCTGCTTGCTTTCGTTGCAGAGGGTTTAGGTAATAGCAACACTCAAAAGATAAAGATGACAAATCTAACAACATAAATTTTCAACAATAGACATGCCTGCGACAGAAGAAAGCCTTCCTGCTCTCGTTGTCATAGAAGAGGAATCACTTGTGTGTATCCTGAAGCTGCACCCACCCTAAAGAAACTGCAAAAAGCTACAGAGACATTGGGAGACAGAATCAAAAAGTTCAATGATCGACTCAAATCAACTGATGTCGCACCTGCACCAATGTTTGATAGCAGTAATCAGTCCACGCCAAATCACAGTGTTGTCAGTTCACCATACACCGAAAGCATCATCTCCACATATTCAGATGATGAACTGTCAGAGGAGCCCAGACCCAAGAGAAAAGCACGACGCAACGGCAAAGTGGCATCTACCAAGAGCTTTTCAGTGTATCCATGCACCAAATGCTTCAAGGATCTACAGCAATGTGATTTAGCGCTTCCCAGATGCAGTCGATGTGTGGCCAACAATTTCGAATGCGGATTCAAAAAGACAGAGCCCAAGGCAAATCATGTGTCTCAAGTATTGAATACGATGAACAAAGTCATGGATCAGTGGCAGGACTCCATTGATCGCATGGCCAAAGATTTTGCACAAAAGACGAGAGACTTATCAGCCAGAGCGAACCATTCACTAAAGATAAAGCCCATGCCACAAACCGCATGGAAAATCACAACCACGAAAAAGGGACTATCGGTAGAGAGCAATGTCAATTCTTACAACGACCTATCAACACTTGTTGATCAATTCAAACGCTCTATGACGATCTCAAAGAAGCCTAGTACGCCACAAACAAACGTGAGCAGTGTAGAGCCTACACTCGAATTCGACGACACACGATCCATCCACACCAACTCTGGCTTTGCTGTGTGGAACTCATGGGCTCATCCGACACATGCCATGCCGCAGGATTACCCGATTGACATATCTCAAGAATTGACAGATAACTTGGTGGATTTGTATTGCCGTACTCCTTGCTGCTCCTCGATTCGCTTACCAATTATAGACACAAAAGAGTTTTTGCTCCGTTATCACGATCCAGATCAAGCCAAACGTCCGTCAACGGTTTTAATTTATGCGGTTTGCGCCATGGCAGCTAGGAATGCTTTCCAATTACACGTTTGGAGCAAGAGGCCTTCCTGCGACGCCCCTCAGTACAATATGGGCAAGGCGCTGTCTGTAGCCTACTGCCTCCGCGGCCGCGAAATTTTGGCAGAGTGCTTTGATGAGCCCACATTCGATAACTGTCAAGCTGCATTTTTGTTATCGTACTGCAACTATCAAAACGGATATCCTGGCGTCATTTATTTTTATGAGTGGATTGCTTATACAATGGCACAAGAACTCGGTCTCTATGATCCTCGTCGTGAACTCACGCGTTATGAATCGATGCTTGTCTGGTCTATTTACTACTGCAATGCTTGGTACAAGGTGCTTCAAGGAAGCGATGGATCGGCATCGTCCAGCCTCAGCCAGTGCAGGCCATCTTTATCTACCATTCCCCCTACATTGCCACCTGTGCAAGTAAACACAGGGAATGATGAATCCGCAGTGATTGACTATTACGTATGGAACTCCTGGGTATATCTGATCAACCTGCAAGTTATGCGCGAACAATCTATGGCTATACTGGTGTCTCAGCAAGGCCATCCCGATTTGCCTCAAGAGCTGCTGTCTATGCAATCCACCCTGGAGCAGTTTCACGCGAGCCTACCCTTGGAATGGCAGAGCATGGCCAGTGTCGATGCCATTGACATGTTTAGTCATATCAACTCGCCTGCTGACAGCTGCTGCTCACCTCCTTCTGGTGATGGTGATGCCCATTACAGCGTCGACACCAAGTCTTTTGCTCGCTACTGTGTGAATTTGGTTAGTCTCCATTACAGCATGAATCAGATTATCTTGCACCAACCCTTTGTGCCAATGTATCGTGTCCCCTGTACACTCATGTCAATCCAAAGCTTAGAAACTAGTCTTAAAGCGGCAAACAACATTACATTGATATTCGAGATTATGGTCCAACAAAAGGAGGAATGCCATGTACCACTGGTGGGCTTCTTGTTTGCTAATATCGTGTATAGAAAACTGTTGAGCTATACAACCGATGATCACTACTATGAGACGGGCAGAATTGGCTTGCTGAACTCACTCGACATCTCGAAATCTTCCATCAATTACACGTATGATTTTGAACTGGCTCGCACTCTGGTCAATCTGATGGAGCAAGACATTCAACATATCATCTGTCAAGGAGCAAACAATTACATGTCCATGGACTCGTCCTCGTCTGCTGTCAGCACCCAGTCTCCACCGACGCCCGCTGCTCAACAGTACATGAATGAAGGATTTTATGGTAAGTGAATGATTCACACTGAATGGAAGACTAGACGCAATACTGATGCGCAGTTGATTAGGTGGTTATCAACCCGAATTGATAAAGTAGACGAAAGCCTATTTGTCAATATTTTTACCTTATTACTTGCTACTTTTCTAATGTTTTTCTTTTTTACTGTTTACTACTACTTACCTAATTACTGTAATCTAATCCCCAATTGTCATTATCACTGCTAATAGCATTATTCATCGCCCATTAATAACACATCCCCAACTAATTCGCGCACACACACACACACACACACACACACACACACACACACACATTTGCTTTGACTTTCTAAATAAATGCACATGTTTTTTTTTTTTCCCTTACAGCCTAAAAAGTTACACACAGTGAGCAAGATGTGTGATTTGCCTTGTCTTGATCTGTAATAAGCACAGGTAAATTGATGTGTGTAAAGGCACCCAAAATAAAATTACTATAGTGCAGTTCTATTTGTGTCCTGTCCACATCAGTGAAATGACGCACAAACAACCTTGCCATAGAGACATGTGTCCCCAGATGCTAGTACCTCTCATCTCTCTTTGTTGATTTCATCGTCTTTTGTTTCATGTCAACTAGTAGCAGCAGCCAGCTAATTAGTCTCTAATGTCTGTTACCCTTTAGCCCTTTTGAAATATCAGATACCATTGATTAGCACACAATAATTTGTGCGACCTGACAACAATAATTTTGTTCGTGTTCTGGACTCTTACTTTGCCCAATTACGGTTTCTTATTCTGGTCATGTCCTCCCATGTTGGGATGTCAAGTTTTACCTGGGCCAGCAGATTGTCTTGCGCCTACTGTTGGGCGCTGCCTCTCCTACTGCTGCTGCTGCTGCTGCCGCCGCTGCTGGTTCTCCTGTCTGTGGATGAGCATGAAAAAAAAAACGGAAAAAAAAATGAGAACCCAAAAAAAAAAAAAGGAATCAAGACCCAGAACAATCAATGGATGGTCTCGAATGCGATCGACACAAATCTCCATTTCCATATATATATATTCTACTCCTCTTGACGATTCCATCATTTCATACATCTCTTTCTTCTTTCTTTATTTTTCTTTCCTAACTATGGCAAATCGCAGACCATCGAATTTACTGCATCTACCTCTCGAATTGCTATTGAAGATAGCTGAATACCTCAGCTTTGCTGATCTCTGGTATTTGGCCACCAGCTCCAAACATTGCAGAGCACTCGCACATCAAATTATTTGGCATAGATATCACATTGATTTATCCAGACCACAGCTCAACCAGTTCAACCACATTGTTCATGCTGGCTTGGCTTACATAAGTCGACATGGATACACTCAAAATACAAACGCCATCGATCAGACCATCATCCAAAGCGTATCAAATAGACTTGCTGTAGAAATTTACGATAGGTCGCCCCTCAAAAATTGGGAGCCATGTCTAGACTTTTTTCTGGACAAAACCCTTGGCATCATACTGGATCATGTGTTTCTCGATCCATTGCTCGACATTGTGCCAAAGCACACATCGTTTGCCGACCTCAGCTACAAGACAGAGTACCATAGACATTTGCTGATGACTGAATTCTATCCTACACGAATGGGCAGACTGATGACCACCTTCTTAACGACACTGTATCCTACCATGATGGCATTGTTTGAAGCAGATCCTACCGCTGAAATTCACCATCGACTCCTACTCAATCACATTAATCGTCATCTGGACAGCATGTCAAATCGCTACCATAATCACCATAAGCGTCGACTCTTGCTCATTGCATCCCCGAGATCCGCCCGAGCCACGGCTTTGGCAGCCGTTCAACAGCATAATCAGCTTTTACGTTTAAACTTTCGTATACTTATTCGGTTTATTGGAACATTAGTCCAGACTGATCTGCTTTCAGCCAATGATTTGGACATTATCACTCGTCAACGCATCCAGTTCTTTTTCCTCACTACCTCCAACAACACGGCTGACGATGCTATCCATGAAGAGCCTCTCAAGAAGCGAGTACGATACACTGCAAACAACAGCAACAGCAACAACAACAACAACAACAACAAGCACAAAATTACCTTTTACGAATCACTCAAGAAACACACAACTAATTATTGCTGGCAAATGTGGTTGGAAGAAATCGAATTTCAGATGGAAATATTTCTAGATCTTACTAGAGCAGTTCTCTTGTTGGAGCAATCATCCCATTCTAGAACTGACCTCAACGTTGTTTCCTCCATGTTGGATGACACTGTCTCGGCTTTGATTTCAAAAAGAACAAGTGAGAGCTCCATCACATTAGAACCAACAAGCACAACAGCAGCTCCAAGCACGGTCTAAGTATCTTCTTTCATCCCTCCCCCCTTTTTTTAACTAGTACATATCTCATACAACTTTCTATTTTTTTTTTTATATATATATCTCTTTTCCCTATCTATCTTTCTGTACATTTATTCCACCATGTAAATATAGTATACCAACCTATTAGTCCTTTTTTTTTTTTAATAAAATGAAAAACCAGTTTCTCCATCTACATTTCTTGTTGAAGTTCGACGTGGGTCACCATGACAGATAGCACTTGCATTTGAACGCCGAAATGTCAGATACCATCAAATAAGGGAAAGATCACCAATTACCATTTCATTTAAATTATCAAATTATGAAGGTTTTAATCATGATAGTACCCTTCTTTTTAGCACAACATTGATACAGAGTTCAAGATCAGAAAAAGAAAATGTTTTCCTTGTAGATCCCTCTCTGTTCTTGGATTGTAAGTGCTCAAAACTTGGGTGTACAAGATTTCCCAGTTTTATCCTAGTCTTGGTCCTACCCTGCTTCTGTGAATGGAATGTTGGATATGTTTGAGTGATGTGATGTGATGTGTACATTGTCTGAGACCTTCTCTCTTGATCTTTTTCACCTATTCATTGCACGTCCATGGATTGCTGGATGATTGATTTTCCGTGCCTCTACGCTCTTTCTCATAACATGCTCAGTAGGCTTTGCCAGTGTGCAATGTATGGACCTTTGTTTGTCAAGCTAAAGTCATCCTATTTGTTTGTATAACACACATCAACAAGGATTTAAGGAGTACTCGCATAACTTTGAGCTTTTGGTATCAACCATCTCGCACCCGATGTATCCGTCTCCAGAACGAATCATGGCGCTTTTGCCTGTTTCATATTGCCCAAGCTAGAAAGCACGGCTTGAGATAATTGCTTATAGATGCCAGCCCTTTTCACATTTATCTCGAATTCAGATATGGAAACAAACTCTGTGGCATCTTCTTGTATGAATCAAGGAGAAACCGTTTCGACACACAGTGATGCTATCGCACCGCCTTCCAATGGTCAATGCATAGTTCTAGAATCTGGTTGCATACACCCAAATTCAAGAAGCAGCAGTAATGAACAGCACAGAAGTGATCAGATGGTGGATATTGCAGCATTAGATAGCCATCACTCGCATACCATTGCTTGGCAAAACTCATCAGTGCATGTCCATGTCGAACCGATTTCCGGATGGAGCGAGACAACACCCACTAGAACCTTGGATCTTTCTCTCGCAAGACAGTTTTCCACGAACATGTCCAATAGAATGGCTGGCATCTCAACATCGATGCAACGCATGGTGACTCGTCCAACAGCAACGCCAACAGCCAATGCAGCCTCACTATCTATATTAAGGATGCCATCCACCGCCATATCCTTACCGCCTACTTACAAACTGTACAGCGAAAAAAACACGAGTGATCAGCAGTTACGCCAAAAGATAGCAGAGCTCACAAGATTAGAAGCATGCTATCGATCCAATCCAGGTGCAGTCATTTACGAGTTTATGTGGGGAGATCCAGTGGATGGGACAAAAGGGATTGCATGGAAAGACATGTGCAACACATGCTTCCTACTACAATTTACAGGCTTTTACATGATCTTTTGGATACTCTTGTTGGGAATTGCTGGATGCTTGTCGTTGTTTGTGGAGAAATTACCTGGTCCTATATTGCTGCTGTGGCTACCCATCTTGTTGTTTCTAGCGGGTGTCTACATGGCTCGCAAGAGATATAGAAAGCAGTTGCAAGATTTGGAGGAGCTGGAAGTGTATGTGGAGGAAGGCACGAGAAAGGAGAATTGAGGAGATTGCGCAGAGGAGAAACAGGCTGAACGATCACTTTCTCGTAATAAGAAATCTTAACGATCATGCGCATGCAGTCATGACATTGTTGCCTCCACTGCCTGCTTACGAGCCAGCTGAAAAGATGAACACTGCAATAACAAGTAGTAGCAATAGCGCTTAGTTAGTGTGCTGATTGCGTTTCCTATATACCCCTTGAAATCAATGCAATAAAGTGTCCATCCCGTTCATGTTGGTGCCTTAATTCTGGGTTATAATTTACTGAGGATCATCTCGTTGGCATGTCTGACTAGGTGCAAGCGCGTTTCTTTACAAAAGCAGGGATTTATGATACAATTGCTATTAGGTTTATTTACAGTAGTTATAACGATGCAATGTGGAATTGGTGTCGAGCGTCTAACATTTAGCAGCGTGTACCTTGAGGCAGCGATGACAGAAATGATCCATACCACATCGTTTACACGATTTCTGGCACTTGCCGCACACACTTCGTTTCGACATGCTCTTACTCGACGTTTCAGCCTTTCCTTGAATTATGATGCATCGGCAATGACCAAAATGCACTTTGGGTAGACATCGCTTGCACCATTGACCATGGCAGCCACTTGAACAGACACTCAATTCACAATGCGGACAAGCAACATCGCCACAAGTGCTGCATTGATTTGACAAATAAGTGCCATCTGGTGTTCTACAACGAGTATGATACAATCGATGACAGCTTGTGCATGGTTTTCGTGCTGTCTGACATACTGGGCTCTTTTCATCGTTGCAAAGAGCGAGCGTGAGTTCACATCGACCACAGCGAGCCATTTGAATTTTCAGCTTGGGATCACTACAAGTAGGTAACCCACAAGACCTGCTGCCACATCTTTAATACTGTGTTAGTAAAATAGAAAAGGGTACTTTTGAGACCAACAGCATACCTATCACAGCGCGGTGCACATCCCATACACTTCTTAAGAGGCAGAATACCACACGAAGCACAATGCAACACCTGCGAAGAAGCGCCCAAATGACATGTGCCGCACAGCACCACATCAAATTCAACATTCTGCTTTGCCAACTTGTTCAGAGCAGCATTCATAAACCAAGCATCTTGTCCGAATGATTTACTTTCTAGCAGCAATCCAGGTTGGCCCTTGTCTTGATTCGTATGAGGCGGCACAGGGCCTCGATGGAGCACATTGCCCAGTGTAACCCTGGCTATTTTGGACGGATACTGTCCGGGAGCTGATTTCGCCAGATGCGTCAGTTGTGTTGCTAATGGATAGGTGTAAAGTTGCCAGCATGTCTGTACGGACAAGGTTTGGATATTTTCAAGGTACTTTATCAGAAGCAGCACAGAAGAAGCTGTAATGACAGTGCCATCGAGATCCACGTGGTGTATGAATGTGTGCAGACTGCCTCTCAGTTGCAGAAATACAATCAATTGGTACACAAACTGATCATTGACCATCCATTGATCGGACGGACGAAATTTGATGCAGTTCCAGACATCTGGTTTATAAATCAACTGGTGGAATCGCTTGCTGACAAGGGACATTTGAAGCCGAGATCGCACATCCAGGAACGAGGCCATACGAATGATGGTTTTGCTAGGAAGATGAGCCAAATGTTTGATGTCAAGCGGAACATCTCGATCAGACTGATAGTATGTTTGCCGTTTGAATTGGTCTGTGATGGAAGAGAGGGATCGTTTGGGCGTCATTTGTATCGATTCGTCCTGGCTTATTTGACGCACATTTTGGTGATTGGCAGCAGGGGATACTTGTAGAGCTGCTACTGCCGCTGTTGTCTCTTTCATCTCGTCTGGCTCATCGCTCAGTTTTGTATCATCTGTCGTCTCTGTTTTCGATGACGAAGTGTATGAGGAATCCTGGCTGGAAAGTGCAGGCTTGTTTGTGATGTTGGCTGGACCCTGAGCTAAAGGTTTGGCTTGTGTTGCAATAAAGGCAATGTCTTGTTCACAAAGAAAAGTCAAAGGCACAGCTACCATGGATCCATTGGGCTTTTTGAGTTTGACTTTCTTATCTTGAAAGAGACATACAAACGTTGCCAATACTTGGTACTTTCCATCACTGCCTGTCCAAAGTCTTTCAGACATGATGTTATGTAGTTTGTAAAGAAACGAGGAAAAGATGAACACGGAAAAAAGAGAGAGAGAGAGAGAGAGAGATTCAAAGCCAGGATTTACATTTGAGTTTTAGTTGATAAACAACAATAGACAGAATCGAGTAGGAAAGCTTGCTGGATTTGGTTCTATATTTATACTCAAATCAATATCTGTGACACAAGCATTTATATTCAAGTCCTTCAGTGTCTGGAAATCTCGATCCATCTGGTGGTGAAGCTAGATATAGCAGCGTTTGACTGAGATGACAGACCAGCCTTAAGCATACACACACCATAAGCATATTGCCGTGCCTCAAGCAAATCCAAGTATTTCATGTATTGGGTGCCTTTTCTTTTGCCATAGTATAGAGGTACAGTGCTTCCTATGCTGTGAAAAGTTGAAATGAATCAACAAATAGAGATCATATTCGAATGCAATTAGTGAACTGCTTGAACGCAATGCTCATTGTTTAGCTTGATGTCATTGTGATACCGCATAACTAAGTATCCATACGAATCAAACAATAAACGTTACGAGCTACTTTTATTCTTATGGACATGCGTAAATATAACTGCTGATGACGCTCTTTGTGTATAATGCCTTGGTTCACTCGACATATGCCCACAGCAATCCAATTACAAAGTTGCTTGATCGATTCTCTTACCTGATGCTGCTCAATAATGGCCATATCTGGAAAGAAAAGAGTGTACCTGGCTGAATATCTCTTGCCAAGGACATACTCTGCTTATATAGCTGTGACATACAGTCTGATGACCTTTTATAAACAAAGAGCTATCATCCCGGCTGCATCAACTCTGTCCAGATAACATAGTTGAACATTGTAGACACGCCAGCACCTTTGACTAAAGAATCATTCTTGAAAATCAATAGAAAATCTGTATCTGCAAAGGATAATTAGATAGGAATGATTGTATATCTCAACTCCTAGGCTAACGCCATGCTTGTGCGAATTTACCTAAAAAGCTGGTCGCTATGGAGATATGCACAAAGCGACAAATACATACAAGACAATGGACATATATATAGAGAAAGAAGCTTGGAACAAGCATTAGATTAGCAACAGTTTACGCGTTTCCGGACTGATTTTACCATCTTGCCATGTCAAACTCACAAAGCCTAAATCGTACCATAACCGCTTCTTTAGCATTAGGTGTTTTTTACACGAATACAGCCGCACACACTTTTAATACATCATTATATATACTAAAATCATTATATATGCTAGAAAACATGAACACAAAAGCGTCATCGTAGCCAGTCAGCGATTAAAAGCTCCTCTCCCAAGAGCATAACGCGTCTAGTTCAAGCGATTTCTTGCCTGCTATTTAGCTGTGGGTTGAGTGATTTGTGGTTTCAAGGCAACACTTGGTAACATTGACCTTAAGAGGGGTTTACCGTAGCGAAGCAAACGTGCAAAACCATAGTAATCAAGCAGTAAATTTGGCTTATTATTTTCATTGTTAATAAGCTTACCAACAACATAACGCATCAAAATTTGCTTGAATTAGCTCTACCAAAATCAATAGGCCTCCTATTCGAATTAGAAGTTGCACAGGCTGCAGAACTGCCTTTCCAAAAGACTTTAACTACCAAAGATGTGATTCATGCAAGGTAAATAAAAGCTATACAGCAAAAATACAACCAAACTGGACAGATTTCAAGCCTTCATATCTTGACATGTACGCCTTTCTGAGCCACCAGGATGACACCAAACAATTGTACTTGAGTAGTAATAACTTCCTGACACCTTTGCTCAACTTTTTGAGGACCTAAAAAACATGGCCAAAAATCGACCAAAAACCATGAGGGGTACCTTATGGTTTTCATCGAAAATCAAACGATCGCAGTTTTCACCTTGAAAATGAAGATTTTTACTATGGTATATATTGAATCAAAATGTTTCTCTCGATCCAATACAACCTTTAAACCTTTGTTTGTGTAGCCTTTATATGGAAAATCTCAACATTTTCGCCAAAAACCCCATTTTATGTTTTCATTAATTGCTCAATAACTTTAGTCAAAACTCTTATTTCAATTAACACCAGTAGATGCGCCTTGGAAAGCACTCCAGGAAAGCTTAAGGAAGTATGAAAGGATCAACGCATTTCATATAGTCAAATTCCACAAAATAGATCAAAGAAGTCGATTCTGATCAAAAACTGGCCAATCTTGAGCAGATGAAAAAGTGGCATTTTAATTGTTATAGCTGTCAACTCCATCATGTACTTTCTTGTTAGATACTTGAACCTATAGAAGCCCTTTGCTTGTGGTAAGGTCTCTGTGCTCAAGTGACGAATAGTTTACCTATGAAAGAGTGGTTGAAGCAGATATGAATATAAGCAAGGGGCTGGTTTTGTGGTCAAAACTTTGTATATGAAGGACGGCAGAAACATTGTCATGAGCTCTTTCAAGCTCTTTTCATGCCATGAATAGTCAAAACCCATCTTCAACATGGTTTAAATCAATATTTACACAATCAGAATAAATACGGAACTCAAAGCAATGCGTCTAACCATGAGCTTGTGGCTTTCATTAGTGATTTTATTTGAAAATTCTCGCAGCTGGCATAAAATTGAATCAATGTAGTGCATGTTCAGGTTCTCAAAGCTCTTGTAGACAGACTACGCTACCTCAACAATGAATTATTTGACAGAGAAACATTTAAAAGCATCCAGAATTGTCTTACTGCCGTAACCAAGAAAGCAGCTGTTGCGCTTGGACGATTCATGGACCAGCTCATGGTATTTTTGTTCTGGGCCATACTCCTTGGACAGGTAGTTGTCTATTCAACCAATTCAGTGATATACATTGTGTATAAAGAAGATACTCCAATTTTCAATCATGAATCCTAGACCATCGTCCCAAAAAAAAATAGCTTACTTCAGATATGTATCTTAAGTTTAATGCTTTCTTATTTGAATACAGCCCTGATTTCATATTGAGTAACGGATGTGATGAAATACTTTTATTTGATAAGCGATCATCTACAAGATCGAAATCATGGATGAAATCACCATCTCAAATGTTGAGCAATTGGAAGGCTAATATCTTGAATAGACTTCTTCACAAATTGGCCTTTGGGACTCTATAGGTATATGCTGTCTTTTCATATAGAGTCGCTTGCGATTCAATTTCATCTTACTATACGTAGCTCTCCATACACACTTTGATTGGTTTCTTGGCAGATGGGTTAACGCGTCACCCAAAGCCATCCTAAACATGGCACAGCAAATTTTCATTCCCATTTTCATTCCTCTTTTACCACAACCAAATTATTCAAGAATAAGCATTATGGGTAAGAGAAAATAGACATTTATTAGCGGCATGCAACTGACTTGATGCTTCTTATAGATTATCAAAAAGCTATGCTAGAAGAGCTCATGTCTCAATATGTAGACGTTGATAATAAGGATTTCTGGGATGATAGTGTAAGTGATAAGGCCTTGATTTCCATAGAGAAACTTGTTCTTATGAACATTACTACATACATAGGTTTGCAAACATTACATTGTTGCTTTCTGTCCTTCTCAACTCTTTACCAACACAAAGTCTGACCTTGGTAAGATTGAACCTGAGTAATGTTGATAATGAGCCTGAATTTAACCTGTTGTACACTTTTTAGGTGCTTGTGATAAGATCCACAACGATCGATTGAAGGAACGTTACCAAAAGGTGCAAGATAAAAACAAGTATCCTTACGAAGCTGAATTCTACGATTATCTCAACAAGCTCATTTCTGATTTATCCCGAAAAATCAGACAAGGCAATGGCAGACTCAACATCCAACTTGATGACAAGGTACACATAAGTGCTCTGTACTATAAATAATAAGGTGCTAACTCTGCTGTGCTAGGCTGCAGAGGTGCGTAAAGAAGAAAGAGAGGAGAAGATGGTATTACTAGACGTCAAGATTAAAGAGTTGTTACAAAAAGTCGAAGAGGCAGGCGAAGAAGGTCGTGTACAAGAAGCAACTGATCTGCAGGCAGAGGTTGACAAGCTGCAAGAAGAACTAACTCAGTTCAAAGAAGTAAGGATTGACAATGGCTTGCTGTAATAGACATCTTACTAACATGACACGCTTATCCATAGAACGCTGACGGTCTTAGCAAAGCCGAAAAGCGTATGGAGGTAAGGAACATATAGGTAGTGTAAGAGGTCTCATCAGGTTAACATTCTCTCCAAGGTATGCGATGTTTGTGGCGCTTTTTTGGTAACAAATGATTCTTCAGATAGATTGGAAGCTCATTATCAAGGAAAACAACATCAAGGTTACTTGAAAATTCGCGACACAATTGAGCAAATGCGAGTAAGTACATGTACACGCAAGCGGATGTTGAGCATTTACTAATGACATGATGATAGCAAAACCGCCAACAACACCATCAACCACACGGCAACTACCAACAAAACAACAACTACTCTCGCCAGCGCTATGATTATCATGAACGCCGTGATGGAGGTAGGCAAAGAGATTATCGACGTTATTCTGACCGTGGATATAACAGGGACAGAAACGATCAACGTCGACGTGGCAGCCGTGATAGACGCGACAATGATGATGATTTCGCTGGTGAAATTGACCGTTACAGTAGAAGATCTCGTCGTGATTATGATGATGCTCCACCTCGTCGATCTCGTTCTCGTTCGCCCGCCAGAAGGTCTCGTTATGATTAAATAAACACACTTTTGAAACAATAAAGCTTTGAATGCAATGTATATATATATGGCATGACAATTTTTTTTTTTCCTATTAGCACCAAAAAGTCCAAGGAGAAGTCTGTCTACATGGAACAGGTTTAATAAGGAGAATCTGACAACAACATCAACAACAACAACAGATGTCTTGATTTGTTTGTTTGTTTACTCAACGTGTATGATAAGCCATAAAGTAGTATTTTAGCTCCTTAACCCTCATGTCAATTTATAAAAAAAGAGTGATAATACAATACCAATATTATATTGCTCACACGTGAAGTGAATGAATTTTGTATGAGTTGAGTTTGGTATTCTATCAGGTGTAACTTGAGTCTGTAAATATTGCCACACATTATATATGTACAATAAAGAAATTTACACGCATACAAAGAGTCATCAAGACATGTGCTTTATTAGCTCGATTTGTATGTATTCAAAGGAAAAGAAAGGTGGAAAAATACAGAGACAAGAAGGGAGAGAAGTGTTGCATTATCTGTAGATGTCGTTGCCAAATACTTAGGAGTATCATCAGGCTATATACATGCTTGGGCTTAGATGTGTATACAGTCAAGTAGACTCAGATACTTACCCAAATCAAACACACTGCCTGACTGCCTGACTAGATGATGAAAGCGTGGAATTGTTCATGACACACGCTTTTTTCTACACAGTATCACACAAGACATAACATACGTCTTGCCTCATTCCCCTTCTTAATTTAGTAGCCCCTCATTAGAACCCCCGCCCTCCTCTTATTTCACTCGTACCCCCCTCCCTTCTTTCCAATTTTCTATTTTTGCCTCTAATTCCTTTTCACTTTTTCTATTTCTTTTTCATTTTTTTTTTCCTATTTCTTTTTGCTTTGAATTAAATATATTCACTTATATCTTCTTCTCATCAGAAATACCCAAAAAAAAGGCAACGTAAAGGAAAGAAAAAAGCCAAGGATAATGAACTCTCAATTTGCTGATCACCCTACATTGGATACCAAATTCATCAACATGACAACATCAAACGTTTTTTCGGCTCATTCTCTCCAAACTGATCCTGATCTTTATGCCTTACGAAACAAAAAATACAAGAAACATCATGTTGCCCCCATTGTAACTGCCCCTCTTCCTACTACGACTACTACAGTGCAACCACCATTACCACCACAACCAATCCAATCAACTCAATCTAGCCAGCTTGTATCCACCAATAGATTGGCGTATGTCGAAGCCCTAGTTGGTAAGCCCTTATTTCTCATCACTCCACTCTTTCCTGAAGCTAATTGAGCCATCTCCAGATATCAACGCAGTTGTCATTGAGTCCATTTGGTATCCTACGATCCCTAAAGAGTCCCGAGTATCGCCGGTCGTACCATTGCGGACTTTTATCCAAGAAGTACTCAAGAGATCTCGAACAACCTACTCTACGTTACAAACAGCATTATTTTATTTGTTTCGTGCTCGACCAGCCATTATTCAACATTTGCAACACCAACAACAACAAAGATCATGTGATAAGAAGAGTAGCTGGCAGCATAACGCATACATCAGCTGTGGAAGACGCATGTTTTTAGCTAGTCTGGTTGTGGCATCTAAATTTGTGCAAGACAAAACATATCGTAATTCAGCATGGGCAAAAATAGCAGGATTGCCTGTTACAGAGATCAATACTGCAGAGCGATACTTTCTGAGCATTATGGATTATCGACTATACATTGATCAGAGCACATTTGATCGCTGGCATCGTCTTTTACATACCCGCACACAAGCTAGGATGCATAATATACCAACATCCCTGCGTGATCTATCTTCTTGCTTATCATTCTCACCAACAAATTCATACCCATCTCCCAACATCAATAACGCATTCAACAATAATAACAACGACCTACTATCATCATATATTTCAACACCTCCTTTAACATCACCCACTGTCTCTACCTGCTCATCCACTGCCTGCGGATGTTCCCAATGCTCACCTAGATCTGTACCCCCTGCGTTGTCTTTATCTCTTCCAAGTTCAATCTCTTCTTCACCAGCTCAGACTCCTACTCAGGTATCACCTGTTCGTATGAATTCATCTCAAAAGCGAAAACATGATAGCAGAGAACACATTGCTCTACTGGACAAAAAACACTGTAGATTCTGGCAATAATCTGTATCAGCAAACACCTTTCAAGATCCCTTTTTTTTTTATGCAATATATTATATACATTTCTCCTCTTTTTTTTTTTTTTTTTTTTTTTTTTTCTTTTACCCTCTAGCCATCTCTTACTCTACTCCCTTCCACTCTATTCTCATATACATAGACGCTCTATATATATATGATTTTACATTATAAATCAGTACTACTTTATGAATTATAGATTGCAACAAAAAAAATGCAAAGAAAAAAAAAACCAACATCTCTCAAAAAAAAAAACATTACGGAATAAAGCTGCTCTGTTACTGCCAAACTACTAGATTTGTACATATTATCAAGCGATCAAATATGAGTTTTAGACATGTCTTTGATACAGTCGACAAAGATTTTTGGAATGCTGGATTAAACATTCTCGAATATCACCAAATAGGACTAGAAACTAGTACAAATGACTACATGTCATATGCATTTGTTTCACTGTAATGTGTGCAGCCATCTCCATTCACGGTTTCTTGCTCTTCATCACTAGTAATCGACTCACATGCCGTGTCCATCGACGGTTTCATCGCATGTTGAAATTATAAAAAGACGTGCTATGAGGCAAACGAAAATATATATAGAGCAACCCAACAAACTTTGTTGAATGATCATTGAAACATGTAGCACCAATGATTAGTGTACATAACTTGATATACTCCAAGGTTGAAAGAAAAGATGGTTCCCACTGTTGGTCATTCTACATTACCAAAATGAGTGGCAAATGTTCTTTTTTAGAATCGACACAGCCCTTTCTTGTGTTTTTTTTTTTTCAGTAGAAATTAGAAATGGCTGACGAAAACATAAAACCAGATGTGATGGGCATTTGTACGCCTCTGATATTGCATTGATGATGACTGTAGCTGATATTTTTCTTCGATCTTAAAGCACGCATGATTACATCAAGTACATTAGGTTTGGAGTCAGGAAAATGCGTCTAAAGCATGTCAACCGTGTCAAGAAGGAGGCTTCTGTTGATATTGGTAGTTCAGATAATAGTAAGGCTAGTGCCCAGGAAATCGATCAATTGAATTCATCCAGAATGCTGGCTACCAAATGATTGAGTTGAAATAGTAATGATTTACGTAATAATGTAATTGACAGACTGCACCATGCTCATCTCGTCTGCTTCGGCATCCACATTCTCCATTCATGTATGATGAAAACGTCATGCATGTAACCGCCTGCGCTGATGGATAAATACAAAAGAAGATGAAGGTATATATATATGTGTGTGTGTTTACAAGTCTGTATTAATTTACACAAATTCAATGATGAAGTGTAACCTTCTGAAATGCAACGAATTGTCAAGCCTATTTTGTGTTGGAGGTATGCGAAACTTAACATGTGGCCCACACAGTGCTGTGGAGTGTGATGAATTACTACCATTGCAGCTAGACGGATATAATTTACTGCATCCAATGGTGGTTTATATTGATTGTTTGTAGCAGAAAGAATATCAGAAGGTTGCTCTACATGTTTTCAATATGGAACCTCAATACAATCTCACTCCTGAGGAGCAAGTTTTTCAATTAAAACCTTTAGACTCTCTCTCTCCCCTTCCCTCGCTTTGACTGTACGCTATAGCTTGTTGTACGCTACACAGTGATTCTAGAGTGATTTGATCAATCCATGATGTTGAATGGAGTCCCAATACAACCAATCATAGCATATGCGCTTGTAATACCTTGACATTTCGAATCAATATAGGCCTCTAGTAAACCCCCCTTATTCCCCCCTTTCCGTTTGGATACACTTATAATTAGTAGTTTAGTTGACCTTCTTTTTCCCTTGCTCTTTTTGCTTTTTCTTTTCTCTCTCTTTTTTCTCTTGTAAAAACTTCCCATTTTCAATATTCTATGGTGGAGCAGGCTTCATTTAGTACATGAGTGTGAAGAAATACTCATATTTGCGTCGTCCTACTTGCAGGCGACTTGTTTGGATATCATTTTCTCGATTTTTAACATTTTTCATACCCGATTTTCTACTCTACTATGTAGGGGGATTGCCTAGTTCTGGTTTGTGAACAAACTGCCATGTGCTCTTTTAAACGTCCTAATATTTATGTTCATGTAGCATCTCGCCAGGCTTGGCGTGAAAAGATAGCTCTCTTTTTCCTCTTCCTATTTGCAGCAGCATTTTTTTGTTTTTGGCTAGAATTCATCTCTAGCTATTTTTGCGACCCTGAAAAACCCTATGAATACCACGAAGTATTCTCTAATGACTCAAAGATGGCTGCCATCAACGGCAAAGCAGTCGATTGGAAACACACTGGCATTGACAGTCCAATGGTCAACTGGGTCAACGAGTATCCTCACCATGATTTATCTGCAAACTTCCCAAAATTCATGATGCTCAGTCGTTCATCGGATCAGGATCAGTACCGAGACAGTATTGTGAATGATTGCGTCTACTATCAGGACAATGCCGACAAAGCAGATGCCTGGCTAGAATTCGTACTGGAGCATGATCCCGGCTACAACTATGACAAGACCAGAACACCAAACGGCTTGATTCAATGCCCAACACCAGATCATCTCAATGTTACTGGTGGACCTTGTTTCTACGGAGCAGACTACCAAGCTCAAATACAAGCTTTACCCATTAAGGGAGGTAAGATATCTAAAATGATAACTCTCTGCACACATATTGACGTACGGTTATAGACATTGAATACGAACCTGACATGATAAAGAGATCATACAACGCATTGCCATCACCAGACAATTCTACAAAACAGGCCTATGTCATCTTGGATGGCTATGTCCTTGATGTCACTACCTACCTGACGGGAGCTACCAACATCATCCCACTCTCCTCCACACTGAGTTCTCGCTCATTTGCCCTTGATCGCATGTTTCTACCATTGGATCTGACTCTGTTCCTGTACATCAACCTTGGAAAAGATATTACAGACTACTTTAATGGCAATGTCACAGAGAACCCGGCCTTGTATCGTACCTGCTTGATTCACCTATTTCAGAAGGGAGTGGTACCCTCTTACATATCATCTGACTGTAGTCGCATCAATCCTGCACTGTGGGCGACCATGGGCGTGGGGCTGCTCTACTTTCTTGTAAAAATGAATCTAGCGTATCTGTCAAGAGTTTCGTTTATACACAAATTTTTGTTCTATTCAGCACCTGAATTCTCGTCTGCATCCTTCTTTTACCAGCATCGCTCTTCCTCGCAGCAGGTGCAATGGCCTCACACGATCCTCATGGTGCCATGCTTCTCGGAATCATCTGAAACACTCAAGCAAACATTAGATACACTATCTCGGTCTTCGTATGATGACACTAAAAAGCTGTTGCTATTTGTCTGTGATGGTGTGATCACAAGCGCGAAAGAGCAAAAAGAGACGCATGCTCTGTTGCTCGAACATCTTGGTTACAGCTGCACAGAAGAACCCTTACCTCAAGCCTACAACTCGCTGGGCCAGCATGGGAAGCGCATCAACTATGCTCGTGTCTATTCTGGTTACTATGAAACAGGCCGTAACCGAGTACCCTACGTAGTCATTGTTAAGATTGGCCAGCCTCAAGAAGAGACGGACTATTATCAACATCATATGCTGATCGCCCCTCCTGGGAATCGTGGCAAAAGAGACTCGCTAGTGCTGGTCTTTGGCTTTCTGGAGCGATGCATGAATCTAGCCAACAACCGAATTACACCACTCGACTTTGAAATCTTCAATCAATGCTATAGTGTGCTGGGCATTGATCCAAGATGTTTCAAGTATTTGATGGTGACAGATGCCGATATCCAGGTGCAGAGTGATGTTGTACAGAAGCTGGTCTCTCGTCTAGAGCAAGATCGCAATATGCTGGCAGTCAGTGGCCATGTGCGACCAGCGAATCCGGAAGACAACCTGACAACCATGCTCCAGATCTTTCCCGTCTACATGACCTTTTTCTCAGGCTTGGCTTACGAGGCGTGTCTTCGCAGTGTCATGACTATCAATGGCGGTCTCGTCATGTACAAGATTTGGACAGAAAACGTGCCTATTTTGCAGCAACAGCATGAGCAGCAGAACCAAAATTTCATCAAAAAATGGAAACTGCTACAAAAGCACCAACAGCAGCACCAAAGCAACAACTCCTCGCAGCAGTCGCTTGGTAACCATCATCGCCAACAGCAACTATACAACAAATGGCCAAAGCTAAGCGACGAAATTATCGTTACAAACCCGTTCCAAGACCCACCTTCTCGTCGTAGCTCTATTGCTACCAACGACAGTGTCACTACCATCACGACTGCCACCACCACTGCCACAGCAAGCCATCGAGAGGGAACCCACCACACACGGTCCATCTCTGACAGTCGTCCCAACAGAATCCCCACAGCATTCAGGCCTGAATCTCGGCTGTCCTTGTCGGCAAGAGTGGATATTCGACCCTGCTGTGTCCATCCTACTGTGCTTCGAGGCATTTCAACGCCTTGCGCAGATACAATGCATATGCAAAATGTCCTGCTGTTAGGAGAGGAGAAGATCATGCCCATTGTGCTGCTAAAATCGCATCCAAACCATCGTTTAGGCTTTGAACCAGAAGCTGTGGGCTATGCTACTTTACCAACCAACTTTTTCTCGCTGCAAGGTCTCCAGATTCGCAACATTCGCGCTACTTTTCATACGCAACTCGAGATGCAGCGTGTATCGTGGCAGCTGGGCATCACCTACTGGATTCTATCTACTACAGAGTTACTGGATATGATCTTTTCCATGCCCATCATTGTCTACCTGTACGGCATCTTTATCCGCTCCGTGCGTCAGTCGGGTATGGCATATGTGATCATTGCCTGCTCGTTTACAGGGTTAGTTGCACTCCATATCCTGTTCTTTCTTCTGCGACGTCAGTTCAGGTACATTCTATGGTTTGTGTTGTACTGTTTGCTGTCGCTGCCCTTGTTTGCTATCTGGTTCCCTGTAATGGCTATCTGGCAGAGCAATTACGCAACTTACTGGTACGATGTGTGGCCCACAACAGCACATCGCGGTGCTCGTTTGCACGGCATCATTGACCACCAAAAGCAAACAAAATTCCTGTACAGTCGCAACCGCCAAAGTGGACACTCTGAAAAAAGCATCCAGCAGGACTACGAGGATGAGGGCTTCTCTGTTCCCAGGTTGAGGTTGGCAGAACACGAAGTGACTGAAGCAACAAGACTGCACCAAGCTGCAGAGGCAGCATTGGATTCGAATTTCATTGGCTTCACGGGATTCAATAATGACAATCCAGAGAGAGGCGATTCATCTGATATGGATACAAAGACTGCAGATATATCAGCTCCTCCCATGGCACAACTGAGAGAAGGCGTACATTCCACTCGTATCACGCATCAGCATGGCCCAAAGATGTATACGTCGACTTGGAGACACAGGTACCCCAACAGCAAGTATGGCGATAATCCAGAGTCGCCTATTCAGAATCCATTTGCAGACACAAACAACCCATTCGATGATGATCACGCAGTGTATCCAAATACCCATAAAGGACACTCTGATGAGGGATCCACGACAAGGCACCATCAGCATCGCCCAAGCCATTCTCAGTCGTCCTATTTCACGTATGCCAGTCAGTCCAATGATACAAGCCAAGGCAACATGAGTTATTCCACAAAGCTGGGCGTGCAGTATGATATGGCAGATGGATCTACTTTGCCTAGCAGCCTCAACAGCAGTGGATTTGCAAAGATACCTGCCTATCCAGACCACCCACATCACTCGGATGACATTTTGATGAACACTGTGCCTATACTGATTGACGATGATCATGTTATGCCTGCCAAAGACTATCTGAACGATGACAATGATGAACAACAAGACCGTGCGTCCACACTGTCCATCTCATCCAACACATTCTCTATATACGCTCCGGAGATATCTTCGCAAGATCCACATGGCGCACCTGCCAGTCTGCCTCGTCACCGCATAGCGCTATACAACAGCGACAGTCAGAGCTCAGAGGACGATCAACCCACACCCACATTGCATAAAGGACTAGAAGAAGGAAGAAGTCGAGCTGTACATAATTTCACATTGCAACAATCCCAACCACAAAATGCATCCCATGTAAATCTTCGCCAACAATACGACAACCATGCCACCTTACGAAATACAACTAATATCACTCCTGTACTTTTTAAAACAAGACGACTCAAGAAAGTTGCTGCTGCTGCTGCTGCTGCTGCCAGTGGTAGTACCATCTTACATGTCCCTTCATCCAGCTCCTTATCACGCCATTTCAGAAATGTGAGTGACTCTTCCAATCCATCCTTCCTCAGAAACCAACCTTCCAAATCAACACTGAATACAACTGAGGCTGATCTACCAGCAGCTATTCAAGCAGAAATCAAGCACTACCTGCAACGAATGGATCTGGAATCCACGACACGAGTGCAAGTCAAATCACATCTCACTCAGCATTTTGGCGCTCATCTTCTTGATGAATCAGATGAACAATTGATGAGTTTCATTAACCAATGCATAGGCAATGTTACTAGCGATCTTCTAAGTTCTGATAGTTCAAAATAAAGTAAACCCCTGAATTTTGCATGATTTCCCAGTTGCACTGTAAGTTCATGACTTGTCTTTCCTAGTTTGTGGAATTCAAAAAGGTGGCTTGTCAAATGATAGTGGATGAAAAAGAAGCTTTTTCTCGAAATTTCAGCTCTATTACTTTCTTTCTTTCTCTTTGACACAGCAGACAACATGGATCTTTTTCATTTACTAGGTGGTGGTGCTCGCTTTGATAAGAATCGCTTCAAAAACGACGTTCACTTGTTTGAAGGCGAAAAAGAGGCAAATCAGACACAATCCAAAAAGAAGAACGCAGCTGTCGTAGATTCCACTGTTCGCTCTCAATTGCTGGATGAAATTGATTTCTTCAAAACAACGCACACCATTGTCGATAGCAATAAGAGCAAAGATGATAAAAAGGCAGCAAAGGAAGACGAGAAAGCCAGCAAAGCTTCAAAGAAAGGTAAAGGCTAAGACGAGACATGGCAATGGCTTTTATGCTAACTTCTTGTGTTGGTAGCTACGCAACTGTGCACCGTTTTTGACACTGTAGAAGAGGCTAAGGAGTTTAGAAAGCAGCACAAAATCAAGATCTATGGTACAGATGTGCCCAATCCTTTCCGAACTTTTGAAGATCTTGCCTCACCAGCTTACAGCCTTGATCCCATCCTCTACAACAACTTGATGACAGCAAAGTACACCACACCCACACCGGTGCAAATGCAGTCCATTCCCATCATGTTGCATGGCCGCGATCTCATGTCTTGCGCACCAACAGGTTCTGGTAAGACAATGGCATTCCTTTTGCCCATCTTGCAGGATTTGAAGAAACCCGAGAAGAAGACCAGCTACCGTGCCTTGATCATTGCACCCACTCGTGAATTAGTCCAACAAATTGCTCGTGAAGCAAATCACCTCAGTCAGGGAACCAAGTTGCGTATCAATGTTCTGACAAAGGCAACGGCTGCTGATAAATCACAGACACCAGAGTCAAGACAAAAGTTTGGTAAGTCTCTTTTGTGATCCATGTTACCAAGCGACCATACTGAGCATTTACCTTTACACAGATATTTTGATTACAACACCCTTACGATTAGTGTATGCCATCAAGGAAAAGGAAGTGGATTTGACTGCAGTCAAGCACCTTGTTCTTGACGAAGCAGATAAGCTGTTGGATCAAGGTTTCTTGGATCAAACTGACGAGATTTTTGCCGCTTGTTCCTCCACCACCATCCAAAAGTCTTTATTCAGTGCTACCTTTTCTTCTCACGTCGAAGAACTGGCTAATACCGTTATGAAAGATCCTATCCGTATCGTTATTGGTGCAAAGTAAGTACTTACAGAGAAGTTATATGGGTGAACACAAGCTAATGTCATGTCATGTTAGGAATGCGGCTACAGAGACAATTAAGCAAGAATTGCTGTTTACTGGCACAGAGGCAGGAAAGATGATTGCATTGCGTCAATTGGTTCAAAAGGGCATCAAGCCACCCGTCTTGATCTTTGTCCAATCCATTGAACGTGCCAAGGAACTTTTCCACGAACTGATCTTTGATGGCATCAATGTCGAAGTCATTCACTCTGATAGAACAAAGGCACAGCGTGACAACATTATTGATCAGTTCCGTGTGGGTAAAATTTGGGTGCTGATTGCTACTGAACTCATGGCGCGTGGTTTGGATTTCAAAGGCGTCAATTTAGTCATCAATTATGATTTCCCTCAAAGTGTAGCCAGCTATATCCATCGTATTGGTCGTACAGGTCGTGCTGGACGTCAAGGTGAAGCTGTGACATACTACACACAAGATGATTTGCAGTACATGAAGGGTGTGGTGAATGTGATGAAGGAGTCAGGCTGCGATGTGCCTGACTGGATGCTGAATATCAAGAACATGACCAGCAACCAAAAGCAGAAGATGCGCAAGGGCTTGAATCGTGATCATATCGACAGTACATCTAAATATGACAAGTATAATCAAAACAAGAAAAAGTAAGTGCTTCTAGTAGGAGGGTGACAGTGCACATGACTCAACGGGTATTGCTTTGTAGAGAGATGATTGAGGCTTCCAAGAAGCGTAAACGAGTGGCATCTCAAAAGGAAAAGTTGGCTAAAAAAGAAAAGAAGGCGAAACAAAAGGAAGGCAATTGAAGCGTTTAAAGGCTCATATTTCTCTCTTGTATATATATATAGCAATATCACCTGTATGATCCTCATACTCAATAAATCTTAGACTTGGCATGAAAAAATAAGAAGCATTTGACAAGTTCAGGAACAAAAACATGGAGAGCACTACGAGTTTAAATTACAGTGTCATATATTATAAGGTACAACAGTCTGTGATACTATATAATGTGTTTGCAGCTAGTAAGCATGTGTTTTGTACTAATGTGGATTTCTATGTACACATTTACAGCATATGACTTAAATGACATTGATCCACAGCATGTGCCGCATAAAACAGATGTTCGCATTTTTATGTATAAATTCAAGTATAAGTCTACAGCGAAGTTTACCCTAATGATCTCGTATAAAATCTACTACATCTTCACTAATGCTCTGCAATTTGAAACTTAATTTATCTGCAATTGCTATCAAGTTCGTTGAATAAATCTGCTGACAACATTGATTTTAATGGTATCGTTTTGTTGAGCCAAACATCAGCAACAAAAAAAAAAGAGATTAACTTGTTGCAACAATATAAATATCAAGGAAGGATTTAAATTGTATCAATATTTGAATACATTTTTATTACAAACATAAAATTATAATACATGACAGATCAATAGGAAATCAACTAGTTGTAGACCTTCGTTGCTTCAACCTCTTAGCCAATCAGATTGCTTGAAAACTCCGCTGACCTAAAAAAAATTTGCGAGGGTTTCCCCCTGTTTTGATGTGAGGCAAAATTTTAAGCGCCGCTGCTATCATCAAATTTCCCCCAGGTGCTAGAGCATGCCTTACTTACACCACCTAGCTTTAAATTCAGGCGTTGAGACTCTCAATCATCACTAAAGTAAGTAGTGACAACCAAGTGGAGGCAGCCTATCTACCTCCTAGCCTCGGATAGAGTCTTGTTGAGCTTCAGGGATAGGCACATCCACACAACGTAAAAAAAAAGGTATGCTTCAAAGAAACATAATAATAATAAAAGAAAAAAGAAAAGAATATAATACTATACGAGTATAGTAGTATGTAGGCAAAAAAGAGACACTAACACAAAGTGAGTACTCAAAAGAAAAGTATAACAAACACAACATAATGACTAGTATTATGTCATGTAAAGCTACAGAGGAAACACTACCAACAAAAAAAAAAAAGAAGAAAAAAGCGCAACAAGGCAAACATCATGAATGCATTATCACGAGAAAGGAAGTAATGTTATAAGCGTTCAAAGAAGTTTTATATCATTGCAACCAGAAGAAAGAAGACACTTACCACTTACCACAGCCACAGATAGACCATAAGAACATAGGCAACCACCAGAGATAGACCAGAGAACAAGCATGCACCAAATATAGTAGACCAGAAAAGACCATATTAGCAGCAGTAGCAGCAGCAACACCAGTACCATAGAAAAACTAAAGAACGAACATCATCAGAAGAGAGCAGACAAAGACCAAAGAAGTTACTTATCACTTGTCACCACCACAGATATACCATAAGGATATAGGTAATCACCAGAGACAGACTACAGAGCGAGCATGCACCAAAGGCAGCAGACCAGGAAAGACCAGATTAGCGGCAGCAACACCAGCACCATAGAAAAACCAAAGAATGAACGACACCAGAGACCAGACAAAGACCAAAGAATCAATCACCAGACATGATAAACCAAAGAAGCAGACAGCAGAGGTAGCAGACAAGTAATGGCAGCAGCACCACCCACGTCAAACAGACAAAAAGAATCATCAAAACCTAATAAACAAATTCAATTAATGTTAATTCTACGCCTTTCCGTGCTTGTTATCGAATGGTACCTAACATATTCCACTTTAAAGAAGCAGTATGAAATACTTCTAACAGTGCATGACAGTGTTATCAGAAGATAGAGTGTTATTATCAATCAAACGGTTTCCAAAACAGCCATGGTTTGGTACTAAACGCGTTTTGCAAAAAAAGGGAAAAAAAAGGTGGTATGGAAGAATGAGAGGCCGCTCTATCCGACGTCACGGCCAGTAGATCTGGTCTCAGTCTTTTCCCGCGGCAGCTGTAATTGCGGCAATTTAATATGAATTTGTGTAGTGGGTATTTTCGTGTTCAAACTTGATTTGATCTCTGTTGTGCCAGAAGGGCTACAACTGTCTATAAAGATTAAGGTATTCTTGATGGGTAGATATGTCTGTGTTGTGCAACAACATGGACAAGCTATGATAAGTGAAGTGCGTCTCAGCTATCTAAATACTGAGGTTCACCAGATGTGATAAGCGTTGTACAAGATAAATTGCTACTTTGGCATTCAGAACTTAGTATAAATAGAATAACTCTTGTCTCCATCAATAAATCTTTAGTTTTTGTGTCTGATCTTATTCAAATAAGTCTTTTCTTGTTTTTATAATATCGAACATTTTTTATAAGCTACAAATAATAATCCTTTTATTCTTTGTGCTTAACAATCTCACATCTTTTAAACGTTTTTGCCAAATCCGACTATGAAAACTGTCGTTATCATACCCAACTTTCTAATATACCTTTAAAGAACTAAAGAAGCCGCATCGAACGGCGTTGATTACATTTAGCTTTCAGACCGAAAATAATGAGCAATTTGCAAAAATATGAAAACATGTTTTTTGCCAAAATGTTGAAATTTCACATAGAAAAACCACATAGAAAGAGTTTCCAGTGCTGCACCCCGTCTTTACGATCAATTTGATTTTATATGTACCATAGGAAAAGTCTTCGTTTTTGGGGTGAAAAATGCGATCGTTTGATTTTCAAGAATTTTCCCTTGCTAATACTCATGAAAAAAATGAGAATTTTCAGGGATTTGCAATGACCCAAAAAAAATTTGAGATAAAGTATCAGTAAGTAAAACGCAACCAAGGGGAGACGTTTGGCCCTATTCCAAGCGTTCACAACGCTTTGTAGCATGAGTTATTCGTGCTTCAAAATGGCTAAATTTAGACATAATTTGGCTTAAATAAAAGGCCTAGTTGGCTGTGTTGCCCTGGAGGTAAATAAATCACACCTCTACTTGATGATCCAAATATACTGTTAAGCACAAAGTGTGGAATACATCCACTATGATCTACATTCCGACAGTTCATCCAGTTACCAGATTTAGATATAAACTGTATGTACACTGGATTAGATGTACGATACCGATTTTTACTATAAGAAGATATGGACTTCAGATACGCTAGTACTATAAGATTCATACTATATAGGATATAGGCTATAGATGGCACCACGGACATGGATGGCGCTACAGACTTATACTTGTATTCCGACATAGACTACGGATGTTTACCATATCTGGATAAGCACCAAGATTAATGCAATGTCAGCTTTTTGCTTCAGATATGCACTTTATGATCCACGCTGTAAGACACATGCTTATATCCGTGATACTAGCTACAGATACTTTATGTACTACAGACTTGTACTATATGTGGGACATGCTACAGACATGCATACAGTATGCTATAGACATGCCATATCTCCAGATACATGCTAAAGATATATGCTTAGCGATATACACTCAGATATGGACCATTGATATAAACTAAGTAGACTGTACCTATCGTATACATGCTACTAGATCGATATTAATTATCCTTATAGAAAGGATAGATCAGGGTACTTTGGATGAGAGTCTAATTATTCATCCAGGCAAACGCTAAATCATGATTAGCTTGCTGGAGTTGTCTTTTAGCATGATTAGACATTAGTTGATCTGAGTTGACTTATTTGTCAATCTAATTAATAGAACTTTTATCCATTGTTATAGTATATAAGAAGGATCATCTTCCTGGCCAGTAGAGAGACTTCAGTTTACTTTACGCCTGTCAGTTTGATAATAAAATATACCTTTATCAAGTTGACATTACTGTTTTTTTATTCTTTTTTTCTGTGAATTTTAGTCTTTAAAGCCTCAAATTCCACAGATATATTAGGAATCTGTGTATGATAGCGACAGTTTTTATAGTTAAATTTGGCAAAAACGTTTAAAAGATGTTAGATCAAGACAAGTTTGAACACGAAAATACCCACTGCACAAATTCATATTAAATTACCGCAATTAAGGCTGCCGCGGGAAAAGACTGAGACCAGATCTACTGGCCGTGACGTCGGATAGAGCGGCCTCTCATTCTTCCATACCACCTTTTTTTTCCCTTTTTTTGCAAAACGCGTTTAGTACCAAACCATGGCTGTTTTGGAAACCGTTTGATTGATAATAACACTCTATCTTCTGATAACACTGTCATGCACTGTTAGAAGTATTTCATACTGCTTCTTTAAAGTGGAATATGTTAGGTACCATTCGATAACAAGCACGGAAAGGCGTAGAATTAACATTAATTGAATTTGTTTATTAGGTTTTGATGATTCTTTTTGTCTGTTTGACGTGGGTGGTGCTGCTGCCATTACTTGTCTGCTACCTCTGCTGTCTGCTTCTTTGGTTTATCATGTCTGGTGATTGATTCTTTGGTCTTTGTCTGGTCTCTGGTGTCGTTCATTCTTTGGTTTTTCTATGGTGCTGGTGTTGCTGCCGCTAATCTGGTCTTTCCTGGTCTGCTGCCTTTGGTGCATGCTCGCTCTGTAGTCTGTCTCTGGTGATTACCTATATCCTTATGGTATATCTGTGGTGGTGACAAGTGATAAGTAACTTCTTTGGTCTTTGTCTGCTCTCTTCTGATGATGTTCGTTCTTTAGTTTTTCTATGGTACTGGTGTTGCTGCTGCTACTGCTGCTAATATGGTCTTTTCTGGTCTACTATATTTGGTGCATGCTTGTTCTCTGGTCTATCTCTGGTGGTTGCCTATGTTCTTATGGTCTATCTGTGGCTGTGGTAAGTGGTAAGTGTCTTCTTTCTTCTGGTTGCAATGATATAAAACTTCTTTGAACGCTTATAACATTACTTCCTTTCTCGTGATAATGCATTCATGATGTTTGCCTTGTTGCGCTTTTTTCTTCTTTTTTTTTTTTTGTTGGTAGTGTTTCCTCTGTAGCTTTACATGACATAATACTAGTCATTATGTTGTGTTTGTTATACTTTTCTTTTGAGTACTCACTTTGTGTTAGTGTCTCTTTTTTGCCTACATACTACTATACTCGTATAGTATTATATTCTTTTCTTTTTTCTTTTATTATTATTATGTTTCTTTGAAGCATACCTTTTTTTTTACGTTGTGTGGATGTGCCTATCCCTGAAGCTCAACAAGACTCTATCCGAGGCTAGGAGGTAGATAGGCTGCCTCCACTTGGTTGTCACTACTTACTTTAGTGATGATTGAGAGTCTCAACGCCTGAATTTAAAGCTAGGTGGTGTAAGTAAGGCATGCTCTAGCACCTGGGGGAAATTTGATGATAGCAGCGGCGCTTAAAATTTTGCCTCACATCAAAACAGGGGGAAACCCTCGCAAATTTTTTTTAGGTCAGCGGAGTTTTCAAGCAATCTGATTGGCTAAGAGGTTGAAGCAACGAAGGTCTACAACTAGTTGATTTCCTATTGATCTGTCATGTATTATAATTTTATGTGATGAATTCGTAATAATAAGTCGATGATAATAATCAGTTGTCAACTGTATCTAAAACGAAAGCAAAGAGCTTCTTTATTACAGGGCATCTAGCTTGCTTAAATATGGTAGATCCCTGGTCAATGACTACTACGTTGAGATGGTATATAAATAGCAGGCCACTGGGGCCTTATGGATTGTTGGTATAGCTTGTTGAGAGGCCACCTAAGTCGGTATGTTTCATGTAGTGTAGGTGGATCTCGATATTTTGACATTGGGGAGATTGAATGTATTGTAGTTCCTGAGGCACCTGTGCACACACAATTGACTGGACTTGTAAACATAGATGTGATGTGATACGATAAACATCATCTATGCTGCTACACTGTAAAAGGTGGCTTGAGGAGAAAGTGAATGTAGCCTAAGATGCATGCTTGTATGCAACATTATGTTTGTAATAAAAATGTATTCAAATATTGATACAATTTAAATCCTTCTTTATTCAGAAGTAAGATAAAATGCAATTATTCGATCTGGCATCTATCACACAGTTTTATGCGAGGGATATTCTTTAAATAAATTCACTGTATGTGAGATACGTTATATAGCTGCTGCAGTATACTAGGTACCAAGTAATCCCAATGCCATATGCCTTGCCAGACATACGTCGTTTAAGATTAACTCCCAACATGTTTCAATTTCATGTGCTGCTGTTTTGCTGGTGTAATGAAATAGCCACCCAAACGCAACTTGATTGAAAAGCAAATTTCATCAAATAGCACTCATTCAACTCCATGCTATTTAAATCTATTAATAAAGCGCTCAAATGTAAATCAACAACCATTTAAACATACTAAAGTAAAGATGCACGCTTATCTCACACATCGAGTGAATAAATTGCTCCTGATCACAGTGTGTTAAGCACAAAGAATAAAAGGATTATTATTTGTAGCTTATAAAAAATGTTCAATCTTGTAAAAACAAGAAAAGACTTATTTGAATAAGATCAGACACAAAAACTAAAGATTTATTGATGAAGACAAGAGTTATTCTATTTATACTAAGTTCTGAATGCCAAAGTAGCAATTTATCTTGTACAACGCTTATCACATCTGGTGAACCTCAGTATTTAGATAGCTGAGATGCACTTCACTTATCATAGCTTGTCCATGTTGTTGCACAACACAGACATATCTACCCATCAAGAATACCTTAATCTTTATAGACAGTTGTAGCCCTTCTGGCACAACATTGCCCCCCCAGATTCAGGTACTTCTTGTGGACATTTCGTAATCCCAGATTACAAAACATCATGACAATATAGCACATAAAGCACTTTCCAATAAATAATTACCAAATGACACTGCATCCGAGATCAGTCAGTAAAAACCTTGTGTAAAAACCTTTCATAGGACAAAAATGTAAGGAAAAGACTTGATCCCATCATGCTAGTAGCCATTTAAGACCTGTTTGATCTACCACTCTGACCAATTTCGCGAGTAGTAGGAGTTCGCCAGTTAACTGTTTGAGGAGCTAACCTACGTTTACCAGCAGCCTTTGCACCTTCTCTTCGAGCCCAATACAACTCAATGTGTTTGGCCGAATCAAAGTTTTTCACAGGCTCCCAAGTATCTTCACTAGGATCATCGAACCCTTTCCATTTTACCTTATACTCATAGTTACCAGGAGATCCTCTATGATCAATCACAGCTTGAATTTCGTAATGCTCTGCAGAGAATTCATCAATTGTGATTGGCTGAGGATTCGCAGCGACTTGGTACTTGATATGATGGGTAGGCACATCTCGACTAAGGAGTGCACCCGTCTTGTCAGCCAGCACATAGGAACCTTTATCGGTTATACTACGAATCAAATAAGGTCCTTCATACCGTTCATCTAACTTATTTTGACGATGAACATTTTTAATCATAACCTTACTACCAATAGGATAGGGTTCGGCAATGACCTTATGTTTCTTCGCAAAGTTAGCATGATCAGCATTTTGTGTATCCACAATACGCTTAGAAATAGCCGGGATAAGAACATCTTGTACAAAACGGTATCGTTTGTCAATGAGTCTGTTATCAGCTTTCTCCAAACGTTTGGAATAGTCCACCTTTGAGTAATCAGCCAGACCATTTGGTTGACGATTAAACAAAAGTGTATACGGACGAGATTTATGTAACCGAGCATACTTGACATTGATGCAGTAATTCACCCACGGAATGAAGTGCTCCCATTGATCCCTCTTACCTTTTAACAACTTGATAGTCGTTAACTTACATATTTTGATAAATGACTCAGAAACCGAGTTACCCAATGGATTGTACCCTAATGACAGGCGATGGTCTATCCCACTGATGTCCATCATAGCACGGACCACCTCATTTATCCATTCCAGGCCTCTGTCTGAAGTCAACTTGATTGGCCATCCAAAAAGTGAGAAAACTTGAAGCATTTCCCTGGCAATTGTCGTAGCCTTCTTGTCTGGAATGCATCTTATCACAGTAAATCTCGTAAAGTAATCAGTAAGGACAAATAGAAAGTTGCTGCCGAAAGAGCTAGTAACATCCATATCACCGAGATCCATGCACCAATGATCCAAAGGTTGGGCTGCATTGACACTACGGAAAGGATGATATCCCTCTCTAGCGATATTGTACCTGTTACACTCGTCACAATCAGCTAATATTCTTTCTATGTCTTTCCGAATGTTCACCCAGCGAAACCCTTCATGATGAATTGCAGTTTCAACATGTTTGATCCCAAAATGTCCAACCAGATGCTGAGCAATGATCATATTGTCTCTTTCATTAGCAGGAGGAGTGATATAGTCAGCAAACCTAAGCGTACGCAATATGAATTCCTTTTGCTTTTGCGAGACAGCTGTGGTGGTGCCATCTTTGATAAGAGTAGCGTTTACCGCAGTGCGTGCATGGTTGCTAAAAGAATTAGATCGTAACGCCTTAGTTGTCTTGACCAAAGTACGTTTCATTGGAGGCGAAGGTGTGACAACCTTGACTTTGTTTTTGGAACCCTTTTTCTTTCTCTTTACACTTTCACCACCATCAGCATAGTACCTGCCCCCCAGAAGATGTCGTGCTGAAGCATCAGCATCCGAATCTTCGTAAAGTCGAGATAAAGCATCAGGAATTACGTTAAGGACACCGGGCAAATGCACAATATCGAAAGTATAAGAAAAAATGGTCTCCCACCATCCAAGCATGAGTGCATTGGGGACTTCCTGTGTATTCAAGTAGATCAGACTCTTATGGTCCGTATGTAAGGTAAACTCTCGCATATACAGAAAACGATGAAACTTAACCAAGGCATAGCAAATCCCTAGCAATTCCCTTTTCGTAGTACTGTAGTTGCGCTCAGAAACAGACAATTTACGAGATACGAGACCTACATATCGAATTTCATCGTTGACCACTTGATATAAAACCGCGCCAAGAGCAGTTAAACTAGCATCAGTAGCCAAGTGAAATCGAATCGAAAAATCAGGAGGTGACAGCACAAGTGCCATCGTAAGTGCATCCTTCAAGTCGGCAATCGCTTTTGTATGAGACTCATTCCAAACATCTGTTAGATCTTTGTACTGTTTCAAGCTATCAAGATCTCGAGTCAGACGAGAATAACATGGAATGGCAGCACGAAAGTACGACATTAAACCCAAGAAAGATGCCAATTGACGACCAGTGGTAATAGCCGGCCAATCTGCAATGTTGGTAAGTTTTCTACCGTCAGGCAGTAATTTACCATTAATAACACTCCATCCCAAGAGATAAATACTACGCTGAGCAAATATATTTTGTAGCGTATCGTCGTCCACAGACATGCTACTCATCTCTTTTTCAAGAAGAATAGACTGGGCACGATTCACCAGGTCAGTATCCTCAAAGATACCATGAGCTTCACTCATCACAGCATCTTGGTCAACATCAACATTGTCACTATCACCAGAAGAAGGAGCAAGGACAACATCATCCACCAATTGTTCAGCAGAGGAGACAGCAGGGGAAGAAGCACCTTTCTCAGCTAACGCACGATCAACACGAGCAGAGAGAAAAGCAGCTTGGATTGCAGCATCCATCGAATGTTTGCCACCACGTTTCTTAGTCATGGCACGCAAAACTTTTTTACCACCATTGCCCTGATGGGTGTTACCACCACCAGTACGAATAGCAGTGTTGCAGTGATGCATCTGCCCCTTTGGTTGAGGACCGTTACATTTGGAGCAAGTCCCTTCAGCAATATGTTCAGCAAATGTTTTGCCAAAACGATTAGCACCAGAACGTGGAGAGTTGGACGAGGGACCATTGGATCTCGACGAAGAGCTACTTTGCAGAGCGTTTCCACTAGAAGAAGGTGCGTACCGAGACTTCTTTGCTTCGTTCGAAACAGGTATGTCAGCAGCGCGTTTTCTTCCATCAAAAACAGAGCCCAAAGATTCTTGACCCGTCTCAATAGCCATCATATCCATCTTGCGCACGAGAGAGGACACATAATCAATGTCATAAAATGACGATTCTGGTGCCTGACTCATAGCAACCATTAGCAACCTAGCGGTAACCTTGGGGAAAGCGTCAAAAAACACCATCGCTACGACACCCTTATCACTGATGTCAGCTCTATTTCTCAACGTCTTAAACCGCTCTACGAAACCATCAACGGATTCTTCGTTTCCTTTAGTACAACGAAGAAACTCCCTAATTCTTTCGAATCTGAGCTGTTCTTTTGGTGTACCGAAACGACCGATGATAGCTCCCTTCAAGGTAGCCCAAGACACAGTGGAGCCAGATGCTTTCACAAACTCATCAAGCCAATTGCGAAGATCGCCGGGAAGACAAGGAGGAAGCAAACGATACCAGTGTTCATCAAGATCAAGCGTGCAACTGCTCAACTTATCGGAAAACCGGCGACAACACTCCTCAATGTTGGCAAAAACTTCTTTTTTTTCATCTTTGACACGTCCAAACCATTGGAACAAAGGAAGATCATCAGGTACAGTTGAACTATTAGCCGCACCTTGACTAACCACTGTTACTTGGGAAGGACTCTGGTTAGGTGTGACCATAGAGAGAGCTTTCTCTATAGCCTCCAAGTTAGAGCACTTCTTTGACAGGGCAGCCTTCAAAGCGTCGACCTCTTCGTCCGACTTGTCCCCACTGTTCGCAACTTCAGCGATCAACCCATGAACCTCCTGACGAAGTCGCTCTACAGCTCCTCCGTACGAAAGCTCGCTTCCAACAGCTTGAACATCTGAACTCTTGTTCTGTTCTGCAGGAGACACAGTAAAATCATTCATAGTCATATTTTCGGTTTAAATTAGATAGGTAGGTTAAAATCTGGAAGATTCTGATTTACACGATCTTAAAAAATGTTAAGCACAAAGAATAAAAGGATTATTATTTGTAGCTTATAAAAAATGTTCAATCTTGTAAAAACAAGAAAAGACTTATTTGAATAAGATCAGACACAAAAACTAAAGATTTATTGATGAAGACAAGAGTTATTCTATTTATACTAAGTTCTGAATGCCAAAGTAGCAATTTATCTTGTACAACGCTTATCACATCTGGTGAACCTCAGTATTTAGATAGCTGAGATGCACTTCACTTATCATAGCTTGTCCATGTTGTTGCACAACACAGACATATCTACCCATCAAGAATACCTTAATCTTTATAGACAGTTGTAGCCCTTCTGGCACAACACAGTGTATTCAATCACACCCATGATGGTCGTAATAAGTGATGGTATCTTTATCCAAATAAAATCAAATCAATAACAAGTATATTCAGATATGACAACTATGCCCTGCTGCCATAGTTGCTCAATATCCCAGATAAGGATTTCCAGGATATTCAGTTTATTTTATACAAAAAATAAAATACAGTTGATTTCTATTGTATTTTACTATTGTGATTTATCAGAAATAAATTATTTATAAAAAAGAGTATGAAATTAATCAGGTAAAGAATATCGTTTATTACATTGGAAATAAGAGCGTTTATATACTATTCGAACTGAGGGATTTGATGTGAGGATAAGGTATTAGATGGGTTGATTTGGGTGATAGGATAACAGATCCAATCTATTATCCTGAACATGCCATGATATGGATCGTAACTGTATCCTGTTTCATGTCAAAGTTTATGATCTGATGTGATCGGTGCTTGAACTGATTGTTTCTACGCATTTAGAGATACGGTTTAGAAATGATACATCATATTGCTTTATTTTTTATGAAATTTATTAAACCCGATTTCACTTCACCCCACTTAAAAATAGTATCTCCAATGTCGATTCACCCCTAAAGCAGGCATTTCCAGTTATAACATTACCACTTGGAAGTTGGTCCAATATCATTATTCTACAACATATTTAAGTTTAATGAGATTCTAATTTTCTCACCTATGAGGACCTGGGTGAACAAAATGTTTTTTGATTTTGAGGTTTTCAACTTTTGGACGATCAAACATCGATTTTTGAAAAAGCGGTGCTAGAGCCTTGAGACTAGCATGTTTCTAACCAGTTTTCTGCCCTCTAAACGATGGTGCAATTGAAATTCGCGTAAATAGCATGGTTGTTGAGAAAAAGGATATTTAAAAAATAGTTAATATTGAATAGATTCTGCTAGTAAAACTTTTCACATTACTATATGAATGTGGAATATATGTGCATTGATAGCTGTAGAGGGTATTTTGATTGACTAGGACATGTTTGATGTGGAATTATTGATGGTACTGTGGATGAGTACTAAAAAGAATGATGAAAATGGTTGATTTTCAAGGTACTCTACCGATGAACTTCACACAGTCTACCTGAGCCTTAAGCTTACAGTAAGCTAGTCATTATATGTCAAACGCTAACAGATAAGAAATGTAAGTAATTAATATTGTCAAGAACAAGAAAAGGTTATTGAGACTAGTCGTCTATATATAAAAGAACTATTATTTATGAAGAGAGCACTACTACTCTACACGGATGTACACGTAAGCCTTAAACAGGCTTTACATGGATCGCCTTAAAATTCTTACAGACCACTTAGTGTTCTGAACTACTGAGCTCTAGACCACCTATATTTGAGCTACTTTGAAAGTGTCTCTTTTTATAAGTTAGCGGCTTTAATGAATAGCTGCCTAGTGTCAGCAAAACAATATTCTCATATATTCAACAAACAATGTAAATCAATGAAAAGCTAGGATTAAAGAATGTGCATTGAAATAGAAAGAGACAAGTGTAAACTTATTATAATCTGTCTTATACAAGTCAATACACATAATTCCATGCTCAAGTGCTCTAAGTGTGGAGTCAATAGAAGGTACGTATCAGGCCTATTCAAAGATATACAAAGCAATTAACGCCTGGTTGTAGGCTTAAATTATGATTAGGTGTTGTAAATCTGAAAGTACGTGAGAATGGATATAAGTTTATTTTCGTAGAATCAGGTGAAGAGGAGAGAGAAGAGTGAATGTCTACTGCTACTTATATGTATGATTTATGGATTGCTTACACACCCGTCTAGAATGGTGCTCTCATGCTAAGTTTTAGTGTCAATCCACACTTATGCTAAATGGTAATTATTTCAGATATAGATGATCAGTTTAAATATCTTTAGTTGCTCTTGGCAACGTTAATTACTTACATTCCTTATCTGCTATCTTTTGACATATAGAGAATAGCTTACTAAAACTTAGCTTATGTGAATATCATGGTTATCGTTTACATGTTGATACAGTTTATTTACATATGCTCCATATGTGCATAGTTTATTACTGAATTCAATCTACGATATTGTGATTCAGGAACAGTTAGATGTGTGAATACAACATTAGGCACAAAGGGTTTATACTTAGAAATTAATGCCAATCACGCAGCCACACGCTATATGTATGCTTTCATCCGCATGTTCCAATATCCTACGCAAGCTGAAAGAAATAATTTTTCACATATACCGGGATCTAAAAGGATGCATACGATATAACCCTCCTTCTTCAATTCTTAAATAAAGTAACATTTAAGTTTATAGCTGTACCTTCGTTGAATAACAGACGATCCGTATATTGATTTATAAAGATATAATGACATGTAAATGTTGAGGACCATTTTCCTAGCAACTTTCACTTTATTTTACCAACAACATAATGGGTATACGCAAAAAATCTCTCAATCCAAAGTTGCATTAGAAATCACACCAACAATACACGTAATATTATCATCAATAGATCCTAACTACAAGGTAACGAAGATTGTATATCAAGATTGAAGAGAGCTGGTACAAATATATGTCTTCGTTTGCGAAGTCTTCGCTTTTCGATGTACAGTAAAAGGACTTTTTCGTCTTGAAAATTCAGAGTCTTGTCTTTCTTTGTTTATTGTCTTCCATTTATAATATATCTTCTTTTTCATTCTTGATTATCTCCTTCTTGTTGTCTGTATTACCTAGTTTGGCGATTACTTTCTTGCACATGTTTCACGTAATGGTAAGCATTACAACAAAGTTTACTTTCAGTTTCAGGCAAACTTATTCTACTTTCTCTAGAGGGGTGGCATCATTGCTAGATTTGACCTCGCTGAAGACACTAGAATAAGAAAACTCGTGATTTTCGTAGCTGTTGATTTTTTAATTAGGTATATTTTTGATTTCTTCGTTTTCATCAACCAACAGATTGCAACTACTCCAAATATAAGACAAACGAATAATTTATACATCGTTTGTTGGAAAATACGTACCAATGAGATACTCTCGTTGGATTTTTAGATGATAAAATCCCCTGTGACAAAGGGTAAACAAAGCTGCTTTTCTGCCATTGCTTGGTGATTGCAATCGTACAAAGCGGGCATCTTCTGATTTGTGGTTAGTCACACCCTTCCAAAAAAAAAGCAACACTTGCAGATCTACGACAGCACGGATCACCAATCTCTCCTTCTTCAATGCTGAGCCCTGTCTTCTTGTTCTCGCTGCCGTCCATTTGTAATGCATCTTCTTTTGCATTCTTAATAATCCTTTCTTCGCCGACTGCAGCATTCAATTGTACAAGCACTTGCGTACAAATGCTTCCAGCTTCAGCGCCCAACTCAGCTTTTCAATATACTGCCTCTTCAATTAGCCATAGTTTTCAACACCAAGAGCTGCTTTGAGAGTATTCGTATCCTCCCGCTGAATGATACCAAGTACTGAAATATAACATGCTGTTAGGAAGACAATAGTAAGCATTTTATTCAACAAAATTGCATTCAGGTTACTCTTACTTTCCTACGTCTTTCTAGATTATTCAGAGAATCATTTAATCAAGGTTATTTTATCAGCTCTACAGGCGGTAGCCGTATGCTCACTCTTGCTTCTCTGATACGTTATCAAAATGAGAGTGCCAGTTGTAACTATTCAATGATTTTTTGTCACTATTGAAGATCATGGACGCGATAACCGAGTGTTCATACAACCTTCTGATATGACAACTTCCACTGCTGGTAACTATGAGATGAGAAGAAGAGAAAAACATTTGGATCCGTCATTATATCTTTATATATACTTAAAAACATGAACGCAAAAGCGTCGTCTTAGCCAATCAGAGATTAAAAGCTCCTCTCCCAAGAGCATAACGCGTCTAGTTCAAGCGATTTCTTGCCTGCTATTTGGCTGTGGGTTGAGTGATTTGCGGTTTCAAGGCAACACTTGGTAACATTGACCTTAAGAGGGGTTTACCGTAGCGAAGCAAACGTGCAAAACCATAGTAATCAAGCAGTAAATTCGGTTTTTCATTTTCATTATTAATAAGCTTACCAACAACATAACGCATCAAAATTTGCATGAATTAGCTTTACCAAAATCAATATGCCTCCTATTCGAATTAGAAGTTGCACAGGCTGCAGAACTGCCTTTCCAGAAGACTTTAACTACCAAAGATGTGATTCATGCAGCGTAAATAAAAGCTATACAGCAAAAATACAACCAAGCTGGACAGATTTCAAGCCTTCATATCTTGACATGTACGCCTTTCTAAGACGCCAGGATGACACCAAACAATTGTACTTGAGTAGTAATAACTTCCTGACACCTTTGCTCAACTTTTTGAGGACCTAAAAAACATGGCCAAAAATCGACCAAAAAGCATGAGGGATACCTCATGCTTTTTGACAAAAATCAAACAATCGCATTTTTCACCTTGAAAACGAAGACTTTTACTATGGTATATATTGAATCAAAATGTTTCTCTCGATCCAAAGCAACCTCTGAAACCATTTTTATGAGGTTTTCATATGCAAAATATGGCTATTTTCGCTAAAAACCTCATTTCATATTTTACC